TCCGGTACAAGTGCATGTGAAAGTCAGCGCCTCCCCCCCCCCCCGGCAAAAAGTATAATAAGGTCTAGGGCTCAAGGGTCTAGTGCTATGAGGCCTGGGGGGGGGGCTACCGAAAACAAGCCAATTTGTACTTTTGCTATTCGTTTTAGGAACATTTTTTACAAGGGCCCCTCTTGTTAATTTGATAGCACTACACTACTAAACAAGACACATAAAGAAACACGACAACGGTTTGAAAGACTGTCGCAAACTGATTTGAATAAAAAATCTGCTAACAAAAAGCTCTACGTGAATCGATTTTTCATCACAATTTCATTGATGCAGTTTCATCAGACAGTAGCGATTAGCAAGAAGTTTTTTTCTATGTTTGACGGAACTGTTGTGCAGTTTTCAAATGTGCTTGTTCAAAACTTGCAACCACCTCACCTCTCGCAACGTTATTGTTAAAAAATTGGGAGACAAATTGTCCAATTTTTCAAGAGCCCACAACAAGTGGCCTTAGAAAGCTGTTGCCATAGAGCGATAGAGTTTGATTCCTCCGGAAGAAAATGTTTCAGACAGGGAAAAAGGGCGTGGTCCAAACAAAAGGAAATGGTTCCTGACACCACACCTTCTGCCCCGACAACCCCTCCTCCCCCCCACTTATCCCAAGCTGGAACCGCCACTGTAGAGAGCTTCACTGAAGAAAGGCCAGTGTCTTTGACCATGAATCTGATAAAAACGAAAGCCCTGTTTAAACTACACTACCTAACCTGGGTTCGCCCTAAGTTAAAAGTTAGCCGGGTCCTCGCCGGGTGGAACCCTGATGTGTTTACACTGGAAACTGTCGATTTGGTAATGTAAACGGAATCAGTGGCGAACCAGGATTAGCTTTATGACGACGCATGGGTAACACAAGAAAGGCGAGGAAAAAGCAAAGAGAAACAAACTGGCTGTGGTCAATGTGTGTGTATATTGTTTGTGATTTCTACAGAATTCAATAATTTGACTTTGATACCAATTATTGCAATCGCAGGCTTCAAGGGATCTACAACGTACAAACTAGTTGGGAATTTCCCAACCAGGCCCTTAAATTTCCCCAATAGTTGGCCCATGATTCCCCATTAGCAAGTGCCCTTTTGTTAAAAATTGTTTTTAAAACCGATTTGACGTATCTCCCGTTACTGTTTGTTATGTCGTTGTCGTTTCATTTATTTGTAAAATCATGCGTTACTTTTTTGTCTCTTCTTCTCATCGTTAATGTAGATCTCTGACTCTGCTTGATTTTCTTGCATTACACCAAAGCGAGGTAATGAAATTCGCCCGGAAATTTCAGCGGCAGATGCTTTGATAGTTTCGCTTGCGTAATGTTAAGAAAAATGCTATTTTTTGTCAATTCCCCACCAGTGAAAATTTCTTAAAAGTTCCCCTGGCAGGCTTTGTACAATAAGAAAACTTTGCATACGCGCTTTGACCTGAGAGGGGGGGGGGGGGATTGGTTAGTTCGCGTTTACACTAAAAAATCGAACCTGCGTTAGTTGCTAGGGCGAACCCAGGTTACTTTTGTAGTTTAAATGAAATTGACATTATCTTGACTCACACAAAAACACAGGGGCGTCATGGCAAATGAATTCTAGAGGGGGCAAGAAGAAAAAATTTTCCGACAAAATTTCTTCTACTTTAATCAAATAGAAGCATTTCATATAACTGTAAAAGTAGGGGTGGTGTAGTAAAACTTATAATATTTGCTTTAGTTGGAAAGATATCTAAAATGCACTTTTATCTTGTCTCTGTTTCTTCAAACTTACTGTGACATCCAGTTCCCCTATGAATGGGAAGAACAAAGCCACTACCTGAGGCGGCAGTGGTTGCCGTCGAAGGGAAAACTTTTTTATGATCTTTATGCTTCAAGTTCTGCGGAAAGTGCATTCTTTGGAGCAGATTTCAATAATAAAGTCTTAGTCTTAAAACGAATATCCACTGGCGGAAAGCGATGATATTGATCGTTACTTCCTTGTTTTACCTTATGCTGCATAACTGCATAAATTTTCAAATCTGGGACAAAATTTTCAAATCTGGCGATAGGCACAAAGTTGGCTTTGTTCCTGTCTTCAATATCAAATAAAGATATAATTTGCCAATTTCCAAAACCAAATTTGGTCCTTGAAAATTCAGATTTTAACTGACAAAATCCGAGCAGCAAATCACTCTATCATATAAGTTGGTAAATCTTGAGAAATAATTTTGTTTTTGTGGAAATCTAGCATTTTCTTTTCAAAAGTGAATTGCCCCTCGATAATGCGGAAGTATTTTAATCAAAGTAATTGATGTCGCTACAAGGTGTTTTACTTCCCTTTTTTATCCACAGCTCAAGTTTGAGAATCTTCCGACATAACAATGATTTTTCCGAAAATCTGTCAGATTTTGAAACAGAGGGGGCCCTGCCCCCCCCCCCCTCGGCCACGGGGCAGTCCTCTCCTCCCGATCAATAGTGACCTAATTCGCTTTCACGAAAACAAAATAGATCTATAATATATTTTTCACATGATATTTTAGCGATTGAAATTTTATAGACTCTCAGGATTTTTATGTTTTGATTTCAGGACCTTAGCTTTTACTGTGTTTTGAGTGAAATTCGAAGTCACAAAACAATGGGATGCACTCAATTCGGGGAAAACGAAAAGTATGGTTCCTAACGTTTTTTCAATGGCTGATTTTTCACTACGAACCATTACACTTGCCGTTCCTGCTTACAAGCTTTTGTTGTATTTCAAGCTACAGGTGTACCCTGGGTACCAGCCTCACTATATAAAATTATATTTTATATCTCTACCCCCTCCTCACACATTGCCCATCGGCACAAAATAGATTTTTGTTGGACAAAAAAATGAATTCTTCTCTCATCCTGTAGTATATATATAAATAAAAACGCTTATAAGCAGCATATAAGATTGTTTATCGATAATCATTGCTGTACCCCTGAAGGATCTAGCAAGCTATGACCTGCTTTCTAGCAAAGTATAATCATTTACCAATTACCATATAAAGTTGTGAGCTGTTTGGTAGAGTTAAGTAGGGAATCTTGTCCTGGTGCTGGTGATCTTCAGGCTTGACCATGTGTAATAATCTTGAGAACTTTTAATGTATAGGCAAGATGCCTTTAATTATTTTATGCCTTTACAAAAACTTATATTTAGAGTTTAACCACGGAATTTCATGTCATTTGTCATTTCCAATAGTTATGCTGAAATCTCATTCAAATACATGCGCTCTTTTTGTCTATAAGCATTAATGTAAAATGATTTAATGTAAAAAGATTTCCAGGGAGGCATTTTGCCATTGAGCCGATACCAGAACCTCAAAGTCACACTTAAACATATTTCATAAATTAGGCAGCTATGGTTAGATACATTGAAAGTGCAAAAAGCAGCATTCATTGCTACTCAAAATTTTACAACCAGTTTTCACAGAATAATACCATAACTTTGAAAAATTGCTTAATCTCGATTCCAAAAAACATTTTATCTAATTTTATCCAAACTAATTGTTTTGGCTTGAGCACTATGCCACAGTTTACCCCCCTCGAATAAGCTCCCACACTAAATCTTTTGGCAAAATAAGTCCTCGAGGGCTGCTTCATGGTCTTATGCTTACCATTCATTGTCAAAGTCGTAAGAAACACTTTACCTTGCAAATAATAATGATTTTTCTTTCTGCATTAGTAGGCATCAGTTAACAGTAATCTAGCTGCCTTTTTATGGGTAAATAAAAAGAGTACCAAAGTGATGACGTCACAAAAATCTATTTTTAGAATTTTTCATTTTTGATCCCATAATTTTTCACTTTTCACATTTTATGCAGTTCTTTCAGATTATGTGGTCAAAATTAAGAAATTCTAAAAATATATTTTTGATGACGTCACACTTTGGTACTCTATAGCAATAATGATAGATATAGAAAACATTCATTTTCATTAAGACTGGAATCTACAATTAAAAATCTCACTGTTCGTAATTGGTTGGCTTGGTCGAGTTTACAAAATAGGAAAAAACTGCAAGCCTAATTCACATATAGTTGTGTTTGTAGTTGTTTAGGAAGTAGTTTAGGGTAAGTGCATGTTTTGTTCCTACAGAAATAAGGAATAGTTTGTACAAATGGATATTGTAGAAAGCTTAGAAAAGGGATAATGTTTACGTTGATCATTGATGGAAAATGAGTCATGTATTTCCAAGAACGAGCGACATAAGTCACTGAAGATTCCAAAAGAGTTAATGGAGAGGTATACAAATATGAAAAATTTGAGCCTTAGTTCCTTAGTTCAAAAAACCAGAGAAGTAAATTGTAAACGTTTTCTTTTCTGCATCACAATTAAAGGTTGTCTGTCCCCTATTTGCTCCAATATTTTTCACGGTAGTGAAATTCACGCACTGTTGAGCTTGATCGATAATTAAACGATTTAAACCAATCAAAGACAACTTTGATCCCAGAGTATTTGTATCGAAAGGCTGTGTTCCCTTTGAACTGAGGCTGTGGCTAGAGGAATTTTGTTCCCTGTTCGGTTTGTGCGACAGATATGTCAACAGGGAAAAGCAATGCTTCCATTATCATCACTTAATTCCAATACTTAAATTTTCTTGTCATTTCCGATAGCCATTTTGCTCGCAGTTTTAAATGTCGTCCACTACTGCAGCTAGGCCAGCTAAAGATAGCAGCCTAATCCGTTAAAGGCATTTGACATGCATAAGTACAGCGAATCCAAAAATAACTTAGGCCAAATTGATCAGAGCACGCACACAAGAAAGGAATTGGAAACTGTTCACGTGAAACCACTGCGCGCTGCTCTAGGATTTCACCGATTTGCAGAAAAGCGGAAACTGTTCATGTGTTTTTCTCTGTGCACAATTTGATTGGTCAACCGCTCGTGGTCGAGTGTCTGTAAGCCACTTTTAGCTGTGTCGAATACCTTCAAGGCAGGAAAACCAACTGCTCATATTAGCCAATCATTGAGGGGACAGACTGCATTTAAGTTTGGTTTCAAATCCTGGGGTTATAACAATATTAGTCATGTTACGCAGGGCCGGGGATGGGAGGGCGCATTTGCTTTTTTGGAAGCCGCAGGTGGCTGCATTCATCTCTTATCTTTCGTCTGCCCGTTCTCCGGCATTACAACAAATGTTACAAATAGAATTTCATTAATACTTTACAATAACTGATAATGATCAGTAAGTGGCTCTTTAGAATTTATCAATTGCCAAAATGATACCAGACTGACATAGCGAAGCCATGCACTAGTTTAAAGAGGCTTCAAAACAGGTTGAAAATTAGGCTAAAGAGTTGACTTCTGTGTTTATTGTTCTGTTCGCTGGCTTATTTGAACGACCGATTGAAATCAGCTAAGTCAATTATATGCCAACAATGGGCTTGTGAAGAAGACAAAAAGGTGAATGCCGCAAATACACAGGCTCCACGATAAATTTGTGCGTTTCTTAGCAAAACAAAAGTTCGTCAAAGTCACTCAAAGTTGCATTGCAGTCAGCAGATAGAATTGAAAGCTCAGGCCGACCATGAATCAACACGGATCGGAGATTTACAAGTGCAAGTGAAACTGCAGCGTAATCACAGTGAACATCTTCAAGTCCTTTATTTGACACGCCGCAAAATTCTTACGATGATTACAGCAATCGCCATCTGTTTTCTAATTCTACCAACGGTGTTTATTGCAGTTAACGGTAAGTGTCACGCCTTCTTGATTTAATGGTTTAATGGTAATGAATGAAAATACCTAGTAATGAACGAGATTGTATCAATTGAAACCAATCAATAAACACGCTTTCACTTTTAGACATAGCTGGGTAGCCGCAATCTGCTTCATTTTCCTCCTTGCCTCAGGAGGTCCTGGATTTCAAAGTTCACGCGTAATGTGGTTGAGTATATAACATTGGATAGCGCCTTTATCTAATTAATTGTTGTTATAAATTTTTCTCCCAGTTTTGCCTTATTGTTTTTAATTGAAAAAACATGCTACTATGAAATTCCCGTGATGATAACAAGTTGGGTAAAGCTTTTTTATCAGTCCAGTTTCATCGAGATCAAATCAAAGAAAATCGAATCAAATTCTTTTCATTCAGCAACAAATTGCAATAAAAGTTTAAAAACAAGCGAATTCTGACTAACAACTGAAAAGTATATTGTAGGGTTACAAATTCCATTAATTGTCGCCAAGGACATTGAGACAAACCCAGAGGTTTTCAGGCCCAGTGTCCTTTTTATTGAATAGTTAATACAATAAATAAAGGAACACTAAAGTTTAGATAAAATGTTATATATACTTGTAAATAAAAAATACCAAAACTACGAGCTAGATTTTACAAAGTTTGATTTCATTTTTTACCCGGGAACAGAACAAAAAGAAGAAAAGAAAAAAAATTAGAAAAAAGGAAAGTGGGAAGATTTGATCGTTTAAATGATTTGAACAATTCTATGAATCTTACCACGTAGAATGAATCACAACAGGAGGAAATACCCTCTTTTGGTTCAAAATAAAGTTAAATAAATTGTGATGAGCAGCTTTCGAATTTGGGGCAAACAAGCTAATTTTGTCAATATGTTACGTGCAAAGAAGATCGAAGAAAGGAAATTTATCATTCAGCTATATAGCAACAACGAAAGTTTTCATGAAATTTCAAAAAGTGCCAATATTTGAAATAGTGTTTGAAATGTGTCACATATTATGTATGAAATAGTGTCACATATTATGAAAAGTAGAGTTTTAGGCAAGAAAATCAAATTAATCGCATTATTGGTAAGATATTTTTGTGTTCTCTTATACGCCGAAGGATCTGCATGAACCAGATGTAGCTTTTTATATTAAGATTCATTTTATGCATAACTGCTGCATGACCTTTCAGTGGACTACCAGAATTCTGAGTTTGCTAAACAATTGGAAAACAAGCATACACAATGCAATCGGAAAGACCCTTAGCAATACATTTAAATATTTAATAAAAGTTAAGTGGTTGAACATTTATAAATTATTCAACTTTAATCCGATCATCAATTTATCTTTATAAACAATGACGGATTAAACCCAAACTGGGCCTGATTTTGCAGCAGAAAAATAGCCCTTTATTAGACCTAGGTCATTTTCAGGAAATCATTAACCGCTTTCATCTGGGCATATTTAAGGAATAGACCTATGATACCGAACCAATAGCACCCACCTAAATCCGATTCCATTCATAATCTTGATACTATCGAGCTTATGACAACGGACAACGCCAACTTGAATGTAATATTTTTTCTTTATATTGAACGCTCTATGTAAGAATTTGTATCTCTAATATCGTTCATATCAGAGTATAAAATCAAGTAATATACTTATAGTATAATTTTTGTTGAATAACATACAGCGAACGACGCAAGCTCAATATCGATACAGCGGTGTTTACATGCCTTGGATGTTGACTTCTCGGAAATGATTACCTTAATCCTTTAATGGATTTGAAAAATATGAATGCAATCAAGGTTTATCGTCATAATTGCATTACATTCGTTTGAAAAGAAATTCATTTTGATACTGTATCAAAATTTTCAAGCTATCGATAAAGTGCATAAGAAATCTTTACGAAGTATGAGTTGCTCTACAATCATTTTATGGAAATTTTTAACATGAAAATTATATTGTAAAGATAAATGGTTTCTACAGAACGCAACATTTATGCGTTTTGAGATATAAAAAGTATTGCAATATGTCTTTAAGTTGGAAACTAAGGTCTCAAAGCTTTTTAAGTTGAAATCTTAAACCTACAGATTTCAAAAGAATTAGACCGAGCATTGATCATTGTGGCATGTCGAATAATCTATATTAGTCTCTCTCTCTCTCTCTCTCTCTCTCTCTCACTCTCTCTCTCTCTTTCTGATATTCTCTCCTACTCTTATTGAGTAGGAACGTCACTAAATTTATTCATTAGTTCGCGGACTTTATAAAAATACATAGGTGACAATCAATTAAGCGAGACCCATTTTCGATAGGCAGCTAGCAGTGATAATGAGGAAAAGCATTACATGCTAATTAGGGTGTTCACCTCGACGCAACTTTAATATTATTAAAGAGGCGTTGTGACAAATTGTCTCCACCTACAGATGTCAGACCCTGCTGCTATACTATAGCATGTGATCTTTATATTCTCTCGTGTCGTGGTTTATTCGCTTGCTTGCCTGTTTCCTAGCATTAGTGTGGCCATAGATACAAATAATAAGGCGGTCTGCTTTCGCAGTTTATTAGACAAATAAGAAATAACTCAAATTTTAGCAATATTTTGTTGTAAACAGCTTTACTGTGTAAATCCAGGCAATCTTGGATGTCATATCAGAGTCGCGTTTTAATTGTTTGCAATTGAATTTTCAAATCTTTTTGAAACTGGTCTTTACTAAGACGATGCAGGTGATTTCTAAACCTCTTTAAGTTTACCAAAAGACACCTGTTGTGTACTTGATTTGATGCTGGCACATAATAAAACCTTTCTGCTGGATAGCAAACACCGGTATTGGAAAAGAAGAAGAATGCAAATAAGTCGTTAAGATAGGCTCTTCAGGTATTCATGTCGTTTGGCTTTACGAGGTGATTAGGTTGAGATAGTCTCCGGTCACCAGTCTCCTGCTAAATGGATGAAATTAAGTTTTCTAATGTTTTTTCTTCAATCCTTTCAAGGGCTTTTGATTTACGGAAGCGTGTCCCTTTGCATTTAGTTCTTCAAATTTCATTTTATTGGATATTCCATATGCGAAAGAGAAAACAAAATCTATTCTGTATTTTGATTGGTTTAACGCGTTTGGACACGCTTAAGCGACAATGGCTACTATAAACTGGTGTCTGCCATTTGCCTGTCGTTCGTCGTGATTTCAACAGTCGTTGCTCTCTTCTCGGAATTCAAGTATTTTCAAAGTACTGCATTTTAAAAATGCTTATTTTCCGTATTATTTCTTAACATCTGGCTGTGAGCACACATTAAATTCATGATGGGAAAGTTTGACAAAAAATCCTATTTTCTTTCAATTCAGAAGTCAGAACCATTTTTTGAATTCTTCCGTAAGCTTTTAACAGAAAATCTTTTCAAAATCCAAGTTAAATTCTAGGAATCTTAGGTATACATCAACTGACATAAGGCTACCAAAGAAAACTCCTAAATCTTAAATCCTTAATCTCGAATTGTAAACTTTGATTTGTAATTAGGGTAATTTTTTTATAAGAGTTTCTGTAAGTATCTAAAGTGGAAGAACCCTTGAAAAACAGCATTGCTGAAGAGCTACCCTCCTTAAACATTTGAAATGAAATGAATGGAATGAACTAAATACTCCCAAAATAGTAAACCAGAATAAATAACATACAACATTTGTGTTATTGGTCGTAAAATCTATATTTTTAGGCGGCACACTGTCTTCAGAGGCAAGGCTAGTTCAAGACTTGATGCGAAATTATGTTAAGTATTCGAAGCCTACGATAAATGCATCAGGCACAGTGCATTTGGTGTTTGGAGCAGAGTTGGTACAAATTGTCTCAATAGTGAGTGTCTCTTGGCTTTTTTCTCAATTTTTCTTTTGTTCAAGGGCACACAATGATGTCTTTACTGCTACGATTTTTTATAATATTAATAGCCTTGATCGCAGCTTTAACACAGTATGGGCTATTGTCGGTGGAGTGGAGAGCTATGACGTAACAAGCCCCAGTTCTCTGGAGATGTGACAAGTGCGTCCCGGTTTATAGGCATTGCCCCTATTCCCCCTTCTCGTTGCGGGCATGATCCACCATTCTTGTTATATTCTTCAAATCAATTTTCTATTTGTTGACGTGTATCGCTATTATATTCCAATTGCTTTTTCATGTTCTTACTTTAGCAGATGATGCCAAACCAAGTATTGAGCACCAAGCTATGGGTGAGAATGGTGAGCACAATTTTCTACCTTCTTAAGTTTTCTTTAGTTAGGATTTTTACTATTTTTACAACTTTTGTTTGGTTCAAAGGCTAAGCAAATTTCCAAACGTTTGTCTCTCCTAGTTAAGAATGTCATCTTAACTTATGCTTCTTTGTAGAAGTGGAAAAACGAGCTGCTTGCTTGGAACTCTTCAGCATATGATGACGTCACTTCAATTCGGCTGAATGCTATTGATGTTTGGACGCCAGATATTCAACTCTATCAAGAGTAAGAAATGTTACCATCCATAATTTATCTGAGCTATTTACAACGTTAAGATAGCAGGAGGTTGCTTGCGCAGAGCTGAAATTATTTGAATTGTCTCTCCAACAAGACCTTTAAGCAATAAAGCATTCAGAGAGCTTAAGAACGACAGCTTTGAACTTTTCAAAAATGTAGCTTTTCAACTTAAAGACTACATTTTGTGCCGATTGATTTAGCTCTTGAACAACGTTTACTCAAAAGATCCAGAGTTAGCAAAAATGTTGGAATCAGAACAAAGGGTTCCGACTTGTGTTGACAAAAGAGTTCTTTTTACCTTCTGGACTAGATGAGAGATTTGCGGGGCCGATTGGTTAAAGATGAACCAATCAAATTCGCCATTCTTCCTCCCACGTTACTTTCGATCCATATCTGAATATAAATTCCTACTCACCTTTTGGCTATAACCCTATGTTTATTCTGCAAGAAAGTACTTAATTACGCTATGTTCTCCTTTTTCTTGCTATCTTCAATCATCCCCTTTTCCTTGCTCTTTTATATACAAGCGCTAAGGTAGAAGTACTAATAACACCTTTTGATTCGTAGATTTGATCCATCTCCAAGTAATGAAAAGAACAAGGATGGCCTGCTGTTTAAAACTCAGGTTATGGTGCAAAATGACGGAACAACATTCTGGAATTCCCCTGCAACATTTACTACCTCTTGCGAACTCCACCTTGCTGACTTCCCCTACGACACACAAACTTGTGATCTGAAGTTTGGTCCTTGGAATAGCGATGTATCGCATCTAAATATGACAACCGACAGCCTACCGTTAACTACAGACAAATTCATTGAAAGTAGCGAATGGGAATTGCTTTCAGTTGAAAAGAAGCGAAACTCAATCAAGTATGCCTGTTGTGACCACGTACACGGACGTAACCATTACGATAAAAGTTCGCCGAAAACCCCTGTTTTATTGGTTCAACTTCGTTGTTCCCTATGCTTTGCTTTTATTGGCATTGTGGGTCGGCTACTTCGTTCCAGCACAAAGTGGAGAGCGGGTCTCTTTATCCTTAGTTATTCTTCTCGCATTTTCGATTTTTATCCAAACAACATCAGCTTTCCTTCCTCGATCTTCAGAGCTTCCGTCGTTAAGCATATTGTATTTTGTCGTAATGATCGAAGTGGCGTTTTCAGCACTAGTAACCTGCGTTATCGTTACTGTTCACTATACGTCTGAATCAGGCGACAAAGCTCCCATGCCATTGTGGATAGAGAAGTACTTACTTATAAATGGAGAGAATTTTCTTCACAAGATCAAGTTGCTTTCAAAAACCAAAACTTTGCGTACGTTTGAGGAAAGCTCCCAAATGCAACCCTTTCCTCATACGTTTGAAAATAATTTTAAGAGCCTTGAAAGAGAGACCGGTTACCGTAAATCGAACTCAAGAAAAAACAGAAGCAAGCGGATGGAGGAAGATGAAAACAGGCCTAGCAGCTCTGTCACAGGTACCCCGACACTTTACAAAAATTCAAAAGGTCTTATGTGGCAGTTATCAGTTGAACGGACCGGCGAAAATCCAGAGGACAGTTCTTATCTGGACCATTTAGAGGTGTCGGGAGAGCATAGTGGATATCCTTCGAGTTTACCCCAGCTTGACGGAATACTAAAACAGTTGAGAATAATAACAAACAGATGGCGCAGTGACAATGTTTTCTGGGAAGCAGGTTTTCGATGGTGCAGACTGGCAGTTGTGCTAGATCGCCTCCTATTTATTGTTTTCAGCTTCTTCACTATATGTACTTTAATTAGTTTCACTGTTATAAGACCTGCAATTGCAACATCATGAACTTTTTTGTCAATAGATATTATCTTACATTTCTTATACATATAATTTAAATTCAATTAAATTCTAATACATATGATTTAAATTCAGTTATATTTGGTTAGCGATATCTAATTTTGATTGAATCGAATTTCTACCCATAACTGATAATATTTATTGATAAAACAGTTTAGTGAATTTTTCATTATTTTGCTTCAAAATGTAGTTTTCTGGACCATAATCATTATCAGATTTCATGAAAAGTTGAGCCTGTTAATGTATCATTTTAAATAAAGATTTACTTTGCAAGTTCTTTCTTCTTTTAATTTTGTTGCAATTACTTCATCTTGTGCCAAAGCAAGGTTATTCAAGCTCAAACCAACTAAAATTGATATATTTCAACTCCAGTCGCTCTTTATGCTTCCTTATTACAATCTAGATAGACCACAGAAAACTATGCAAAGATTACTGGAGTGAAAAATATCGTTCGTTATGACAAATTCATTGGCTGATAAAATGATGTTTCCCTTTACACTGAAATGTTGTATGTATCTAGGTAGCGGAAAATTACCCAGATAAGAGTATATGTAGGTAGGGATATTTTGAAAGCAAAAGGTAGGGGAATGGCCACTTTTTTGTAAAGTTGTGTTAAGGCTTATCAGTGGATGCTTCGAGAATCAAGTCAACAGGCATCGCGGAGCGTTGAGAAAAATGGAGGTCTAAAGTAAGTGGGGAGGGGGGCTAAAACCGTATAAAAAGAGGCTTTACTGGTAGTTTATTACTTAATGTTTGGCATTTTTCCCAGAAAGTTTTGCAAAATAAGTGAGTTGGACGAATTCTGTGTTGGCATCCATTTAGTATACTACAAATTTCTGATGAATGTGCAATTTCTTATCAGTCCTTTTGTGTCATTGAATATAGGCATGGAATTTTTCTGAACTTCAACCTTACTTTTGACTTTATTTCATAATACTAACAATTCCACCATGCCGATTCTAAATCCCAGATGGGTCACTTTTCACACAGACATTTAAGGATAGGATAGTTGATCTTTGAAAAAGTCTTGTTTTAAAAATTCCATCAAGCCTTATTCCTTCTTAATTGAAGATATACATACATTGATAAAGAGAAGCAGATTTTGACAAAGTACACTAGGGTATCAAAAGTATTGCACCACCTCGAAGGAGGAGAAATGGCGCATGAATGATCGAAAGCTATTGTTATGCAAATTATTTCTGTTTTTAGAGGGCCAATGGCAATTGGTTGAAAGCAAAACAACCACCAATCAAAACTTCAATCTATTTAGAGCATTTATTTGAAAAATAACAGTAGCAAACGTCCTTTAACAGTTTCAAATTTCAATATTTTGATGGGTAGCCGCAAACTTTTGAAACCACAAAAAGCCTCCTTGAAATGGATCCATGAATTTGGGCAACGTATTCTTGTAGAATTTCGCAATAGGCCTGGAAAATTCTTACAATTAATGATTCTCTGGCTTTTGGACGACCATTTGGATCACAGTTTGTAACATTTTTCATTTGAAGTCAAATTTGTTTAGCGATGTTTAAGATTGGACTTAATTCTGGCTATGCCAAAACTTTAATTTCTTTTGTATGGAAATAAATATTTGTAAAAATGGTTTCCGTTTACTCAGGTAACTTTTTCTTTTGTATTTGTGCAAAACACTCATTATATTTTCTGTGGACGGAATTTGAGCTGCAAAACCTTGCGCAGTGTTGAGTTTCATGCCTTTTACTGCCCCTTGGTGCTGTACGTAGTGAAATAAAACCGACAAATTCTTTTCCCTTTAACATCAAATTTATTTTGGTCGCCAACTTCTCGGTTTCTTTACTACTGTAACATTTTCGAGAAATCTTTTTTTATTTACCGCAGCTGTTGAGTAGCTGCATTTAACTTGGTCAACATTTTTTTTAAAATTAAAGACCACTTCCCCGTAAATGTTTTATAGCGACTCGCCTCTCATTTGACAATTTTGTTTCCTCAGGCACTGGCTACATTTTTACAGATAAAAATGTTTTTGCGTAATTTATACATTTTTAACTAAGTTTTCTATGGCGTCAGCAAGATTTGCAAACTTTTCCCGCCAAAGTTTGCTCTAAAATGCGCTTATTTCACCCAATTAATGCATTCAAATGTTTTGCATTGTCCAAAAGTCGACAAAATGTGCCGCCATTTTGAGCAGGGTGGTGCAATACTTTTGATACCCTAGTGTATGTATTATCAATTCTAAATGATGGTGCATTTTACATTTTTCGATAGAGCTCCATTCAAAATATGGAAATAGACTATGACTTTAGAAATTTTGTATCCCAGAACTAAAAAATTTATTTAAGGAAACTGCGACACTTTTTTAATCACTTAATATTTTGTAAAAACCAAATTTGCAATCTGCTGCAGAATTTGAGGTTATTTTAACAACAACACAACAACACCTACTTCAACTCGAGGCTCAGCAAAAAGGACAGGCGGGGTGTGGACCAGGTGCAGAAAAAGGTTTTTGTGATCCAAAAATGGTGAAAATTCTTCTTTTTCAGGTATGCTTGAAAGACACTATACGTTTTTTAATAATCTTAATTCACCCATTTGTGAATTTCGCAGAATTAGGCGTGATTACTCCATGGTTTGAACAGTGAGACGAAATCAGATATCAAGAGTTGTAAAAAGAGAGTTAGGTCCTAGACTAAGGATTTGGATAACGTTCAAATTCATTCTCATTCAACAACATAACTTACAGGTTCGTAGCTGGTATAATTATAATAAAATTAATAAAACAATGTTGTTATTTTATATTATTTGGGTAACATAAAGATTAATAATATGTTGTCTAGTTTAGTTTAGGGCACATAAAAAGTCTTACACGTGTGTATTGTTGGTGAATTTCATGTCTCACTGTTTTTTCTCCACTTTCGATGTGATTTTTACAACCTTACAATAATGTGATATGTTTGATCAAAAAGTAAGAAATATTTTGAATGCGATATATTCAAATTCACAAGAACTTGCTTGCTAACCAGTGAATTATTTCTGTTTATTCTAACAAAGTATTGAAATTTGAAGCCCAGACTGGAAACTTTGTTGCGCGCCCATGATATATTGCCTGTGCACTCAAATTTTCCATCTGTGCACTTTTGCATTTTGGTCCTGCAAAGTCCCTATTCGAATACATTTCACATTAATAACAATACAAATTTCCTAAAAATGTGTGATTTCAAGCGCGCAGTCCCGCAATCAGGCGCATGAACTTGCCTGCGCAAGAAGAAAAGTTTCCAGTCTGGATTTCAAATTTCAATACTTTGTTTGAAACTGAAAGTAGTTTGTCGTTGTAATTTTTTAGACTGAAGTAGACTGAAGTTTTGATTGGTGGGTGGTTCCTTCAATTAATCTCTTTAAAGTAGACTGCTTTTCTCTGTGTATATGGTGTTTATAATGTATCATTGTTATTTACATTAAATTTTTATTCTGGATTTGTTCTGAAACAAATGAATCTACAAAGAAAAGAAATGAAGGTTTCTTATGATTTAATTACCGTTTTATACAAAAACTTATTGTTTTAAACCCAAAATAATGCGGCTTGACACCATCTTGGCTTGATAGGTCTGAGAATTTACATATGCATTGCTTTCCAATTTTGAAGATTGTTTGCAGATATAGCTTTTGCAAAATTTTGTAATAATTGTGCAAGATCAATGGTGGTTTGCAGCAATACTAGCGGTACCTGCTTCATTTTAATTCTTGTTGAACTGTTGGCACTGTGTAATCCCATTATGCACAGCATGGTACAAGGCCAGTAGAAGATTAAAATTTTGGAAAAGCTGTTTGTTAACAAACATCACAAACCCATAAGTTACATCATTGGGTTTTCGTTTATTTGAATTTGCAAATTTTCTCTAGAAAGTGTGAGTTAGACATTCAAATGGCATACGACTGGAGCAAAATCCAGCTTTATGACTGGTTTTATGAGCAAATTGGACCAGATTGGATTGGGCTGGAGCATAGAAACTAGACATTGTCCTCACACAGGCTTTTCAAATAAATTCATGGCAAATTATAAAATGTATCTCAAGAAAAACAGAAAATAGGTTTGTTGAATGACTTTTTGTACATTCTTGCATTGGACATTTACAAACTGACCCAATGACATTGTTAATTTAGGCATGCAAAATAAAATTACAGAGTATGAAATAATCTTTGACCAAAAGAAATTTTTTTATGTAAACCTTACAATGGCTCATAATGTGCCCTGCTCTCAAAAACTTGAGAACTTAAAAGTATCTCATGGCTCTTTCTGCCAAAGAGCATTATGAACAGTTTTGAATCATTTTTTCTTCCAGTCAATTGTCAATTTCTCTTAAAGCAAAGCATACAAATCTAAGTGGATATATTTCAAGGGAACTGTCGCATGAATGAACAGGGCCAGCAAAACTGGGGGGCGGGGGGCCATGGCTCCTCCACTTTTCTGCAGAGCTAAAGAAAATTTTTAGGCAAAAGTGAAACTAAATGTATAATATGATTCTGTAAGTGACTTTGCCTAGTATTCTCTTAAATGTGTCCTTAGCTTTACCTTGGTTGCTATGTCTTTACCATAGAAGACCTACATAAAATTCAATATGGGAATTAGATCAAAGAAATCGGTCATTGTCTAAGATTTACAATAAGTGACAGCTTGGCTTAGCAAATAGATCGAGAAATCTTGTCCTGAAAAACTTGGTGCCAGCACAAATTGACAGAGTTTCGTTTTTTCCATTGCCTTAACTTGGTACACAGATTCTATTTGTTAACGAAAAAGAGAAAAATCAGCTGTTGAAGGAAAAGAAACAGCTGGAAAGAACTTTTTTGAGGATATGAGAAGTAAAGTATGGGCAGATCTGTTCTTAAAAAGTATCATCAAGAAAACTTCAGAGTTTGATCGTTTGGATAATCCATTCCTACTAAGAAAGAGAAAATTTTGACACAATTATAAATTCTATTTAAACTCATTTTGACAAGCCCAGTTTAAAGGTTTTTCAAATTTTTGTTAAAGCACTTAATTTCCGAAAAAGTCAAGATCAGATGTTACAAAGTTATATCATAGTCTTAGCTGTACAAAATTGCTTAACTTTTTATTTTTAGTTGATAGTTCTTCTATTGATATTTCAACGTTATTTTTTTTATTAATCCGTGTTTTCTTTTGTTTTTCCCTCATCTTATTTCGGGTAATTTTAAAATCCAAAAAAGGTTTCATCACGAGCTATATGATAGTGGTTATTCTAAAACTTTGCAAAACTTTTCTATTTCAAGTCAACATCACAATAGACGCGACTAAGCAACACCTTCAGTCAAAATTCATTTTATATACAGTTTCTGGCCATCCCTAAGACGCCATAATTATAAAATTTTTCTTGCTGCCAACCATGGTGGCGGTCTTTCCTAAGCCCTTTCATGACTTCAAGACTGATATTTTGCCCCCCCCCACTTTCAAATACGTTTTGCCGGGCCTGATGAACAGAACAAAAAAAACCTATTTTATCCCAATCCCTCCCCCCTCCCTATAGTCATTTTTACTCAAGGTCTGGGTTTGCCAATGGTGTAAGTACAAGCATTGGCACAGAAACAAACCTATAAGTTGATTAAATGTCAAAATTTTTCTGGTTGATCAAAACCAGTTGTAGCATTCAAATGTTACAGGTTTTTTAGATAATCTTAACACCATTAAAACCCATATTTTGGCTCCAGTCAAGACTTTTTCTAGTTCTGCCTTGGTAGACCTCATTCATCCAGTATTGGAGAAAGCTGTTGTGTTGCCATTAAACACAAAATTTTGCATTCAATGCAATTTTATCAAAGAGAGATGAAGAATAGTGGCAAGCTGAGTGACATTGAAAGAATGTATTAAATTGTTGTTTTCAAACAGTGGTGACTGCAAATTGCTGAACCTGTGATTAAATTGCCTAGGATAAATTGTGAATTGAAAAATTTAGAGAGATTATTAGAAAATCTTCTCTGCAAAATGGTCTTTAGAGTTATTTTCACATGCCCATGAGCACTTTTTCTTACCTTTGATGTAACTTTAAACGATCTAATTCTATCTTGATGATTTTTTTTTGATAAAGCATATTTATATTGATGCAAATTTGTAATTAATGGCTGGAAATATATGTCAAATGGAATAAAAGTGAAAAGAAGTGAGAGCAAATGGGCGGCAGCAAACGGTTCAGCAGTGAGGCAGCCTAATTTCAGGCAAGAAACGACAATGGAACGATGCGGTAAGGGACATTACCGGATTCACGTACCGGAGCAGCCTCTGGTAATGAAAATAGAAAGCACCCTTGATGTAATCTACCAAGACCACGATGCTGAATATCAAGTCAACGCTGAAAATGATGTTCTGGGAGCTGTTGATCAAGATTCAACCGCTCAAAAAGACCAAGTTGATTGATACAGTTCACGCTAGAGCAGTGGTGTCGTAGAGGGGAGCTCAGGGTGGCTCAGCCCTTCTTGTTAAAATTCATAGAGATTCTGGGGGCGTGATCGTGAAATTTAATTTTCAACGCCGTGAAAGCGAGATTTGCAGTTTTTTTATGCGTGATTCCGTGATTCAGCATGGATACCTGGAACCCCCCTTATTTCTTGTAGTAACACTGCTCAGTATAACTTAATCAATCCAAGAGAGATCTACCCTAAATGTTCATCACATTCCTAATTCATTTATCTCATGTCCATACTCTAATCATGGTTGCCAGATATTTGAAATGTTTGGTAGCCAAAAAATTCACAATTTCACAGTTCATGGCCAAATTTGGCCCACTAAACAAAACGTTCAAAATCACCTAAATTTGACTAATTGCATGCAAGACTAGATTGATAAAAATTGGTTTTGCACGTTAAAGTTACATGTGTTTGATTTGTTTCATTGTCTGTTATCTTTTACTTTGTTTCGTCATTTGAAATTTCCAGATTTTTTAACATAATGTTTTGCATTTTTGTGGGAAATGGTTTTTGACTTTGTATATTTGTTTTGTTTTACTTTGCTGTTCACTTCCAGCAAATTTTAGCTTACTTCTGCTTTTCGGCCAAATCAATTTCCGACAACCAAAGGCTGTGAAAAAAGGCTAGAATGGAGGAATCTGGCTGTCAAAACGACCAAATGGCAGCCTTTACTTCAATGTGAACCAAGCTTGAAAAGTGACGAAATTTCGCACGAGACAACAAATCGTTTGACCCCGATGTTCTGTAATAAGAGTATGATTTCATCGTAATTGAAATTGCATTTTTTCGTTAGTAAATCGAACTCTCTATTAAGTTAGTAAATTGAATGAAGCCAGATAGAGAAGTGTGCGAATCACACACTTTAAATATTTTCTGTGCATCTGATGCACATGGCCAATGACTTGACAACTGATTTCATTTTAGAAAAAACATGCAGTCAACGAAATTAGTTCTCCACATGCCAAGGAAAGCAGAATATATCTATAAAAAATAAGTCAATTGTGTTGGTGTGTTTTGAAGAAGATGATTGAGTTGCTCGTTGGATAAATTGAAAGTTTAGAGATCTTTTACACGACAATGCAGATCTTTCATTTGAAATTTATCTGTTTAGAATGAAGAGTTGGTTTTGAATAAGAAAGTAGAAATTTGGAAAAATTGCATTTCCAGTGTTTTGACTAATTTTCCTGCAATGAATATATATTATTGATCTATTTTTTAACTCTACAGCAGTCAACTGAGGAGAAGACAATGTTCCTTCTTCAGAGAATTTGCATTTATCCTTAATTCATTGCGTTGGTTAAGAAGAGAGGATAATGGCTGACATAGAGTTAGAGGTATTTATGCATATCGTTTATAAAAGATTATCAACTATTTGTGAATCATAGTGCACTCTGTTTGAGTTTTACATTGAATAACAATCAATTCTCACTTTATGCATGAATAATGAGTCCATTTAACGAATACATAAAACGACGTGGCTGCTAATTACTTCACGATGGTTATTTTGAAGGGAATAATGAACTGCCATGGTACAGAACATAAGAATCCTGGTTCATTAGATGATGCTTTATTCCCTCATTCATTTCTTACTTGCAGCAACAAAAGTATAAAGGTTATAGATAGTAACTTGTAAGGTTAAGGGGGCAAAGGCCTGGGTACACGCCCTTTAGGGCCTGTTTAATGTAGAAAATTATCCCACCTTCAAGCCTGTGAGCTGAGAGGTGAGATCCCACTTTTCTATAAACTCCTGTGTGTTTTTCGTCTTGTGTTTTTGTGGAAAACAAGCCAGCCCAAGTAACTAAGATAAGATAATTTTTTCCATATAAACGCTGGAAGGTGGGATGAAGCTGGAAAATTTGATGAAATGTTCGTATAAACGCGATCATATTTTGTCCCATTTGTCAGCACATAGACTGGAAGGTGGAATGATTGTCTCCGTATACAACTGGAAGGTGGGAAAGAATCTGCATGTCAACATTCGATGATTTCATCCCACCTGCCAGATTATGGGCTGAGGGGTGGGATAAAGTTGCTTACATAAACAGGTTCTTAGACGGCCGCAAAAGGTCCGTTTTTAAAAGAGCTTTGTGGTCAATTGGAGGAAGAGGTTGGCCACCTTCTTGCTTCCTGGCTACATTAGTGATTATAAGCGTCAGCTCTTAAGGTGACCAATAAAACCTAAACTGCTAGGTCGTCCCCCAAGCTATTTCTAGGTAATGAGTGCCCGTTTTGGTGTACTCACCCATATGCTGCAGAATGTATTTTGGTTTAAGGATTAAGGCTAGTTTATGGTGTAGTGTAATGAACATAAAAAACAACTGTCACCACACCTAATCGTTAGCTTATGATTCACCTCATTTTATGACAATTCTACATTAGTTCAGAATACAAAGAAAACGCTTTTTCTCAACAAAACTTATAGATATGTTGTTAACTCATTCCTTTAAATAGATCCAGTAAAATTCTTACCCTAGACTTATGGACTTGGATTTTTGTAATCGAACGTTCTTTTTATAGGGACTACTGAGGGGATATAGATTGTATCACTTCAGCAGTTCTCACTCATAGTTAATCGTAAAGAAGTAGTATTTTATATTATGGTGTTATTGACCACTCTGCATTCATTCTTGCCCCAAAGTACCACTTTTCTAATGTCTAAAATCCAAACGATTGATGAAAAATATGGCACAAACATAATTCATTCATCGATTCTTTATTCACGAAGGAAATCAAGACCAATATTGGGTTAACATCGACAGAGGCTACAAGAATATTACAGAATACAATAAAAGAGGAGCTAAAGCTCTATGATCAAACGACAAAGCTACAATTTATCCATGATGTTATCAACACTTTCTATAAGGGAAAGAGCACGCCAATGGACTGGTTTGGGGCTTCTCTGTTGTTTGTTGAGGCAGGAGTTTTGTTTACTGGATATCGTCTTGGTGATGAGAATACGTAAGCTGAGTTGATTCTTATCATAATTTCATGCTGTCGATTATATACAAAATATCAAAAATAAAGGCTCAGTTTTTTGTTAATTTCTTGTAAGACTGATGGGGATTCGAAATACAATCATGATAAGTCACAAGATTTTACATCACTTGCGTCGTAACTGATATATATAGTTTGTAACTTTTTAAAACTTGAAATGTAAGGTTTTGTTTTTATTTAGATTGGGTGTTGGTAGCTTAAAGCTCTAAAGATATTGTCTTAAGTTGCCTACGTTCCTAATAATTCCCCTCAATCCTTGCAGAGGCCTCGCTCCACTAATTGAAGGATTGGTTGTGCTGTTATGTGCTGTCTTTACAACTGTCCTCTGTGTAAGAGAGAATCGATTGCAACACTCAGAAGTATCAAGAAACTTCAGAGAAGCTTTTAAAAGAAACAAAGGTGAAAGCAGTGGAAATTGATTTAATTTAGAAAGGATTTCTCTCTGAAAGGATTCCTTTCCTTCATTTACTTTAAAAAGACATCTAGTGCGTTTTTATTGCTTTCCCATTTCTCTTTTCCAAGAACATCGAATAGATTCACCTTATGTGTTAGCGATCTATAAATGCAAAAATAGATTAATATATTTTTATTGTTGTGATGCTGGTCAAATGCAAAGGAAATTTTTATTAAAAGATTAATCCTTGAACAGGTCCTCAATTTTTTTCGAAGTAAGAGAATCGCAAATCACTACGAAATAAAGAAAGAGTTGGTAAAAAAGTTGGCGATTTTTCAAAACAAAACTGTGTTTTTTATGTTTGATATCATCAACTTCTGTAGCATTTGTCATCATACAAAGAGGAAAGTGGAAATCACCTGGAAGATGTGCTCAAGCAAAAACATTGAAACCTTGCTATATATCAATGTAAAAAAACCTTTTTTTTCGAGTTCTTATTACTATATTACATAGATAAAAGAATTGATAGAATTTAGTTTTAGACAAAAGCTAATTACCTATAAATGTCTATTTTTGTTGTTAATCTTAAATTTTAGATGATTTGCAAGGAGACACCTACATTGACATCAAGTGTCCGAAATCACCATCAATAACAATGACAGGGACATACAGAGACAATAAACTGGTCAATCTACCATGGAACCTGTTGGTGGAAGGTGATGTCGTAGTTTTAGGGCCTAGTGAAACTGCTCCTACCCAGATTAAACAGGTATTTGCTTCAGAAAGTTAGACCCTGATTTTGCAACCCCCCTCACAGCTCATTGTTGATATCTTTGTAGTTCCAAACTTTGAGTTTGTGATTGACTTTGGGGTAATTGACTTTACTTTATCTACATGTTCCTTGTCATATGTTTAGACATTTGTCTCGAGATCTTAGTCAAGGGTTGTAGATGTATTCTATCATTACTAAGAAATCAAATAGAGATTATTTCTCAATTATTTATCCATCGAATTATTTATTTGCTTACATCGAATGCATAAATTTCACCCCTTGGATGAAAAAGTCAGTCTCCTTTATCTCTCTTTTGCCAAAAGAGAACTTATTTGTTTTCTCTTTACTCTTATTCTTAGTAAAGTTATTATCTCAAGTTGATTTTTCATTAATACGCCACCTTTTTATTTTGTTTGGCAATGTCCTTTTGTTACTGGTGAATCAACAATTTCTTTCAACAAAGATGTCAATCATATTTCCCTTTTTCAGCCAGTGTCTTAATGCCGTGACGTCATAATGCGCCTTAGGTTATAAGGAGCATTCATATTTGATACTTGCCTTTCTATGGCTTACAACTTGCCTTATCTCATCAAAGTTTTTAGTTTTCCAAGTATTACCTTTAAATGAAAGCGAATCTGGTTTTTTAGATTGTCAACGAGAAATGTTATCGCTCTTTTCCGTTCTGCCTTGATGCTGGAGAAGTCTTCAACCCTCCTTTTACCACGTCAAAAGGTAACTTTTCATTTTGACAGCGGAGGTCTGTCTATAGTACAGAAATCTCCTGTGCTTGTGCATGCTGTGCATTTCTGTAGAAGTAGTTTTAAGCAAGATTATCTGTCAGGAGACATTGATAGGTATCGGTTATATGTAGATATTTAAGTTTCCATGGAGAATGTTAATACAGTCTATACATACTATCAATATATTATTTTACCATATGGGTACCGTGATTTTCTATGAGATTAAATAACGATATGGAATGGAAGTATAAACGCCTCAAAATGTGTTTCTAGAGTACGAATATAATCTGGTGTAACTTCTCGAAGTTGTCTGCAACCCCTGTCTGTTTCCTGCGTAAGGCCAACCTGCGTATCTGTATCCATAAAACGAACAGCTATAAATGCTATATCGCTCAACTCATTGACAAAAAAGAAACAGTTTCATGCTACCTGCCATGGTTCTGGCTGTTGGTTGTTCCTCTGAATTCTGTGAAAAAATCGGAAAAGCTCTCTTTGCGAACGCTCCCCCTATTGGGATTTGCTATCCTTGTTGAAGTGTTGTCGTGGTAGCCCTTATGCTTGAGATAGGTGAAGGGTTTGTTAAGGAATTGAATCGGGATAGGTAAAGGAATTGTTTATTTTCCGGTGAGAAAAGAGTGTTTGAGTGTTGAGAAAATAGAGAGCAGGGAATAAGTGGTTGGAACAAAGATGAAAGAGCAAGAGAAAAGGATTGGCTCTGTTGCCAGACTCTAAGTAATTAAGAGAGCTAATTAGTAATGATAATTTCATAGCCTTGATAAGCAGATGTTTCTAATTTTTTCTAAGAGATATCTCAAAGAATATGATTTTTAACGAGTCATCATTCTTTTTTTTCTATAGTTGGAGTCGAAGAAGGAAACCAACCTTCGAGTTGTCAGCCATACCCAGAACAAATGTTTATGGTGACTGAAACCCCAATGAAACGCTGCATAAGGTTCTTATTTTAATGTGATATTAAGAACAATAATGGCATGTAGCAAAGGGTTGTCAGTTCAAATTTTATTTATACATTAGTGAAAGGGAATTCAAGGAGCTGTGGGAATTTTTTAATAAATTTGATTTGGAATTAGGGGAACGTCTTATTGCAATATATTGAAGTTGTATAGCAATAATTTTGGAACTTGCATTTCATAACACGTAGCTTTGAATATCGTTTTACCTTTCTCAGTTTTAGTATGCCGGGAGAAGAATAACTGTGTGGTTTTTATATTCAGGCTTAAGGAGAACGAGTACATCTCATTCTTCAGTGTTTTCATTCTTTTTCTCTGCTCCTCTCGATGAGATTTGCTTTTCAAAGCTCTTGAAATCATTACCAATCGAATCTTTTCTAAATACCCAGTTTTGATACCTTTCTTTCTTCATTACGATTTGCCTCTAATGATAGAAAATCTTTTTCATACCACGTTAAGAAAATGAGTTTTTTTGTTAATGAATCTTTATATGTGTATTCTGTGATTTCCCTTTCTATTAGTTTTGATTGTATTTCTGTTTTTTTAGATCGACATTCCAGCATTGTCGCCAGAGGCCAGAAAGTGTTTTGAACCATGATATGAGACGGGTCTTAGTTGTCCTTAGGAAGAAAGTCATATGGTTCTTTCTGGTAATAGCCAGTTGTTATCTATAAAATTATTCTACCACTCACTGATCACACATTCTGATGAACAAGTAGCTGATTACATTAAAATGGAATTTACCAGCATTAAAGAAGGATGGGCTGGGTTTGAAACAGAACCTCCGTAATCCTTTGGTTTAACATTACTTTCCGTCTAAACCTGATTTTCAAATTTAAGAACTCAAAGGAGGTCAGAGGTTACACCGAAAAGAGAACCTGGTGTTATTCATATGATACTTATTTCTTGGCGACAAATAATCTCAATAACTCAACCCACCAAGGGAACGATAAAATACGTTCGAGTATATTATAGAATTCAATTTTATACGCATATTCCATACTTGGTTTGAGCATACGATATACTTTCTCGACCTTTCTTTAAGCCACACCAATCTCATGAATTATAGTAAATATTTTCTTGTATTTATTCTAGATTTCGTCTTTGCTTGTTAACTACGTGAGACTCCGTTTAGAGCCTGCCACTGTCGGCCATTACAGCGAAGTGATGCTCCTAGCAACAGTAAGTGACGTCATTGGTCTAGTTTGCGGCGCAATCTTCTTTCATCACTTCTATGCAGACAAGATATTCTTCCCGCAACGATAGAACCTGATTGAACGAAGTGGCAAAGTATGTTATTGGATCGAAAATATACGTGCGAAATTCGAATCAGTTGCTGATAGGCTAAATATATAATTGCTGATACCATGAAATAAGCTTGACTTTTTATGTATCCCTTATTCTTGGCATTAGGTGACTTCAAGTATAGTTTCTATTGCGATACAAGTGATGAATAAATAACAAGAGCGAAACGCTCCATTGTCAAAGCCCGAACAATTCATTCTACCCAGAAGGGTATGATCAGTTGCTTATTTTCTCCTTTTTTCGTCTTTTCCACAGGGATACGTGCTGTTGCCGCTGACGCCCATCATATTTCCCGTGCTTTGGATACTTGTATCTCTTTATGGCGTTGCAAGGATCAAGGCCGCCTTCAAGCACTCAGGAATAGTATGTTCATCAAATCCATTCGAACCCTTTCATTTCTTGTTAAGTGTACAAAGGATCACCGTGGCTTTGGCTAGCTACTACCACTCTTTGACAAGTTGAAGGAGAAAAGTTATTTTTTCTTCGGAAGATGCAGTTCCCCTGTCCTGTTGACTAGTATTGCTCTTAGGTTTTTGGGGGTAATGATAAAGCCTCCGTCTATCGGACTAAAGAGACAAAGATCGTATAGTGGGCTTTAGTCTCGAAGAGAAAATTTTGAGAGGAAACTGTTAGCGTGTTATTTGAAAATGTCTACCCTAAATTGAGGCTTCCAATATTATTTGATAGATTCTTCCCTTTATTTGGAGTTTTTCGCGGACTCTTTACTTGTTTGTCCCTTTCTTTGCTGGAATGCAAATCCTTGTCAAAAGATCATTTAAATATAGTTATTCCTTAAGTGCGTGCTAGATTTGCGTCACCATAGTCATTCTCTATAGTCATTGAAAGGCATTCTCTACCATTGGGCAAGTCCTTGAAACGTTTTGACATCTTGTTTATTCCATCAGCATTGGGGTATTATAGAAAGAAATAATCGAAATCCTTCCGTTAATTTTTAGGTACGAACTCGAGAGCCAAATGCTGTTTGGGAGGTACGATTCGTGTAAATCATATTCTGATTACGATCTTTTCGTTATTTGTGCCACCTACAATCACTGCCAAAGTTATCTGGAACACCCACCACTTTGCGCTGTGCCGCTCTATTTTTAATTTGTTTTCCCGAATACTACTACTTCCGTCCCCCTTTCCCCCCAAACAATGTTGAAAGTATATAAAAATATCATACAAGGCACACGAAAAGCGTACTCCATAATCCCTTCCTTTTTCTATAGTAAATCAACATTGTTCGTAGGGGGAGAGTGAGATGGCTGAATCTGCCTTTTAAAACTGACGAAAAACTGAAGACTTTTAGCAATGATTGTAGTCACTGTATATTATTCTTACGTGTTGTCTCGATTTTTGCAATGTTTGTTTCAGTCATTCGTGGTTTATAGCTAAATTCATAAGGCATCCTTCCAGGTATGCAATGCCAAGTAATTTTTATTTAGATATTGTTTTTTTTGTTTAGATTGACGATATAAGCTTGAAGTGGACATTGAAAGAATTCTGGAAACTAATTCGTGGAGACCCATCTTGTTTGTCAAGGACTGCAAATCTTTTACACACTCTTGGCAATGTGACGGTAAGTAAATAAAACCACCTAGAATAATAATTTCAAAGAACTATTTCAGGACTTTGTTATCTCTATCCCTGAAATCAGTTTCCTGCAGGGTATGGCAATAGGGAACCTGTGTTCATTGTATCCCTTTGATTTTGTCTTCGTGTTCAAAATTAATTAGTTTTCATGGGGACAGTTATTGTCTTATCGCGAAACATTTCTTTGCCAGGTTCCTTAGTATATAGTGTGCTTCAAACACGTAACATTTATGTACAATATTACACTCTTCTCGGGGCGCATGTGCATTTTGTAGCAGGGATATCAACATTGACTACCAAGGAGTCCACAATCCAGGACAAAATTCTTGCGACAAAATGTAATTTTTGCAACTTTCTACTTTACGTTGCCCCGGTAAATTCGAATCCCCCCTTTTCCCCCGAATCAATATTTGATTAGCACTTCTATCATTTGTGCTTTAAAAACATGCATTAAACATTGAAATCAGGAGAGGAGAAGTCGTTTTTTCAAATGGATGAGAAAACATCAATTTCTCTTGATTAGTTCAAACTACTTTTTCCGGGACTGTAGTATTTCATTGCTCGTTAGAGAGGCATGAAACAAATGATGATGTTTTATTGTCATTGCTCCGTCAAACAAATGTTCAATTCTTTTTGTTTTTGCTTTATCGTAGGTATTTTGTTGTATCGATAAGTTAGGAGTTCTTTGCTACCCAAACCTGACACCTTCCAAAGTCTTTATGTTTAAGAATACGCAATCAAATGAACAAGCCATTCAACACAAGAGAATCGTGAGATTGATGTCGGAAACATCAGATGCTGATGATATGAAGTCTTCTGACGTTGACTTTCCTGAAATCGAAGGTAGGTTTGCTTCATCTATTCATCTATCGTATTTGGACATTGATGCTTTGACACTACCTTGCTCCCATCCTCTTCATCCTTTATTAAAGTAAGTAATCGACCAATCAATATACCTGGGAGTTGTATCGTGCTTTTTGATTGGCTAATTGTATCTGTCGATTGCCAATGACAAGAGTCGAATATTGTCGTGATGATTTCTCATACAAGCCTGTCTTCAATTAGTGAGAAGTGGTTAGAAATTCAGTCAGTGTTAATTGTCTAAAGGCAATGTTTACGTCGATTTTTTTGCCAAAAGAACTCATCCATATCGGTTCTTTGTGACCAAGCGATTTAAGGTACTGGACCAAGCGATTTAAGAAAGACTTCCGTTGACAAAAACAGATTCCTTGCCGAAATGCTAGTGCAGTCTGTGCGGTACATTTATTCGAGAAACTTTATTTTTAGCAAAACTCTTTTTGAAAGAACTTTTCTTATAATTTTACTATCAACGTTTTTCTCCGTTCAAGAGTACCCTAGATATTCTATTTTACCCATTTTGTAAATTAATACCTAACGGTGACAAATTTCCTTTGCAGTTTTTGATAATATGACAATTGAACCCTATGACACAGAAGTTCTCAACTTGTCTTACGACATCAAGGTAGGTTAATAGGTCTTTAGAATTACCACAAAGTACCTGATTTTTCATTTGATATTCAACCCTTTGTTATGAAAAAATATTTCAGAAATTATTTTTAATATTGTTACAGAAAGAAGTGAAAAATTGTATTCCTTCTGTATTATTGTAGATTCCTTCTAAAATGTTAATGCAAGCAGCACTTGTAAACCTAGTGATAGGTAAATGACGTCGCTATGGCCTTTTAAGGTCAAAAATGCGTTTGTGTCACAAGCTGTCTATAGTATCGTTGGAGTTTCGTTGTCGGAATGTGTGAAATTTCTCTTTCCGGGTCTTGTCTAAGTCCACTAATCTTGTAAAAATGTTGATTGATACAAGTTCTGTTATTCGATCGCCATTGTTTACTGGCATGTTTTGAACCAATAAAAAATCATTTACGGATCCACGTGATCATACCGCATGATCTTGGGCCTTCACTAACCTTGGGCCAATCGTCAACAAACAAATAAATATAAATGACGTTAACCCAAAATGCAATTAAATTCTTCGTCCTTTCTTATTTTTAAGCAAGTTAAATTCTGCAGCTTTTCAAGATTCTAAATCAGCTTGTTCCTTTGAATGCAGAACACTGCCTGCTGTTATAATGTAGACACTGAAATATTGTCTTGTCGAATTTTATGAAAAAACCACATGTGCCTTTGTGCTCTTTTTCTGAGGGCAAGGTGTTATAAATAAAGCTGGTGAGATGTTCAAATTAGCCACGATTAAAGGTTGTGAAGAAAATAAATGAGAACAATAAATCAACATTACGCCTATCAACGCGACATTTGGTGATTCTTTGTTTAAATTCAAAGATAAAATAAGGGTTTGATTGCGCTTTCATTGGTATAAGTTTTGTCATGTTGGAAAATAATTGACTTTTCAAGCTGTTAGTTGATTTTTTTTATTTCTCACTACCGAGCTTCCGAAGGTAGTTTTTAGGACACCGAGAAACTGGTGTTTTCTCTCTATGTTACCTCATCTCGTGATTCTCAAGCCTGGAAAAACAGAGAGCCGGGAACTCTCCCCTCTCGAACTGAAAGTTTGACCATGGCACTGACACGAACCTTATGTCTCTTTATCTATAGTCCACGGCCCTAACAACTTAGCCATCCTCAAACCTAATTAGAAATTAAGTATACAAGCTTTTTTTATAGAGCACCAATGGTATACAATTCGATGATGAAAGATGGAAAAGTCACATCGAGTCTCTCAAACCACTGGTAAAGTTGCGGATGCATTTCTTAATCCGTTTATTTCACAACTTATGTAACAAGTCTCCTCTATCTTAGCCGCAAGTGCTAAAGTTATGCAATCGTCAAAACCATCGTACTCAGCATGAAACTTTGAATTGCAACATAGAACAGTTCTACTTTATCAACAGAGGGTACAACCCTTCTTGTACAGCATCGAATACTAAATGAACAAACCGGTTAACAAATAGGTTTATTAGTAATTCGATCAATCTATACCATTCGCATTATTGCTAGTCATTGCTAATCGTAAACATACTTGGGGCTTGTTTATATTGAGAAAATCATCCAACCTCCTGTGAACCACCAAATGATATTCCACCCTCCTATAGAATCAATTGGATTTTTCGTCTTACGTTTTTATGGCAAACGTGCCAGCCTGGTTAAGTAGTGGGATCTCACTTGGGAGGGATGAAATTTTTACATATAAACTCTGGAAGGTGGGATGAAATTTTTATATACACGCTATCAAATTTGGTCCCATTTGTCAGCACTTAGGCTGGAAGGTGGGGTGATTTATTCCATATACAGCTGGAAGGTAGGATTAAATCTGCATAAGAACATTCGATGATTTCATCCCACCTGCCAGATTATGGGCTGAGATGTGGGATAAATTTGTTTATATAAACAGGCCCTTAGCCAATATAATCCACTATCTAAATTTTATTCTTCTACCCTTCCGTTGATTTGAAATCACACTTGCTTTTCAGGGTCTAAATCTCCTGCTTAATTCACCATGCACTTTTCCTTTCAAACGTTTACTGCAAGAAAACTTTACAGGACACATATCACTCGCTGCTAATAGCTGCCCTGTACCTAATCTTCGAAGGTAAACGTTGGTTGTATTTGTAACTTGACTGCATTTTGCTTCATGAAGTAAATAGTGATGTGGCTGGAGAAGAAAGAGGCAGTATAATAGATCTCCAACTATTTCATAGAGAACATCAACTATAATACAGTTATATGTACTGGTTTTGTCTTGTAATATTAGTCTGTTCAAAACTTGCTTATGGACAATTGAATTCTGTGTTCCTTTTTTCAACTGCATAATTCTAAGCACTACAAGATTTGGTGTATAGTTCTGATAGAATGGTTAAACAATTTAACGTTATTTTCAAGAAACGAGTCTACATTTCAATATTTTTTGTTTTCTACTAACACGTTTGTTTGAATTCGCTCTAGATGCTCTTGTCCGCTCGCACGAGAAATTGGGTTTAAAGATCATGTGCTAGATGGATTCTCTAGATATGGGCAGATTTTCGCATTCAGAACAGTGGTTAGAACAAAAATTTTGTTTGCATCAGTTGTAATTAGATGTGTGCTATCTATGTGTGCACTTTTGATCAAATTTTCTTGCTTAGAAGGCAAATCCAATTCATGACACAGAGCTGGGTGGGTCGTTCTTAATCAATCACAGGTGTTTTTCTCACCAATATTGAATTTCCAAGTATTTGTTGCTTGGCGCGCCAATTATTTCAGCACCTTTAGGACAAAGTTGATGTGCAGTTTACTGGGGCATTGAGAAGGTTTTTCTTTTCACAAATCGCTGTATAAACAAAGAATGAATATTTAATAAATTAAATTTGAACTTCCAAGTATTTGTTGCTTGGCGCGCCAATTATTTCAGCACCTTTAGAACCGAGTTGATGTGCAGTTTACTGGGGCATTGAGAAGGTTTTTCTTTTCACAAATCGCTGTATAAACAAAGAATGAATATTTAATAAATTAAATTTGAACTTCCAAGTATTTGTTGCTTGGCGCGCCAATTATTTCAGCACCTTTAGAACAAAGTTGATGTGCAGTTTACTGGGGCATTGAGAAGGTTTTTCTTTTCACAAATCGCTGTATAAACAAAGAATGAATATTTAATAAATTAAATTTGAACTTCCAAGTATTTGTTGCTTGGCGCGCCAATTATTTCAGCACCTTTAGAACCGAGTTGATGTGCAGTTTACTGGGGCATTGAGAAGGTTTTTCTTTTCACAAATCGCTGTATAAACAAAGAATGAATATTTAATAAATAAATTTGCTCACGCATACTAATTGCAAGTTTCTCGAATTATACTTCCAGAATCTTGTTTAGCTTCTACTGATTCTTTCTGTAATATTGAAAGCCGACCATGGGCGAATCTAATACTAAATGTTTTTAAAGCATGTTTCGCGTTTCTCGAGTATGGCTTAAGACACATAATCGTTTCTTAATTTATAAAAGTATAGTGTAATCGTATTATTTTTCTACAAAAGAAGTCTCCAAAAAGTTACTTTTAAGAAATATGAAGCACAATCTTTTTTCCTATGATTTGGAATCCAACATTGGTGAAACTTAGAATATACATATCGTAGTTAACGTAATAACCCCAGGCTCATTATTTATCTGTTTCTAATGATAAGGCACCAGAAAAGTTGAGGAAGAAACTTTTTGTGGTTTATTTGTTTATGAATATTGTCAAAGACTGTCGAAGTAAGAAAATAAAAACAGTTTATTTTATCTAAACCAATCTTTTGATGACCTCCTGATTTTTTGTGAAGTCTCCTAATTTTCAGGAAAGTTTTTAGTTTTTGACAATAACTTTCGTTATTGCAGCATGCCTCTGAGCTTGCAGTCATCCCATCTGACGTCTTTCTGTCAATCGTCAAGGACAAGCTTGTTCCTAGTATGGTGTCAGTAGTTATGAGAGAAAATTACTCAGGTAGGCTATACTTGCAGCTGCTTCCCTAGTGGGCGGTTTAGGCTCTTTCAGTTTTTGAATACAGAAGATATATCGCGAGTGGATCCCCTGTATCTTTATCTGTGTTAAAAGGACAGTCGTATACAATCTTGGTTGCCACTGTAATGCTCTCGGAAGTTGCTTGTTATTCCATTTCTAAAGGTACTCAAGTTAATGGGGTCATAATTTCACTTTTTGCTGAAATTCAACAACAGAAGCCCTTATTTTGTAGACATTTTCTAACTTCATATTCCTTGATAAAAGTTTTTAATGTAAATCTAGTCCTTGATCTTTTATTATGTATATAAAGCATTTTGGTACCTGTTATTTTTATAAGATCAATTATGTAGAATTATATGATTTGAAGTTTTTTTTAAGTGAAGTATTTTGAAATATTTAATTAATAACCTTTGCAAATATAACAGTGCAATCCTAATTGTTCCACTGTTTACGCTTCCATTCATATCAAATCATCCCTTTTCTTTTGGCTCACCTCTAAGCATGTCATTTTTATTCTGCCTCGTTTAGGAATGTTCCAGTTGTTAACCCAAGGGTCTGCAGACCTTGTTTTGGATGCTTGTACAGACTTCTGGGATGGCGACGATCTTTGCGAATTATCGAATGACGAAAGGTAGCACATTGCAAAGATTCTAATTTTTTGAAGGCTGTCGTTACAGCAGTTGACAGCCCCTTCTCAGTTATTGTCTGTGATGCTGGCCTTAAGGGTACATAGCTTTCGGGGCTCGATTGAACTGCACATTCCTATAGAAGCACTAGCATTACATTCTTTTTTTATAAGAAGCAGTAAATTTAAGTTTAGGCTTAACTTTTGACCAATTTTGAGCCTCTCTTTTATAAAATTGTTCATAGAGAAAAAGAGTGTAATATGTATGGCATTCCCATCAATGTTTCAATTAAACACCCAGGGTGTGATTTAATACAGTATGCATTTTCAAACAGATTTCCTTTAATAAAGGCCTAAAATGCTGTTTTGATATTACATTGTTTTGGTACCCTTGTTGGTAACATTGATTTATTTTCCCTAGTACACCTTAAAGATTTTCTACTATCTTGCTCTTGTTTTAACCTTCTCAAACAGAGCATTTGTTTTTATCTTCAAGGAAAAAAGCACTGGATTTTTATCAGAGAATGAGCACAACTGGTCATTGCATTGCATTTTCATATCGTCCTTTGATTGAGGTGAGCCTTTGTAAATTATAGTATTTACCGACATAGTTTTATCGGTTAATGGTTTCACCAGACCTTCAAAAACGAGCATTTTGGTTTACTTTTAATCATCTCTAAAAACTCCAATTAAATCAATAGTATTTTATCATTTTTTTTCATTACATCAGATGTGTTTTCTTTTCTGCAGATTTTATTTTTATTGACTTCTTTTCAAATGTTTCAGCGATCTTGTGTTTCTTTTAATGACGATATCTTCATCGAATGTCCACCGGCAATGACTTTTCCAGCCGTCGAAATGGAGACAGGAAGCTCCTGGAGGTGACTGCCTCTTTTTTATTATCTTTTAAGAAACTAAGCCATTGATTCTGCCTAAGGTTGCTTTCTTTACACTATGCATGCTAGTTATAAAGAACAGTTATTTGTTCCAACTAAAACAACTCCAACTCCAACTAAAATATTTTTTCCTATGATTTCGTATAATCCTCTTTCTGTTTTATTTTATTTTTATTTTATCTCAGTTTGCCAAAGAAAGTCAGCGAGTCAGACGAGGTTGGTTCAATGTATTTCTTCCCCTTTTTCGTTTTGCGTCACTGAACTTGTATAACATCCCTTTTTTGTTAAATTTTACAATTACATTATGGAATTCACCTTATGGAATTCATGTAATTTATGCATACATATATAAGAAGCGGAAATCCATACAGTACTTGTTCAATTATCCGGTCTTCTCGGGACACGGGATTTCAAGATTCGTGCGGATAATCCGAAATTCCGGATAATTGAAAATATACGAATAACGGCAGAAACCAGCATGAATAAACAAGATAAGTGTTGTGAAAGTTTTTTTCTAAGCACACACAACAATCTAATACACTTCAAAAACTCAGAAAAATATTCAAATGGAAAGCAAGAATAATGCACCCGATATATTATCAAAAATGCCGAAAATTTTTCCTAAGGTTTATCATTTTTTACAGACCGGATAATCGAAGTCCGGATAAACAGTTGGTCAGATAATTGAATAATTACTGTACTGTTTTTGGAATGACTAAATACTGAATAGTTACATCTTAAAACTAAGTTCTTCTCTCTCTTTCGTTGTGAGAAAATTTTTGATTGTTATAGTGTTTCGTCATTGTGTACATTATAATTTCAGACCGGAAGTAATGAGTTAGCTTGCATCTTTGAAGAAAAGCAGGAAAGTCAAGTTGTTCGCACTGATGATCCCCAAGATATGCTAAGGTGGGTAGGGAATAAAATTTATGGAGTAGTACTTCTCAGTGTTATCATAGAATAATTAGTGATTAAAGAATTGGTTTTACGTAGAAAACTTGCAATGTTTTCCCAACATTTGTTTGTATGATAAGAATTGGTAATATTTCGTGAAAAATGGTGCAAATCAAGTATTTGAATTCATTAAAATTCAAACTCTCCAAATTCAATGAAATAAAATGACTATGTCACGTCTATCTAAGTTATAAATTCTTCACCTCAAAAAGTTTCTTTTCTGAATATCTCTCCATTTCAATTTCATATTGCATACTATTGAGGATTAATATTTGCAAACGTTTAACTATTGGTTGACATTTTTATTCATAACTGATATTTTATTCATGTTTATTAGCCTTAATTGAAATTTTGTTTGTCAATAATTTCACTGTTTATACTCAGGATGTTGGGCAAGCAAATATTTATTGGAATGGTGACATACAGTGATTTAGTTAAAGAGGTGTGGTTGTTTTCTTGTTTGAATATTTCTCAAGATTTTTGAAGTACTTTTAGTAATGTATCTTAACTGTCGCCTGAAAAACGCATTATGCTTGAAACTCGAAACTTCCCTGTTCTAAATACCAAAGCGAGCGCTATCTGACATAGAGAGAAACTGTAACTTTTTTATCTGTAAAACTCCGAATTACAACTGAGAACTGCACTGTTCTCTATACCAAAACGTGTACAGCTCTGCCTATGTGGCAACAAGCACTATCTGACAAACCAGGAAACAGTTTTTCCATTACTTCACGAATAAATTGTTGTTAAACTACGAGTTTCCTGCAATAAAGGTTTTTGCATTAAAAAAGCATTTTTACAATATTCTTTAAAGTTTCTCTTTACATAGTTTTCACAAAGTTTGAATTTTATCGACTTGATTTCAGGGTACAAATTATAAAAAGTTTTGGAATATATGTATGTGAAAAGGCTTTTTAATCAAAAAATTCTCTTGTGACATATAAAGCACTTTATTAAGAGACAATAATTTTTCATATATTATTCATTACAAAATGCCTATCTGTATTTTTTTGAAGGCTTAAATAATATGATGAGATATCATGATAAAATATCATGATGAAATATGATGAGTTCGATACCGCGATGCTGAAGATCAGTTATGGGACTCACTTCGTGTTGCAGTTGAATTGAAAATTGACCATCAATATTTCCATACCAGGGTGATTTTAGCATTAATATTTACGACATTGTTATTTTTTAGGATACTGAGTGCTTGGTTGAGAGTCTAAACAATGGTGGAATTCGATTTGTTTATTTTTCGACTGAAAATGAACTAAAAAGCCAGGTAAATAAATTTGTTAACATGTGCTTGCCAATAATGAAAGGAAATCAAAATGATGGTTTCAGGAACATGAATTGGGGGATATTTAGAGTAGCTTGCCTTATGTATTCGCCTTGCTATATCTCCTGTTGGTCAAAGTCAATTTCATTTTGTTGCACAAGATACATACACATCTATAATTTTTCACTCGCTTTTTCGACATTCTTTTCAGTAGGTCCTTAGATTTAAGCAAGCTTCTGTCGTACAGTAAATAAACCATTTCATCTTTTCTTATTATCAACCATAAAACCACAAAACACGATCCCTAGGCAGAACAGCAACAGTAATTGTAATAGAAGTAGTTTATTTTATTTGTATTATAGCTGATAGGGAATTTGTGTGTAAAGATTTTTGAAAAAAAATTATCCTGGTCTTGTCCTAACCCTTGGTGCCCTATAACTCTTTTGCAGGTATTCGCAGAGCGATTGGGTCTTGAGACCGGCTGGAATTGTCACATATCATTAGCTAATTACGAGCCACTCCCATGTCGCGGCAGTATCGACGAATCAAGTGTACTTCACTCAGAAACGGATGGGTTGATCGCTGGTAGCAAATCAAATATAGCTGAAGGTTTGTCAATATATTACAATGTTGCATTGAACGAGTCTTACAAACATTTATGCTATACTTAATTTGTTTTTTATTCATACTAAAAGATATGTTTCTCCAATATTTGCTAAGGTGTAAGCTGGGGAGATTATAAAATTAAGAGCATTGATATTGTCGTATAATATCTTAGTTCGGAATGCGTTTGGGTGGTTGTATATGATTGAAAATCTCTACAACCGGTTACTCGCACCAACCTCACCATGCTATTGCTTGTTTTCACTGACTCTTTGGTATTATCATGGTGCTGAAAAATAGTTTAATTTTTCGCAAACAATAATTTTATCAACTATAGTTGGATATGTATTGTTTTCATGATTCAGTTAAGCTTTGATTATCACGTTCACAAATTGAAAACTTACAAAACATTAAACTTGCAAGTCTATTTTTTGGCAAAGTGGTGTTAAAAATTGTTGTTGATCTCGTGTTTCAAGCTTTTTGAAGCATTTTTATTATGATTTCTTTCTTACATTTCTATGTTAACTGTTTGTTGAGGTCTCAGAAGTTGAACTTTATTTCGTTTAGCAAACGACGATCGTCGAAATACAGCCTACTGCTCTGGAAGCGAAGATTTGTACAAAGAGAAAGTTGTGAATGGAAATAGCAACCATGACAACTTCTATTTAATATCAAACAGGGTACGATATAACTACTAATTTCGTTAATATCATTAACATCGCTACTAGCAGTATGGCCAATGCAATCAAAGAGAGGCTAGGACTTACTGTGACAGAGGCCATTACAATAGCTCGGAACAGAGAGAAAGGAAGGGAAATTGTGTATGCCGCCACAGACATTCGGGAATCAAATATTCTGAACTATAAAGAACGAGACCTGCAATCATTTTTAAACTCCCAATGTATGCATAATAATAATGTGTTATTACAATCTCCTCATATAACCTCTCCTACTGCAGGTCAGAGCCCAATTAAGTTTCTCTTCTTTTGACCTCTTTTTGTCAAAAGGCTGACATGACCTAAAACATTTAAATTCTGCACTTAACCTGCGCTCATTGGCAACCGAATGTCCATGTTATAGGTGATATGATGACGTGGTGTTTTTTAAAAACTATTTACTTCTCTTTGATGAACACATTGATGAACAAAAAACATTTCCTTTTCATTGATTCACTGGCTTAATTTTTCAGGCAAAGCTGCCACGTGGAATTCGAAACATTAGGCCACACCTGAAAAACGTTGACGATGTTCCCCTTCGTGTACCACTTTTTACTGATTGCACCCCTCAAGGTATTATAAATCACGTTTTGCTGTAGAACTAGATGGTTTTCAAGGTGAACGATTTTTTCACCTTGAAAAAATTTATTGAATTTTATTGGCGTATTTATCGTTTGGTTTATCAAAGGATTTGTCGTTTTGATATTCATAAGTGTCCCGTCGTGTATTATGTCAACTAAACTTCTTTTTCATTTTTTGCAGCTGTAACTGAAATGATAGAAATCATGCAAGAAAATGGCGAAGTCGTTTGCTGTCTCGGCAGCTCATTGAATACATGGAATAGTCATATATTTTCCCAAGCCGATGTCAGGTAAATATTATCCTTTTTTTGAAGCAAATGGAGCTTCGATGATTTTTTCTGGCTCTTAGAACAGCTATAGTTCTACCTTCCATTTTGAAACATTGTACTTTGCCTCTAGCTCTCTGCATTATAGTACGTAGACAGATTACTGTTGTCCTTGACCAAAAAAATATATAGAATTTTCGGCTCAATTGCTTGCTCCATTAGGGCTGGGTTTACAGGAGCCAAGAATCTAAATTTTACACTCTCAATCTGTTTGACACGAATGGGTTAATTATGGTACCGAACAAATAACAATAGTTTTTGTTCAACGTTCTAATTAAAGAGGGGGATATTTGGCTATCGACTCTCTAGCCCCGATGACATTTCTATGTTCAATACAGCAGGCTAGCAAAGCATTTACACCAGAGCTGAAGCCTCTTGCCAAAGGACACACCTCTTAGTGTTTCAATCGAATACTCTTTATCAACTGCCATCTATTATCTTTTGTTGTCTACATGGTTTAAACCGCACAAAATGTATATCATGTTTTGCCCCTCGTTCTTCTAATCAGTTCAAGTAGCGTTTTATCATTTGAAAATTGATCCTTTTATTGCAGTACATTCTAAGATAATGTTTGTTTTTATGAATTTTGTTATAGCATTGCGATCGACCCGTTGCACCCTCAAGTGTGTGTGAAAAGCAAGCCAGGAAACTATAGAAGTGGGTCTCCCTTGCAGTCAACAGAAGACAATGACAAATATGGTATGTAATCAATGAAATTTTACATTTGCTACTTTCGACTAATAACACCATAAGCCCCCGGGTTTAGGAGCCTACTTTTCAGGTCAAGGCAGAATAATGTGACGTTTAAAAGCCACTTGATTCAGTTTAAGGTATTCGAAGGGTTCCTATAAAAAATCTTTTAGGTGATATCACCATGAGATCATGAATTGTTGCTTTAAGTAATGTTTTTAATGACTTGTAGTTCGAAGGTTAAACTTGACAGGAATTTCGGATTTTAAATAGTTTTATAGCATGCTGACTATACAAAGCTGAAACTTTTGTCCTAATCTTCCCTTGTTATTTATAGATTTCATTTCCCTCGCAATGAGAACCTATTTTATCAATAAACTGTAATAGACGCTTACTTACAAGATGCTTGATTTAAGAAAAATCTTCCTGTATGTTCCTGCATGGAGGGATTCACTGCTATTTGAAGTCTTTACATATTCTGTTTCTATTATTGGAACTTCAGTTGATTCAAATTAGTTTGCCTCATTTTTAACTTCGAGTATCCTGGTATTGACTGTATGTTTAAAGTTCAATTATTGTATTTTTGATCCGCTTGTATCGGAATGACATTAAAAATTCAGTATTAATTTATTTTGTAAATCTCAACCGTTTCTGTTTTCCTTTCAGACGTATCCTCTTTGCGACTGAGTTCCTTCTTAAACAGTCTCCCATGCTCCTTGCTTTGCCGACAAGATAAACAAATCGATTTTGTTTCCTTGATTTGTGAGGTAGGCAAACATGGCAGCTTTTTTGCATGATTACACGAAACTCTTTATCGAAGGATCAATCATGATTGTTGTCCGCATAATCAGTCAACACTTCAATCATAATCAGTGTTATCATTATCGATCATCAGCATCAATCATAATCGTTGTCGTCAATCCTCAGCATCAATCATAATGATTGTAATCATCATTATAAATCATCAATCATAATCGGTTCTATCATTATCGATCATCAGTATCAATCGCTAATCATAATCGTTGTAATCATCTCCTATCGTCATCAACCATCAACATCATAATTGTCATTGATCATATGAAGTCAACCTCATCAACACTTCAAATACATTGCGATTAAACAAAACGAGTATATTTTTTGTAGCTTGGCCACACCTTTTGTTGAATAATAAATCCATACTTGAAATTCATTTGCAGGCAAGAAGACTGATGTTCAACATGAAAAGCTGTTTTTTGTTTATGCTGTCAGCCAACCTTTCTCTTTCCTTGTGCATGCTTGTGTCCTTTTGTTTGCTTTTACCTTTTCCCTTTACGGGACTTAGACTTCTTTGGCTGGAAATTATCATTATACCGCTGCTCTCTCTTTCTCTGCTCGGTACACCGTCTGATTCGGACCTGATGAACAGGATGACTGGGAAAAGAATCAGCAATATATACGTAAGTTTACCACGAAGCAGATTAATAAATAACAGAACATTCGATAAATTTATAGCAGGAATTTACTTTTACAGTCTAAGCTTTATATTTCCTTGAAAGGAAAGAGGATTTAGGAGACCTCCTTGAAAACTGTCATTGTTAGTGAAACAGTATTTTTCTGATAAATGTTTAATTTATTGGTATACCAGGAACAACGGACGTTCTGGTTCTCGCCTAAGAGCCTCTTATTTGTGGTCGATAGCAAGAAGTCTAAAATGGAAGAAACTCTCAGAGGCTGGTTTATATAAAGTGATAAAGCTGATCTTACAGCGAGTCTGTAATATAATATGTACCCTTCCACTAGACACATTGCTATGTTTCTAGCTTCAAAATCTCCAGGTGTACTGTATGAAAAAGTGCAGAATCTTCAAGTACCCTCTTACCCAAGAAAAAGTTTAAAGTCGTCGTTTATTTGTTGATTTGTTTGAAGCAAAAATAAGAATGAAAAAAAATCAAATATCACTGGTGTCGAAAGTATCTTAAGAGCTTTAAAGTATCGTGTTTTTTATTTGCAACTACTAATGTTCGTTGTTTGCTTCTATTTCAGGAAGATTCAAAACAGTTTTTCATACATTTCTTTCCAACTTTTGGTCTCAATGTGCTCTTTACAGTCATCGGACTCTTTGCTTGGTTGCTTTTCTCGTTTTGCACAAAAAGTCATGGAGCTGAAGGACAATGTCATTTTCTTTTTGGCACTAAGTAAGTTTTTGTCCAATATATTAATATAGAGACATTGTCTTTTTTGGGACGAATTTTGCCTGGGCAGGCTTTTGTTGAATTTGCTTTTGTTTACGGGTTTTTAAATTCGTAGAAACTCAGAATACGATCATTTTGACTTGTGAATATTTTTGAAAAAATGATTAGTAAACTTACACAGTTGTAAAAAGTGACTTGGTTGCAAAAAACGGTTGAATAATTGATGGAAATGTACTTTTAGTATTTTATGAAATGTTTCTGTCTGTTTGTAGAATCTTCAGATTTTGAAGTAAAAATATGTTTTCGTTGAAATGCCAAATGTTTTGTTTGGTGTTTCGTTCCACATTTTTTGTCTATTGATCAACATTTATAGACCAGCTACAATATATTCACAATCAAAATTATGATGCTATTAATTTGCCAATTGCCCTTCATTTTTTATTGCCTTTTTATGTTGCAGAAACCTTACAGACCCGTGGCATGGATGGATAACAGTGAACAAAGAGGGCCTATACATGAGCCAAGACGTAACATTGCTCTTTACAACATTTTATTTGAGTATGGTTTTCAATTTCTATTCTGTTACATCGTTTTTTACAGCGTTTTGTTTTTATACAGGTACCTCTCTTAGTCAAGTTGCTCAATTTCATTTAGATGGAACTATGAGATATGGAGGTCTAGAGCTTGAAGACTGCAAATGGTGCAACTTGAAAATCATCTCGTTCTGCAACCCTGTAACAAAACTGCTATAGAACTCTTTTCATCTCCCATTAACTGTGCATCTTATTCTAACGTAGCCTTGTTTATAGTGTCATCTCTCCCTTACATCCATCTTAAAAATTAAGAATTTTGTACACTGGGCATTCAGTTTTTTTCATTTAATCCTTATTTTCTTTCTAGTTGTCTTATCAGCAAGCTTTGTAGACAGAAATTATCATTTGTGGACGATGTTGCCGTTTCGCAATAAACTTTGGTTAAAGGCTACTTTGCTATGGTATGGTATTGAAATTGAACGATAAAATTCAATCGTCGTCGTTTGTGACTGTTATACGATTTGTATGTCAGAGTTTGTATTTCGTTAAGTTGAGCAGGATTATAAACTTCCTGTTTTTCATCTTTATTAACAAAACTAAGGACCTATTAGCTGAAACTCTACACCATTCTATTTCTAATCACTGCATTTGATTACAACGATTAAAGCTTATTATTTCATATTTCTTTCAAGAGCAATTCCAATTGGTATGTAGGTCTATGTTCCTTGCAGTATTGTCTTGTAACATTGTGTCTCCTCTAGTTATTGAAACCTGCATTTTAGCGTAGTACTTAGAGTGAATCTTCTGTTTCTTGCAGTATTGGTTTACAATTCATATACACAGCAGTCTCAATATATCTTTCGAATGTCCCAGGAACAGAGCACGATTTTCGCATTCAATACGTGATTTATCCATTAATCCTCGCTCTTCTTTGGCCAGTTGTTCTTATAATTTCTTGTGAAATGATGAAACGCAGGCATATCAAGTAAGTTTCTTTGCAAATTTTTGTCTGTTGCAAAGCATACTTCGAAATGCCCTGTTTGTTCAATTAATTTCTTTCCTTTTTTACTTTAAGCCAGTTCAAATTATATTTGCCATTAACTTTCCTGAACTCAAGTTTTCCAACAAAATTATTCGATTTTCAAGAATAGCTTGGCCTACTTCACGCTTCCTGGTCACCGGGCCAACATTTATGGCTTTTTAAGGTTCATTTTATAAATTTTAGTATTGAAAGGGGCAACTCTCGCAGTTTTTAAAATTGCCCGGCCTACAAACCAAACATTTCTAATTTAGTGAAAACATTAAACATTTTCAAGCTATTATGTTTCCTTCTCTTTTAGGATGTTCATTAGGTACCAAAAAAGAGAAAGACTTAAATTCGACACGAAGCTTGGTATGAACTCGCCTGTTTAGGCAGATGCAAGCGTAGTTTCAAGAAGGTTTATCTTTGTAAATATTAATTAACGTAACACTAGATTTATACTTGTTATAAGTAAAATTAAGTAAAGTAATTGTTAAAAAATAATCAATAGGCGTTGGTCGTATTTTGCTTCACGACAGATGGTTTGCTTATTTTGACTTTCAAGGGTAAGGGGGGGGGGTTTGGAACATAAAACAAAGATTTAGATAAAGCAAATTTTGTTTCTATTTCGCATGCTGTCCGATATGATTTTGCCGAATAATTTAAGATTTTGCGTTTGACACGTCCTTGGTAGTTGTATTTTAGTAGTGTTAACTGTAAAGGTTATTTCGGGAATTTGCTATAAAGGTCTTGCGAGGAGCAATTTGACCTTTCATGTTGTTTATGATTGGGTTGTTTTCACTGCTTCAGTAAATTCAAATTTACGTAACAGCCTGATACGATATTTCTGGGGATATCGAATTGATATAAGGTATTCTTGAAAACATTTGAGGATGGAATTTATGCATTACAGGCAGAGCGTCATTTTATGTGGGCCGTAAATAAAGTTTAGGGGCGCAATGATTATTAGGATGGGCGAATAACTAAAGTTTATGGTCAAAACCTAATATAACCCTCGTAAGATAAATGAAGAGAAAGGATTCAAATTTTGTATTTTTATATGTCCATTTTGTTGTCATTCAAATTGTTTACATTTGATATAATGCATAGTCAATTTAAACTGTTTAGAAGTTAACTCTGAAATTATATGGCATCAGATTGTTTAGAAAGCTTTGTCTCAACTTGTCTCAACTTGTCTCAACTTGTCTCAACTTGTCTCAACTTGTCAATATGATAAAATTATGTTTTCCATAAATTCAGTTCATGCATTTATAACGAACATTTATAACATTTAAAAGGAAGCTGTGCTGCTCTTTGCTCCTTAAGGAAATTAGGTTTATTTGGGGTTCGGTTCATCAAATAATGAAAAGAGGAAGTGGCTTCAAATTTAGCAGTTTTGTAAATATCATAAATTTAAGCTGAAGTTCAGTGTGAGTTGTCGTTTTCTAACATCCCCTCCCCTTTCCTGTTCTTTGTAATGGGTCTAGGGATTTGCCGTAAAAAAATAGTGAGGTAAGCGAAGTTATGTTGTTGTATGAAACATCACCTGAATTTTCCCAAAAATTTTGGTATCAATGAGAGGCGAACATTTCCCAGAAATGGCTAGAATCACGAAATCGAGGCAACTTGGCCTGGTCCTTCGGATAGAATAGAATAATAAGATGGAGGGTATGTATTTCTTACTTACTTATTCAAGTAAATATCTCGTTGAACAATGTAAATGTGCAGATATCTTGTCAACGGTTGTCCGTTTTCATAACCCAAAATCAGCAACTTCATATATTTGCCAAAATGGCAAAGTTTGGCAAGATTTCGAAACGCAGTTAACAAAAATATGTTCAGGCTAAATTTAGTCCGTCCGTCTATCCGTCTATGAACTTGAAATGAAAGATAGAAAATTTCGCTTATATGAACTATTTCGCTATTTTTGTTGTTGTGAAAACAGTGAAACTTACTTACTTAAACCCCATCCCAAATTACTCACATGGCTTCCTAACCCATGGAGAGGGCAAAGCATCAAGACCCAGACTATAAACTTTGGCTAGTGCGTGGGCCAGTCGATTAAAGAATTTTCGTTCTGAGTGGTTAGCTCTAGAATTTTAAAAAGTGTGTGTGTCGGACGGAACCGAGTTGTAATGACGTCACTTTGACGCAATTAGCTAAAGTTAATTACAAGCAATATTGTTCAAAATGGCAGCCGTAAAATTCGGGGAATGGGAAGTCAAAAGATGTGTACGGTGTACTGTGATGCGGTGTGCACGGCCAGTTTAAGAAACTTGAAATTTTGCGCATGCAATTTATTGCCGGTGTGCAGCAAAGTTTCCTGTCTGGAGCAAGACCTGCCAACTCGAACTCACTCGCTTTTGCCGGGAGATTCACAATTCCAGCTGATTTCTCTTGCACTCAAGGTGTCTTATCGTTTTCTCCAAATCTCAACATATCCTCTCGATTATTGCTTGTTTCTTCCCCATTTTGAGACTTTTCTAAAATTGATATTGTAGTGATAAGAGTAGAAAAAATTTTCTGAGATGACAATATAATGATTTGACATTCTTTGGTGTCACTTGACAATTGGAGATTTGACATTCTTTGGTATCACTTGAATCAAATGTAGATATCTAAGCAAAATCATAGCAGTTAAACTTTAAGTTGCTGCCTATAATGTTGGCAAAAGCAAAGGAGTTTCGAAATGGAAAAAGTTCAACTATCTCAAAAAGAGCTGTTGATTTACTTATATATGTTTAAATCAATAATTTTCAGTAGAAGTAAAGAATCTTTTGCCTGTGTAAGGTAATTGACACATAACCAGTGTTTGCCAGTCTGCAAACTTTAGCAGCTCTCGACTAGCTCTCTTGCAAATTTGGTCCAATATCAAATTTTGGCATGCCAGACTATACAGTCCTTATGTACACATTTGCCATACTCTGCAGTGACCAGCTGATTTGAGTTTGAAAATTATCTTGTCCACTTTTTAGAGATGTCTGTTTGAACTGTGTAGAGGTGTCCATTAATGGGTGTTCAACTTTGGTAGCAACTGCTGTAATAGGTCTGTGATCAATGTAGAGGGAAGTAAATAATGTAGATATTCATGCATTTATCAATGTTGTTAGTTTGTGCCTCAGCCAAAACATTCAAGCTTTATATTCATATTTTCATGCAATGCAACTTTCACTCCAGACTCCCGTGCACTGAAAGATGTGAAGCATATAATTTTGGTATTATCTGGAAAAGGAGGAGTTGGCAAAAGCACAGTGGCAACACAGCTTTCATTTGGACTCATCAAAATGGGTAAAAAGGTGAAGATTCTTCTGGTTAATTTACAATTTTCTCGTCTCAGTGATACAAGGCTAAGAAGTATTCAAATAGAATTTTTCAAATGAATATTGTCAGTTATAAAGAAGGAATATTTGAATCTATCCTATTCAAGATAATTTTCCAATCTTTTACTGGAAAGATTTCTAGATTTTCTTAAATCAACTAGCATGATGGTACAAGCTTAAGATTTTCTTCTGAATTACCATTATATCTGTATCTTAAATAATCAAAATGCCATTCTATCTAAATCTAAAATAATCAGGATATCATTATATCTTGATAAAGGTTGGCCTTCTTGACTTGGATCTCTGTGGCCCAAGTATCCCCAGAATGATGAACCTGAAAGGAAGGAATGTACACCAGTGCAGTGAGGGGTAACAGTTATGATATTTTTTCCAGTGCATAATTACAGCATTCAGCATAGTTTGAGCTCCATTAAAAATTTAGGTTAAAAATTTAGAATCATTTTCCTGCATAAATAGAAAATACTCATGAATTTATTTAAAAAATTTTGAGAAATTCCTTAAGAGTCCATTATCGGTTTGTGCCAGGGAATTTCTTCCACTCATGTAAATAAATGAATGTATAACATGATTTGCTATAATTTGAGATCTTATATTTTGCTGCTAATTTTGCATGATACCTATCTATTGCTTTCTCGTATTTTAGATGCTTGTACTTTCATATTCCCCATTCATAAAATGAAATGTTTATGTAATTTTCAAACTTTTCACAGCTGGCTGCCTGTCTATCCAGATGATGCAAAACAGCTTTCTGTGATGTCAATAGAGTTTTTGCTGCAGTCACAAGATGATCCTGTTATTTGGAGAGGCCCTAAAAAGAATGGTATGGAAATTAATTATATTGTTACTGCCTTTGCTTTTGTGTAATGTTGCTCAATGTATGAGCATCATTCAAGCAATCTTTATTTATTATAAACACATCAACCTAAGCACCTCAAGGCTCTTGCTATGCAGTTTCAGTTTGATTATAAAACAATATGCTGAAACATACATTTCAGTTTTTCTTGTTATTGCTCAAGTGTAACAAATTCTTCATGACAAGAGCAAAGACATTTGTTATACAGTTCAAAGCAACAACATGCTAAAAAACTTCCTCAACTGGCTGAGAACATGTCACAAAGGGACCTGTCTTTTCAATTTTGCTAGTTGCATACCACATCAAAAATTGCATGAAATCACAGTTGCTTTACACTAGAATGTGTTATGATAATCTAAAATCCTCCATTTTGCTAGTAAAGCCAAATTCTTTTTTAATGAGGAGCTTAACAAATATTAGCTATTTTTAGTTTTTAATTGGTAACATTTTTAGTTTTTGTATTTGGTTTCAGCAATGATTAAACAATTTGTAAAGGATGTAAATTGGCAACAGTTAGATTATCTCATCATTGATACACCTCCAGGTATGTAAATTTCAATGGAATATATAAATTATTCCAAGGTATTCTCTAGACTCTTGTGAATTCACCCAAATTACAGAGTACCCAAACATTTGATTTGACAAGTATATCTATTTTCTCAAGAACCCTACCCTTGAATAAGGTTTTTTAAAGGTACTATTGGTGAAAAGAATTTCACAAAATTTTCTTTACGACAGTGGGTATTTGCCTTTAGCTGCTACTGCTCTTCAGCTAAATATCAATAAGCCTTCAATATTTAGATTGTTAATTAATCATGTAGAAGAAATAGTGTAGAAGTCAATTAGACAGTTGTTTGATTATCACATCAAGCAGGAAACTAGAAGTAACTGCATCATGCACAATGTGACAGACCAGTAAAACAGTATTTGTTAATATCATTCAGGGATTATTTTTAACACCAATTCTTCTTTTTGTTAAGTAGAATTTAGTTTGTTAATTTCTTATTATCCTGTTAAAATGTACCCTAGTATCCCGCATATAAGCTTGTCAGTATAAAGTTCCATGGGCTTATATCTAGGTAAAGGCCTTTAAGCAAGAGACTCTTCATTTTGGAATCAGGATGTAAAAGATACTTCAGAAGAAAGGCTACTTCATTAAAGATTAAATTTTATTTTCTCTATTGAAAATATCTTTGGCTATACATTCAGCTTAGTAAGCAATGTATCTCATCCCCTAAGAGCATATTTTCATGGGACCTCTAAACCATTTTCCTTTTGTTGTCTCTTTAGCCACATACAAAAGCTCTCATTTTTCCTCCCAAGTTTCATTCACAACATCAATATGTGTAATAGATTATTAACTGATTAACTGTAGTAGTGTTTTGATTTTCAATACATTAAGTCATATCAAGAAATTATATATTTAATTTATTTTGGTCTCAATAACTGATTTTCATGAAAGAAATTTATAGGCCATGGGCTTTCATACATGTGCATTTCCTAACTTGCCAAATTCAAAATCGTAAAAAATTCACATATGGGCCAATGGGTTTTAATGCTGAATAATAGGGTAGTTAAGCAAAAGGCATTTTCGCCTGGATACCAAGTTGTAGAAAAAATTCTGCATCATCTTTACCTCTTTGTACTGGAAAGAACTGCAAATGTCTTTGAAAGAGTTTTTCTGAAAGTGTGAAGCAACAAGTAAAAACTGATTATTACTCAGTTGCTTACTTGTAGCCATTATGTTGAACCATGCATTTCACGGAAGCCTATTTTTATGCACAAAGAATTTCATTGTCTCAAAACCTCATATAAACCTCAAAGAAGACATCCACAAACTAATACTTTATTGATGTTTATCTTTAGTAAAAAATTTATGTATCTTTACAGGTACTTCCGATGAGCACATTTCAATAATTGAAGTTCTGAAAGAGTATCATGTTGATGGTGCAATCCTTGTAACAACACCACAGGTAATTTACTTGTTTTTAGTCTTAAAGCTTCTTTCCAATTCCTTTCTGGATGATTTAAAGTTGTGATTAAGAGGAATTTTACAACAACAGTTGTGACGTCATATTCTTCTTTTTCATAAGAAAGTCTGAAACCAAGAAGCTGCTTGTTCTTTAATAGTTTAAAGACACTAGACTATGTTACGTCATTCAACCCCTCAGAGTTAACAATAGGCTTTGCATTGTGTTTAAAATCGATACAACATTGAAGATTAGCCAATTGGCTCCGTAACAATAGGTCTATTGTATAGTCTAACCAATGAGAGTTTAACTGGCCAGTGAAATGGTCGGGACATGGTGTCTTTTATAGTTTAAGGCATGTACTGATTCATATGCTCAAATTATGATTATTCATATTTCTTATATTTAAGGTTATACTTCTCATATGATTTTATTTCTTTGCTTTTTAGAATGTTTCTACGGGTGATGTAAGAAGGGAAATCACTTTTTGTCGAAAAACCAAAACTAACATTCTAGGGATCGTGGAGAACATGAGTGGATTCATTTGCCCACATTGTTCAGTATGTTATCATAAACTTATATCATTGCTGTTATTTATTTCAGGGCATGCTTTGGTTACTTTCAGCAAATTTCGGCGAGAATATTATCAATCTTCTTATTTAGATAGAAATATTTATAGTAGTGACAAGAAATTTAGATTTTCCGAAAAAAAATAATAAGCATTTTTATTTTTTTCTATATTTGAACATAACATGACGACATCAAAACTGAATTGAAACAAGATATATTGTCTTATCATTTATTCAAAGTTAAGTTTCTTAAGTCAAGCGAATGGAAGATTTTTCGGTCTCCTCCTAAAAAAGACATTTTAAGTATCATATCTTATTGAAAGAGATTCCCAGTATTTTTAGCCTTAAAATCTTTTCTCTCAGTATAGAATGCTTAGATAAAAATAGACAACCATGTTATATTTCCGACAAGATCAGAAGTTTTCCAACAAGATAGCTGTTTAGCTTTACAGGGGGGGCTCTAACCCCCTCTGATCCCTCTATCTACGCCGCTATACTTATTGTAGGGTTTAGATCTACGGAATGATGAATTAAAGTCTGCATTTCCTATTCAGTCTAACTGAAGTGATAACAAGTTTCTGAAGATATTGTAATGATACTATGATAATCATTGTAAGAGAAAAGAGCATTGATGAGTTTAGCACCTGTCCTAGGAAAGTTAATTCCGGGTATCGGTTGAGATGCATTTCTGGGTCCTGTGGTTGCTGGCTGCAACCTCTTTTCACGTTGTTGGTAGTTCGTGGTTTTAAAACCATTCTATGAGACGTAGTCTTACATTGTCGAATCGGATGGCACGTTTTTTATAAAAGTAGGATAAAAAGGTGTTACAAAGTAAAATCTCATATAAACCGGCCAGGTCAAAGTATCTTAAGATAAAACTAAAGACTTATCTTATCAATGGAAACCCTCACCGTTCTTGCAAAAATTTGGGGACTGTACTCTTGTCATTAATCCTACTAGTTGTATGCCAATTTATGCTACTAAATTCATAAATTTCACTGTGATATAATCTTGGAATTTAATAAACTGCGTTTATGCTCTGTTGTAAGTCCCGTTTTTTGCTAGTTTTGATGCCTCTTTTTTTCTAACACAGGAATGTACCAACATATTCTCTTCCGGAGGAGGTAGATCTTTAGCTGAACACTCTGGCGTGCCTTTTCTCGGTAAAATGTTTCTTTACTTTTGTAACCGAATTTGTTACCATTTTATTTCATTTCATTCTATCTTTTTTTTACCCATGGTAACCCCTAGAACAATGGACTGGTATATAGGGGACCATGCTAAAATATACAAATATAGCAATTAAAATACTGCTGAGAAATTAAACTAAGTCTGATTAAAATAGCGAAAATATTTTATACAATTAAGCTTATCATTTCACGACAAGTATAAGGAAGAAATATATAGATTCTTGATAAAAAGATGATAAATTTATGGTTTTCATGTAAATCTTTTGATTTTACTTATTTTAGTAAATATTGTGGAAAATGATTAAATAATAGCGACTTTTATGCTCATGAAATATAGCTATAGAAATGATACGGTCGAAATTAAACTTTGTACATCTCCCATTTTTCGTACATCTCGTTCACTGCAAAATGACTTCGAATGTTAGTAAAAAGTTTTATTATGTGAAATAAATTATATATTTCCTAACTATCAGCATTGTTTACTGACAGAAGGGAAAGTTGAAACTGTTATGCAGGGGAGATAATGAAAAGTTTAAGAACAAGCCAAAGTCATAGTATTGGCAGACATTTTAGCCTTTATCCACCGAGACTGTTGTAGTTCAATGGATGTTCCTATTTTTGATGTTCCTATTTTTGTTTATTGCAGGTGAAATTCCGATTGATCCAAACTTGAGTTTATGTGGCGAGAAAGGACTGCAGTTTGACTTAGACTCGTCCCCTAGCGGTAATGCAGTAAAAATAATACTTCAAAATCTTTGTAAAAATATCGAATCAACATAGAAAGCATACATTATAATTGTGTCAAAATTTGTCCTAGTTATACTTTCCATCAGATCGGAAAGCCCGATGTTGGGCTCGACACAAAAATTTTATCAGTTTAGTTTTTTGTAGGTATTTAGTTTTGCTAGGTTGATTTCACAATGAATTTGATTTTCGAGAGAAAATCTATTCGAGAGAAAATTTCACGCCCGAGCTGTTTCTTGGGATTAAATAATTGTCAACATTTCAAAATGTTGTCTTTAATTACAGTGATATTACGACTTGCAACGGCGTAATCATTCATAGATAGCCAAAATTTTTGTGCTAAATACCAATACAAGTTCTTTTCAGTTATTTTCAGTCATATGGAGAATAAGTCGAGTTATTATAGTTATTGTGCTCTGATAGTGTTCAGTAAATTTTCATAAATATAAGTAAATTTCTTGTATTTTTAGAGTCCCGATTCAAAAAATTTTCACCAAGGTTAATTTACTTCTCTATTTATTCGAGGCTACAAAGTTTAAAGTTCCGCGTATAAAGTTTAAGGCAATGAAAACGTTGCTTTAACGAATGAATGATTGTTCATGCGCAACTAAGTTCCTTTTTGATACAGGTATTTTCCCTGTATAGAGCAATTCATATTTATCGATGCCATCCTTGTTAAGATACTTTAAATGATTCTGTTGTGCGATGAAAACCTTTAGCTTTACCCTCGTTTTTGTCATTTTGAGCAATTTCAAATCTTTATTTCGAAAAATATTTTAAGTTCCAAGAATGTTGTTGCAAGAAAATTTTCTCGGGATCAAGTTTCATATTCATTCAGTATATACATCTAAATGATTTTAAGAATAGAGATACTTGGAATAAAGAAAGATAAACAAAAAACAGTCAAAATAAAGTAGAGTCAAACTACGGCTACTAGTACAACGTTCATCATAATTCGCACACTAGGTAAACAAATCAAGAGAGCCCTACCCCCCCCTCCCCCAGTTAAAGAAAAATCCAGACTTTTAAATTAAAAAAAGATCTATGAATGCGAAAATATGATGATTTCCGGTACTTTTTGTCCATTTTGCAAAAATTTTGTGTTTTTCTCTGATTTCTGTTCTCAATTTTGTGGAGGCGATCCTAAGTTGATTTGTTGTGATGGTAAATAGCTCCGCCTCTCATAGCTTTGAAGTCAGCCCAAACTGTATTACGTCAAAATTTGATTGTCCTTTTTTCTTGTGGTTTCCAAATATTTGATTGCTTTCAACCTAATGTTAGCTTAGTGCAAAAAAACGTAAACATTGATGTATGCAAGCTTCCTCGTTGCTAGCTGGGTTGCCATGATTTTTGGAATTGTTAGCCAATCAAATCGCTCCTTTTCCTTCCGGATATAAAGCTCAATTGACCTCCGGTGGAAATGGCGCGAGCGTTGCCAGGGAAATGAGCAACGCTGGGCCTAGGCGTATTAGAGAAGTAGGTTTGTCGAGTCGAAGAAAACACAGATTTTAAAAGAGAAATGGTTTCCAAAGTCGAGTTGGGGAACCTCCTTGATTTTGCAATCGGGACGCCTGAAACTGGTGCTGTAAACTTGAAGATACTTCATAGTTTCCTTCACAAACTGATAAGTCACCTCGCGGTGTCCAATGTGGAAGTAGAGGTAAGGGTCCTACTCTTATGTGAAGCCTAGACATTTTTGCAACGAAATGTATACAGTTTCATACCCGGCTAAGGTAGTGTTTTATTGTTTTGGCTGAAGCTGTAGTTTTTGTTTCTTCTAATTCTGTTTTTTCTGTGCTCTGAGTGGGTCGGTAAAACAAATGAAAGCAACCCATTACCGCCTATTATTATTATTATTTTATTTATAACAGGTAACCAAGGTTTGATAAATTTTTTTTAGGTTTCATCCTGTATATTAATTGTCCTATAGTCGTTATATTATCTGCAATATCTTTGCAGTATCAGTTGATTTTTCGAAGAGTTTTGAAGGGATGTAATGTATTGACATGAGTACTTGCTCCTACCTAGCCATAGCACTTCGATGTTGCTAGTGCATATAAATTTGCAAACCTTGATTTTTGGCTCATTTGTATTTAAAACTTGAAAATGATTAATATTGTCATTAATCAACCTTTTAAAAAGGTTAAGAATTTTAAGGATTACAATTGGATGACCATTAAAATTTCAAGCATAGAGTCTGGATTACAAGCTGAATAAAAGCCAAAATTTTATCCATTCCTATCAATTTAACTTGACTTAATATATAACTTCATTTGCACTAGCCTTTTGAAAATAAGATTTTGGTGCCATTTTTTTCATCAATTTGCACACCCATATCGTGTCAATCTTTGATATCCTGCTTCACTTATATTGTGTTAAGTTGTAATTTGTAAAATTTTCATGCTTGTGTAAAATATTCAGGCAACAAAGCATTTTTGTGAGGACAAATCCATATATTGGGCCAATTCAGTTGCCTCCCATTCAGCACTTTAATATACAAAAATATAATATAACTTGACAATTTTTGCAGCTGTACACCCTCCTAGCACCCCACATTTGAGAGCCCTTGGCTATAGTATGTCTCATAATATCTTCTACCAAATCATATATCCTTTGTATATGTATATGTATAAATTTAAGTTGTTATAACTAAACTTTGAGAAACATTTATTTGCAAAAATTTCATACAACTATGAAGATTGATTTATGATATAGTTGTTTTCACTTTTGTTATAATCATGTTGTTATAGGTCAAACTTGACAGAGAAGATGGAAGTGATGAACCATTGCAAATACCAAATAGTGAAGACATTGATGTATCCAAAACGAAAAAGGCTTTTTTTTACTCTCAGGGCAAGAATGGCTTTGAAGAAAGAATTCACAAGCTTGAAAATAAAATGAACATATTAGATTCATTTGGGGATGCAGAAGATATTCTTAAATGGGCTAATGGAAGAGAAAATTCTGACAGTAAAGTTGCAGATTTGTGGAATTTCATAAATCTTCAGAAAAGAATTGAAGCTACAGAAAATGGAATTAGAAAAGTGAGTTCACATGAAATTTTTTAGCAATTTTTCATTCACCTAGAAAAGTGGCAATTTCCCATTCTGTGATTGAAGATTGCATGTTTTACTAGTATATACTTAGAGTACACTTGATTTTTCTTCAGTTAAATATGACCTTTTCTTTATCATAATTGTATCAATGTCATTTGCTAAACATGCACTACTTGTTCTCTATTTCCCATTATTAATATGCACCATCTTCTAATCTAAGATGTTTTACCCCATCACCTATAGAATAGAAATTCATTTGCCAAGCATTCCAGCAACCTTTGCAATATTTATCTCAAAACCTAGATTTGTATTATTTCACAAGGAGCTCTTTTAGAAATTAATATGGAAGTTCTACATCTACATATATTTTCTGGTTTTCAAAATGTTTTATTCGGTGTGTTCAATTTCCAGGTTGGAGGCCTTGTTGATAAAATTTTAGCACAGTTAAAGAATGTTTCAGACCTACAAGATAGGATGTTCAAAATGGAGAAAAGGATGAATGAGGTAATTAGCTGGTGCTTTTTTGTCTTTAGTTTCTTTATTCTGTCATTTTCTGTCATTGAGTTAGCTTTATTCTCTTAAGCAGAGGAGAGTTAAAAATAATGAAATTTCTTTTTTGAAGTTTGAAAAGCTGCAAGATGAAGTACGGAAACTTTCTGAAAAAATTAATATTCTAGGTAAGTCAACAAGAGTTTTTCAATTTCATCAGTTACATAGCCCATCTATTCAATACCTTCTAACTTCTGGTGAACAATTTTCTGAATTTGATATTGTTAAATTTTAGATGGAGACAAGAAGATAGATGAACTAATAGAAGAATTGGTAAGTCTATTTTGAACAAAAGGCAACATAAGTAAACACTCTTTTATGGATAAATATGGAAATTTATTACTTTTAGGCTGAGCTAAACATTTACCTCAAAAAAGTGAAAATCTTGTTATAACATTTTATTACTAAGACACATTGAAAATAAGTTATCACCAAGGCACACAGGGGCGGATCTAGGCTGGTTGCACAGGTTTAAAAAAACTGGTCAAATTCTAAGAGCTATGTTTCTCTGTAAATCTTGATCTAAATTTTGATCTGAATTTTAATTGCAACAGTTGCTGGATTTCTGCCTGACTGACTGCAGTCGCTCTGCTTACTTACTGAATTGAACCCCCGCTATCTATGGGCCAATATTGAAACCAGTGGCTATTGTTTTCTGAAAACCTGTGAAAACCGGTGCCCATATGTTTTCCTTATGCGAGAAAAACCGGTGGCTTAATAAGCATATTTGATATCGATATCCATAGCTCGAAAGTGTGGATGCTTTAAAACAAAATGATGCAAAATTAAATACAGGTACAAATAAGAATCTGAGGTTTTATATTGAGGGACTAGACTTCTCGGAAAAATTAAGAAAATAAGAATCGAAGTTGCAAGAAGAGGATCAAAGGCCAGGGAACAGCAGGAATGTTGATGCATGAATTCTTTTAAGTAAAGGTGTCAAAAGCATTTTATGAAAATTTCTTTGTGGCCTGGCAAACACTTAACCAAAAAATAGAAATTTAGATCATTAAATATCACTTTATATTGTTCAATTTTTTGTAAGATGATTTATATTGCTTCTCCATGTTTCAAGGCTACTTTAATATTGTATCTTTTTATTTGCACTGGGACTTTTACACAGTGTCTGTTGGGCTATGTTTGCTCCCTTCTTCTAAGTGTTCTTTGCAAGAAACAGTAGGTGAGACGAGGTGTTTAGGGGCTGCATTCTTTGGAATGCTTGAGGGTGCATACAGCACCCTAAAAAACTAGAAATCATTTTATTGAAGTTCATTGTAAATAATTAACTGCTCGACAATTGTCATTGCTTTGCTCATTGTGGACAATTTTATTTATCACTGTTATGGGTATGTTCTATATTGTATGTCGCCCAGTGGCTGAAATCAAGCTACTTTTTTAGGGGGCAAACCCAGTGAGCTTTCCAATCTTTTCGCTTGTTTGCTTTGCGTGTGTGAAATTTAAACTTTTTCTTTCCAAGTTCAAATGAATAAGAATTGCCTTTTCTTACGCAAAAAATGTCTAATTTTCAAAGCAAATATTCCGAGCCCTAGAACCTCCCATAATTGCCACCAACGATCCACCTTTCAATGAAAAAAGAAAGACCATCATTCTCTTATTTTTGTAACGGGGACTGATCTACAGGCATATTAGCTTGTTCAGAGGTGGAAATTATGGGTGTGTGTGTATGTGTGTGTGCATGTGTGTGTGGGGTTGAGAGAGGGTTGGGGTGAACACCACCAGTTTTTGATAAGTTATCAGTTAACTACAGCTTTTAGCGCTTTGTGTTTAACTTATACATTGGTAGGAAATATTTATGATCATTTGGAGATAAATTTCCTTTTAGAATAATCTCAAGAAGAAAGTAGCAGGCATGCCACTAAAGAAAGATTTAGAGCTGTATGTACAATGGCCCCATTTAGAGACAGCTTTAGAAATCGGAGAAGTGGAAGACCCTATCACAAATGGACATTCTGCAGGAAAAGATTCAGAGATTTCAAGTGATTGTATAACATCTTCAAAGGTAGGACAGTCAGTTGCAGGCCCATCTGCCCAAGTCCTCCATAAACTACACGAACTTGGTGGACTTTCACAAGCTCATTGGATGCTTAAGGAGGATGTTGAACGACTCAAGGTAGGCATTTTGCCCATTGTTTTGCAGAATTGATACGGAAAGAGCATTTGAAGCAAGTTTTACTTAGTTTTTGTGATGTAGCTCATTGTCCATTGTTGATATGATGACGCTTTATATAAATTTTCATACTCTGGGTAAACAACCAGAGCGAGAAAGAATAGACTCCGTGTATCAAATTCATTTTTATCAAGACATAACACCCAAAAGGGAGTGAAATATAACTAACATGTCTTTAATAGAAGTAAGATATTTCTAACTAATATACGAATATACTAATAAAATAATATACACACTGGAAATCATGTCAATCTAAAGTATTCCTGTTTGATAATATTGTATGAATGGATGTATATAGTTAGTGGAAAGATAGCATGTGTCATGTTATTACACCACTGATCAATCGTTTTCAAAGCTCGATTCGACTTACTATTTTACCTTTCTTTTCTCTATTACAATATTGGCTTCTCGAACCAATAAAACTCTAATTTTCACACTGAAAATCCTGCCTTTATGACGCTGTCTTTGCTAGTCGTACCAATATTTTTTTCGAAAATTTATCAAATTACCTTTAAAGCGGCACTCTGCTATGAGCTATGTGCACCTGGAAAATCCTTTTTTTGTTTACAGCAACAAATCAACGGAAAAGCAGACAAATCAGATTTGGAAAACCTTTCGAAAGGAGGTAAAAGTCTTTTGATTTTTTTTATAATTTAACTTTCAAAGGATGGGTAAATATTTTATGATTTTTCGTGAATATTCTTTTAACTGCGTAGCTCTGAAGATACTTAATCCAGCCAGTTATTGGTTTAGGTAAAAATAGCTCCTGTCGCCCTCGTTCAGAAGCATTTAGAAGAAACTGCGTGATTACTGCCACAAGTTAGAAGACACCTCATTAAGAGCTTTCTATCGGATTATTAGTCAAACTTTTATCTTAAATCTAGGTTAAACCCTTTAATCCTTATCTCCTTAAATCATATTCTAATTTAATGATTGCCTAAAATAAATATTTGTTTCAGATGTGCCAGAAGATTTAATTGAGCAGTTAGACAAGTTACATGCTGATCTGAATGATATGAACTTATGGCGCCAGGATGTTGATGTAAGCTATCTTCTATGCCCATTTTATTCCCGGCATTATAACATGTATGGCTTCAAATCTTGTACTCTTGGGTGTCCAGAGATAAAGCCCCTTTCATCAATCAAAATTTTGCATTTCCATTTTTTCAATTTTCACCTAATCTGTCTTGATTAAGCAGATAAAAGCACATTATCAAAATCTTCTCTTCTTGATCTTTATCTGTGATTTATTCTAAGATTTATGATGCATTTTTAATTTTTCCATCTTCAGACACAAATATCTATTTACCTTAACAAAGCGCTTTTTGTCTGTTGCACTTTTCTCTCTTATCAACGCTTTCACTACAATTCTGCCTTCGTCTAATCAGCAATTGAGAGAATAGTTTCTTGTGCAAGTTTTTCATATCTTTAATTCAAAATTGAAGTTCGTCTATAAATTAGTCACAGTGTTTAATAAATTGATCTGACAAGCTCCAATTCTTTGTTTTATATGATTTTTGCTTTGGTCTTAATTGCTTTCAATTTTTTTTGGTTTATTTGTTTGTGTATACAAATCAAGCAAAATTTTTCGTTTTTTCTTTCAGACTGATAGGGCAAACCTTGCGTCCATGAAAGCTGAATTCGATGAAATCAAAAAATCTGTTGAAAAATTGCAGACAACGATGAAGCATGTTGTTGATGAGCATGCTCGTAAGCAAAAGCATATTGATGTGAGAATCGTTTTGATTGCATACTGTCATTATATTCCTCTTTAAACGTAGGGTGTTATGCTATAAGTTCCATAAGGGCAGATGGTAGACTTTCAATTTCAAAAAGGGCTGTGTCCTACTTTTGCGTGGTTGATAAACGTTTTCATGAAGTAAATCTCAGCAATAGTTGTTTATCTGTTATCTAGCTTTGTCTGGGGGTACAAGATCTGGACCTGGATCCGTTCTGCGACATTCGATAATCATAATCACCAGCAACATAAAAAACACTTTTGAAGATAACAAGAATATGATTAATTATTTAACTATGGTAGGCCTTTTGCTTCCTTGTTCCCACTCTTCACTGCGTCCCTGTATGACACTTTTTATCAATTTGTTCTTCTCTTTTTCGATTTTTGCTATTTTGACCATATTAATGTATTGTAACTTTGCTTTGTCTTTTACATTGAAGACCCTGTATGCAACAACAGACAAGCTTCAAGACTCCAAAGCTGATAAAACAGACATTGAAATCCAGCTCTCAACAGTAAGTTCACATCACCTCTATCGATTGAATTAATTTTGCAAAATTTTGTTGATATTCACTGCAAAATGATCAAAGAAACTTAAGATTTGACATTTTACAGAATAATTGGCACCTTCTGCTTTAGCTAAATTGAAAACAAATTTGTTTAAATATATACAAAATGGTAGAAGTTGCAGAATAAGAAAAATATTTGTGAATTTCCAGGATAATCAGGCATAATATAACAGGTATAGTTTCTTAACGAATACCTGAAACATTTTTCTTCGCATGCAGAAACATTCACGTCAGTCCCAATCATTTTTTGTAGAAGGTAGACAAAGTGGAGTTGGAGAATTTCGTCAGTAGGCACAGGTTTGATGAAAATATTGGAAGAATTGACGATGCATTGAAGGAATTAATAGACAAATTTAGATCAAACGTAAGTGAATCAAATGATGCCATAACAGATTTTGTTGTACAATACACAAAGGATATAAAAGTACTCAACTATGTTTTAGTGCTAGAAAACTCTTCTAGTAAAATGACATCAGTGATTTATATTGCCGGTTTGTTTTAAGTTGAATGGGATAAAAAGGGGCAATCTAGAATCCAGGACCGGAATTCCCTGCTACAGAAGAGAACAGTAATGAACCACAAGCACAGTGGCTTGTTTTGACTAGTTTTGATGTTTTGTATACAATGCCCATTACTGATTTATATGCTAACATATAGGTATGGATCGTTAGATGTATTAAGTTTCCCTCGGTTTACAAATCTTTATATGAACTGAAACAGCTCTTTGTGTTGTTGATCGTTCAGCGTTTTTTTTCTTTTTCTTGCAGGATGAATCTCTGAACAAGATGATTTTTAAGATCATCAGTGATTTGGAAGGAAAGCTTGATCGTGACGAGTTTCTTGACTTTAAAGAATTTATTGGTTTGTGTTGTGTTTCTCTCCCAAAATGTTAATATCACCATGAATAGTTCTGTTTTAGATATTTAATAGTGGTGAATAGCTGTCTTTTAGATGTTTCGTAGTGGTTCTTTGAAGATAAGAAGTAGTGTATATTTAAAATACTGAATTTAATCAGCAGTATAGCTGGACAGGTTCTCGAATTGTATGGCATTTGAACGAAACACATTCAACAACGTAACCAATGGCTGAGGACTCTTCATTTTTGTTTTGTTGTTTTTATTAGTTTGTTTAAGTAATGAAAATTGTGAATAATCCGACTTTAAGATCATTTATGAATGTGAATATGTATCTTCGTAGTTTTTGATGAAAAATATTCTTGTTTTCAAAGAAAATCGGCTAAAAGCTTTAAAGTCGAAAATGAGAGAAGAGCCTGTAATGGACGAAGACCCCGCAGCCGTTTTCAAAAAGTAAGTTCTCCTGCATATCCACATTTGCATGTTTAGTTTCAGCAATCAGTTCTATAATCTTCTGTTAATCACCTCCTCGTGTTTAGCTACAGGTTTTCCGAAAAATGCAATCATTCGTTCATATATTCATTTATTTGTTTGTTTATTCATCCATTTTTGCATATCACATTCTTTGAATTGTTTCTTTTTTCCTTTCTTTGATCATGCATAAACTATTTTATTATCTTATTAAGTTATTCATTCATTCGATCATACATCCATTAACACGTTCGTGTATTCCTTTATTTATCTTTTAATTCATTCACCCACAAATTCATCCGTGATTCATTCTTTCTTTTTTCGATTAACCTATACATTCCCGGTGCATTCATTCATTTGTTCATTGATTCATTCATTCCTTACACCCATTCGTTCATTCATTCATTCGTTCTTTATTCATTCTATTGTTTATTCATTCATTCATTCATTCATTCATTCATCATTGATTCATTCATTCATTCATTCATTCATTAATTAATTCATCCATCCATTCATTCATTCATTCATTCATTCATTCATTCATTCATTCATTCATTCATTCATTCATTCATTCATTCATTCATTCATTCATTCATTCATTCATTCATTCATTTATTCATTCATTCATTCATTGGTTTATTCATTCATTGGTTTATTCATTCGCTCGATCATTCATTCACTTACACATTCACCTATCCATTCATTTATCAATCCATTTTCAATTGATGCATTCATTCGCGATTCATTCATTTAATCATTCAGTCACGAACTCTTCCATTCGTCCATTCATTCACTTGCTTATTTTTTAAATCAATCTTTCGTATGTTCATTCAAAAATTTTTATTATCATGTTCATTTCATAGAGCGATGCTGCAGTTCAATTGCTTGTCATGTGACAGACCCGTCTATTTCTCCGGAAGTGGGTGAGTAATTTGCAAATGCTCACAAATCTTCCTTTTAGGTTTCTTACTCCCAAACAAGATAACTCAGCGGTTAGTTTTCTTCAATATTTAACCGTTGTATTCCTTACCCTAGCAGGATTAGTACACTCAATGCGAGAAAAGTATTATTTTTTGCTCAAAAGTATGTTACATTGCCTTTCGCGGGTACTGGTGATTAAAAATTGATGAATCTGGTTTATAAATGTGAGATTTCTTTCTCATCGACGATATTTCGATTGCGTGATGGGATTAGATGTAGCGATTTCAATAAAATAAGCAACACAGTTGTGCAATAGTCATTCGTAAACCAGGCTGTTTCTAAATTTGTCGATATACAAAACATGTGCCATTCAATTGTATGAGAAAGGACCAAATCTGAATATTTGAATATTTTGTAGGCCAATTCAAGGATACTCTGGATTATCAGCTGGCAGATCAGGCAGACCATACACAAGCTACGACCTAGAGCAAGTCCGTCTTCTACAGAAAGCGTCAGTATAGCATGTCATATTATTATTATACAAATTATTTACCATGTAGTTAGCAATGAGATATTTTTACACTTCCTGACTTTGTATGATGCATTGCAAATTATCACGAGTTGCTTCATTAGTTCAAATTCTTTGTAGTCCGTTGCGTGGTTTGGGTGATTTCTTGCTCATTTGCTGCGATGTGTTGTTGTTTCATGTCGTTTTAATGTTGTCGATATTTGATTCCGATTAGACCGCGATATGTTGTAACGGAACTAAGGTAATAGTAAAACTTCTCCAATATTGAAATGGACATTTTTTTCTTAACTCACAACGTTTGTCGTTTCCATATAACGATGCACAAGATAAGACGTGGCTCAAGCACATACCTATTCACTTCATTACGTACAAATAGGCTTGGTCCCTTTGAATTGAAATCGCTACGTACACATGTCTATTTTGTAGATCGATTAACAAGAAGCGAGTCTGGTAATAAAATAATTTATTATGTTACCACAGGCGCGCAACCAGAAATTTCAGAGGGCAGGGGTCCAACACACAAAAAGGGCACTATTTAAACTTTGTGTTGGGCACTAATAAAAGGTCCGCCGAAAATATGAGCAGTTAGTAAATCTGTAAGTATTGCAGGCTAGACAAGGGAAACTGATCAATAGAGAAAAGTTGTGGTGTACGGTTTATTTTGTGGTGAGGTGTGATTTATTTTTTCCTTTTAATGGTAACTATGCACATGACTTATTTCTGTCTGCCATCCAGTGCCGCCGAGAAGTTTAGGAGGCCCTAGGGGGGGGGACGGAAAAAACAATGCCTCTTGCGAGCGAAGCGAGCAAAAATTTTGCCACCACACCCTTGCAAATAGCTTAAATTCACTAATTTGTTTAAGATTTTTACTTTTTAGTGTAATTTTGTTACTTTGAATAAATTCCATTTAAAAAAGGAATTCATTGTTTTATGAGGCTCTCTAGACCTCGAGGCCCTAGGGCAATTTGCCCCTTTGTTCACCTCTCGGTGACCCTGCTGTCATCTCCTTTTCCCAGCGCCAGCTCACTTTTGAAAAGCAGCCCATCATCTTCCATTTCCGAAGACATTTTGCGCTTTAAAATATTATTATTGAATTCTTTGCTTCGCACTACAGATGGGAGGAGGTTTAACAGTTCCGCGAGCCTTGACTTCAGCTTCTGTCTCCAAGTCTTGCCTTTAGCTGATTTGTAATACTGACAAGGAACGGAACAGCTGAACATCAACTTTTTGTGCCATCTTTATTGCTTGCTAATACCAGTCCGAAAATATTTCTCTGCATTCGCTCGTTTCATGCAAAGGTCCTCTATGATCCTGTAAACTATGTGACAGGCTTGAAAAATGTCTTGGTTTTTATTCTTGTAACTTTTTACCAGAGGTCGTAGAGGCTCTATCCCGTTCAAAATCTTGTGCCTTTATTTTGGTTTTTGAGTCCCAGAACCATCCTTCTTCAAAGCCAGTGCGTAGCGCATCATAAAACACGCTGTAGAGTTGGGGCTTGAAGATAGACTCTATTACTGCAACATGATGACGTTCGACCCAACAAGTGCGTGAAAGTTTGACTAAATCATTTATCTGTATTCCTGCGAGGTCCATTACATCTCCGGAGTGTGTCATTTACTGTATGACCAACCATTTTAGCGTAATAACCAAAATATTCAAGCAATTATCCAAGAAAAAGGGCACTTTTCCCCTTTTGAGAAAAAGGGCAGGGGTCTGGACCCCCAGGACCCCCCCCCCCCCCCCCCCCCGTAGTTGCGCGCCTGTACCAATTTAAACACACTAGTTTCCCAAGCAGAGTTGGAAAACTACAAAAATTGTTATCTGGAAAAATGTTGTGCATTTTATTGTTGCTAGGCTTTTGGTGTCATTTTCTATCATTTTTGTATATAGGTTACTTATGGTTTTTTCTTTGTTTGGGGTTTTCATAATGTTTTTTTCACGTTCTTTTCTGATGTGACAGGAGTTTGAAACCGGATGCCAATGATTATACAATGCCTAGAAGTTGTGGTGGCAGTCATACCTCGGGAAACCCAAACAGACGAATATCAGCGAAACTCAAGTAAGAATGGAATTATATATAAACAATCTTTTGATGGTACAAAACTTGTAAATGGCTTTGAAAAAAGCAAACATTTAGTAAACTAAAGCTTTTCGTCTGACACTCTTCAAGAGTTTAAAACGTCAGAACATAGATCGAAAACTCTACACTACGAACTACAAACTCTACGAAATATATATACCCAGTTGTGGATCGAAATAGGCCAATCAGAAACACGAGCACATGACTGTATAGGTTGACCAATCAGTGCCGCTTGCCTATTGAGAATGTTACCAGTCGAGTCCTAAGGTGAAAACTAACTCCTTTTGTCTACACAGTTCGTTTTTGCATCAATGAGAATTACACAGGGTTATGAATAAGAAAAGAGAAGAAAACCTCACATATCATTACTTTGAGCAAATCACGTTGTCCGAGTGAATATAACATTCTTTGAAACAAGACCTGATTAACTGACCTTCCTATGTTGGCGGATCAGGGTCTCTCAATCTCTAAATTTCACCATCAAATCAAAACTTAAATTTGGCTTCATTGTTTAATTTGCTTCGATTAGTAGGTCAACGAGAAATGAATTACAGGACTCATTACCTTGGTAGATGTAGCCTGAATTAGATATATCCTTTAGTCATTATGTCTACTCTAGTGTCTCTAATAGAAGGGGGGAGGTAATAGAAGGGGGGCTGTTCATTCCGACCAATTTTCAATCGAAGGGGGTGCTAATAGAAGGGGGGTGTTCATGTCGACCAGTTTTCAATAGAAATGGGTGCTAATAGAAGGGGGTGTTCATGTCGACCAGTTTTCAATAGAAGGGGGTGCTAATAGAAGGGGGTGTTCATGTCGGCAATCTTTCTTTGAAATCGAAGTACCTTTTTGGAATATACTGTCAAAATTTGTTTCAGTTTCTTGCATAGTTTTAGAGATAATTGCAATCGTACAAAGATAGATCAAATTTACAGCTTTTAACTTCCAAGTCAAAAATCATCGGTTTCCTTTGTACGGTTGAGATGTTGTAAAAAACTATGGAAAACAACAAATAATGAAAATAAAATGACTTGATTTGAAAAAAATTAATAGAAGGGGGGTGCTAATAAGCGATGGGGGAAAGGCAAATTCTTCCAAAATTAATACACAGGGGGCCCGTCTATTAGAGACACTAGAGTATGCAGCTTGATGTTTTGATTACAATCTTTAAGAAATGTGTGATTATCTTGTTACTTATAGCACAAATGCATCTGACTACGTCGAGGTGGCAGTGCCTGCTCCAACTCTAAGGTATGTTTTATCATCGGCTTTATGTACTTAATCTAAGAAATGCTTCAAATAATTCAAGTCTTATTTCGATGTAAGACATGCTTTAAGTGTCTTGCACAAATTGTGGCTTACTTCACGATATTGAAATATCATCTAGCATATCTTCAGTAGCACAGTCCCTTATTTATTCACTGATTTTAATGCTACTTTGTAATTTTTTTAAGTAGCTATTACCCAGTTATTGGCAGGCAAAAAATAAACTTTCTGTAGCCGGATATTGAGCCTGCACCTTGTCTTGCCGGAAGCATCTTGGTCAAAATCCTGGTTTCGACTTTCTTCTGTTTTTCTTAACTTTGACATTATTTGCTAAATTGTGAACTTGCATCTAGAAATGAAGTGGACATCCAGGGACATGATGGAAAGCTCTACAAAGGACGTGTTGATAAGAATGAAGAGTTCCCTGCTGTAAACAAGGTGATTCTTAGATTTTGATTGTTTCTCTTTAAAAAAATTTCATTTGTAAAATCAAGTTTAGCTTTTCTTTACTGTTTCAATATTTTTCAATGCAAGATTTTCTTGACACTTATACCAGGTACTTATTCAAGGAACATGGAATTTGTACATCGATCCAATAATTAGTCACTCTTCCTGAGGGAGGCTTAAGATATGTTTATATTGATGTATGTCGTGAAATCGACTCTGAGTTACTTTTATTTTTATTATTACATAAAACAGTCAGTTATTATGACATTGCGTGAACTTTGTAGATGCAAAAGAACTTTGTTTTAAGTTTTCACAGTTAGCAAAGTTTCTTAATTCACCAAATGAGATTTTTTCTAATATCCTTAGGGAGCATATCAAAATGGAAGAATAAAGCCAAAATCAGCTCATGGTGGTCGTTCGCCAAACATGCCACCACCTGGAGAGGGTAATTTCATGCCAAGACGACCTAAAACCGCTGTTCATAGAAGCACAACACCTGATTCAGCTGAGCGACAGATGCCACGTAGAGCGCCATCTCCAGATATTGTAATCAATTCTTTCGATGAACAACTTGTTGCATCTGGGGATTCATAGATAAATTTCGTTTTCCACATCAAATCTAATTTCATTGCTAATCGTTTTACAAGATATCAATATATTGTATCTCTGTTACACACTATTTTTAGATATGGGTTGGGGAAGAGATAATTAGATAGAAGGCTGAAGCAACCAAAGGACAATGGAAGTGATGCCCAAGTGATGTAAGCCTCAGGGAATATTCAACATCATAGCGAACACTTGGCATGGAATTAGAACCAGGGTTTTCAGGGCTGTAACAAAACCAACCACTATAATTTCAAGCATTAATGATTAATGTTCTTCTGCTATTGTTTCTAAGCATTCAAGAAATGAAGGAAAATTTCACTGTAAGCCAGTTTCATTAATTGATCGAGATTAAATTTTCGTCCAGTAGCACCTTCTTTAAAAGACAGGCTTAATGATTGTCCAGTCCTGTGTGTCACTCTCCCATATGGCACGCCTATAACTGCCCAGAAACAAGGTCTTTCGGATCACTAATTGAATTTTGAACTCAGCCTTCTAATATTGTCTTGCAATTTTTCAATATCTGATTTTATTTTAAATGTATTTGTTATCATTTTTTCAAATTTCTTTGATGTCTTTTTAATTTCTATCATTCTTTTGTTTTTTTAGACCCCCTTTAACTTTTTTTATATTTGTTTTTTTAAAAAACATGATTCGTAATAATCTTTTTGTTGATTAAATTAAATAACTTGCATTTTCATATTTTAAAAATATGTTCAGCTTTATGTTTGGAATAAGGAATAAATTAAATGTTTGAAATTGTTGTGATTGGTAAAATTGTGTTGCATTTTATTGTATGTACTTGTAATTTAAAGCTGAAGAACCTTGTTTGTTGAGCATTTAATCTTTTTATTTTTTGTCTTCTTGTAACATTTCATGCAGGAAATTTTGTTTGAATGTAATTTTCAACAGCAAACCTGGATATGCTTCCATTTACTTTTATAATAATAATAATAATATAATAAATCGAATATTTTAACAGGATAACCTATCAGTACAATATGTACTGTTATCATTAGGGTCCTGATACTTAATAAATTAATGGTAAGATCTAAAAACGGATTACAAAAGTTCAATACAGTCCAATCTAAAGATAAAATAATTTTACATCAAATAAAATGAGTTTCTAAAAATCGTCTAAAAATAGTTCTAGATTTAATCTTTCTTGCACTTAGTGGCAGGTCATTAAATTCCTTTCCTGCCTGATAGTAAAAACCTTTGCGTCCAAATTCTGTTTTCACTTGAGGCAACTTGACTAGATGTTTGTCGTTTCTAGTATTTTTCCCATGAGCATTTATAACGAAGTAATCTGTCATTGCATCACAAACATTGCCTTGTAAGGTATCAAACACCAAATTACAGGACCTCTTTTTCACTCCTGCATTGATACTGGGCACACGCAAGCTGACAGACGTAACCTTGGTCGATCTAATAACATCAAGGCTTCTACTCTCAAGACTTTCAATTCTTTTCTTGTATGATGTAGACCATCCGAGGGACAGCGAACCACAATACCCAAAAACAGGCATTATCATGGTCCGATAGATCATTTCAGCGCTCGCAGAGTCAATGGAGCTCCTAATGCGTCGAAGCAAATTTAATCTTCCTGTAGCCTTTTTAAAAACCTTGTCAAAGTGGGTTGCAAAGTTCAATGATTGATCTAGATGTACTCCAAGATATTTGTAACTTAAAGTCCCTGCAATCGATGTTCCATTTACTTCAATTTTCATCTCCTTTTTCTCTGTTTTACCTAGTCGTTTAGCTGTGCCAAAGATCATTGATTCTGTTTTTCCCTTTTTCAAGTTTATCAGTAGTTCATTTTCATCGAACCAGGCTTTTAGGTGTCCCAGGTCATTATTTAGCTTGCCTTCAATTTCATCTATGAAACTGCCTGACACAAATATTACTGTATCATCAGCGTATGTTATGATTTTAGAATTGTGAAGAACAGTGTGAGCCGCATTAAAATGCATTATAGAAACATATTGCCTAGTTATATCAAGAAACAAATTCAATAGAAAAACTGTATACCCTTTATCATCAATTTATCATCAAAACAATGGAAAGCAGTTTTATATTTCCTGTTGTCAGGAAACTGGTTTCTTTTGGTTAGTGAACTTTCTCTAGGCCTAGCCCTGGCTGCAGATATTTCTCCGTTTTAAAGATAGTTTAAAAATTATTTTCATGATTGCTGAAATGTTGTCTTAAAAGTGTCATAGAAATTGCAAAACAGTTGAAATACCCAGTTGGTGTCCATTTGCATACAAGCCTATGTCCATTTGAATTAAAAGGCAGGAAATCATATGTGCATTCAGCAATCAACTTTTAAAGAATTATGGTCAATCTTCAAGCAAAACCCACATTTGAGAAGAAATTTAAGAGAAAGAACACAATTGCTATCAGAAACAGCTATTGCTACAAATTTTGTCTGTACAAACTTAGCTATTGTGATACACAATGCATACAAATTCAATAAATAAAAGCAAATGATAACTTAACGGTGCAAACCGATGACATAATAAAATACTATGCTCTTTATAAACTAATAAAAAATCTAGTCAAAATCATAATTTATTCTCAGACACCTTGTTTTTACAAAGATCTAAAGAAATAAAATAAATATCATAAAGGAAAATAAAGAAAAAAAGGTTTCCTTATTTAAAATGTTAAATATAGTTGCTTGTTAAAGAACAATGTAAGCTATACCAGCTCTTTCAGATGATGTGATTTGTTTCCATGTGTCAGCTCCTTGTTTCCAGTTGATTGCTGTTAAAAATCTGGAGAAAATACCAACTCTTTCTTGCGAGCTTCTTCCTTTTCTTTGTCTTTTTCAGGAGTTATAGCTTGAACTTCAGGAAAAGAAAATTCTTCACTCTCAGAAAAACTTTTATCAAGATTGTCTTCTTCCTTGTCACATCTAGAGCTTGATCCAGTTTTAGTATCGTCTGGTGTTTCATATGCTAATTTACTGCTTTCATTTTTATCTTTTGGAATGCTTTGGTACTGCTGGTCAGTTTCTCCAGAATTTTTTTGTGTCATGTTAGCACTTTCACAAAACTTCTTAATCTTTGTATGCAAATCGGTATTTTCCTCTAATTTGCCATCATCTGACAATATTTCAGTGTTTTTGAATTCTCTTTTCATACCACTGGATTCCTTTTCGTTATCCGTAGCTTGCAAAGGAGGCGATATTTCTTCTTGACTCCCAGATTCACTTAGAATATTTTTTATTTTGACACTTGCATTAGTTTTGGCTACATTGTTGTCTATCTGACCAGTAAGAGCAGCATTCTTAGGTTCTGTAGAATTTTGCTTATCGTTGATGATTTTCAGATTTAATTCCTCTAATAGTTTTGCATCAGACACAACATGCAGAAATCCTTCACATACCATTTTCTGTCTTTTTTCCATTAAAGACCTTCTGTTTGAAAGAAACTGTATTACTTTCTTTATATCATATGCACACATATCTTTAAGCTTTTTTGTTCTTTCTGGAAAGTTAATGTTCATTTGTTCTGGAACTAATCTTGCAAGGGAGGTTAGTTCTTCTTTTGTTGGTGTCCTCTCCATCAATTTGTTTGTTGCATCAATCAGATCTTTGCTTGTTTCATATTCCTTGTGCTTTCCCTGTATAATATCACTGTAATTTATCTTCAAAATACTAAGACATTTTGATACTAAAATCTCTGTCTCAAATATATCAGTAATTGCATTATGCGATTTCATCTCTTTGCTTTGTTGATCTGATACTACAAAAATCTCTTTCTCACTTGTGGAAGATTTCCATTTGTACCTTGAAGCAATGCTTTTTGTCACTATAACTCCAAGGGAATTTGCCAAGGATGACAAACTGTAGCTACCTTGCATTGGAAAAGCTACTAAAGCTAGCTTATATGTATCAACAAGCCTGAACCTAAGGTCATCAAACTTCGCTAAGAACTGCTGTTTGTATCCCCTCACTGTCAAACCAGCATTCCAACTTTCGTCTGATTCACTCTCCAATGTTCTTACATCGCTGTCCAGCCGTTGAAACTCGTTTCTAAGCATTTCATAATCGTACTGAACATTGTGGCCTATCATAATGTCAACATCTGACAACAAATCCAAAATTTCGTTGGCCTTTGTTGCGAACGTTGGTGCATCGCAGAGAAGATCTTCACCAATATGATTTATTCTATATGCTTCAGAGTTCATAAATTTCCCAATGTCTTTGCCAGGGTTTATGTACGTTTCGTAAAGTTGAATTAGTTTTCCGCGATCATCTAACTTGAGACAAGCTAGTTGTAATATCCGATCCTTGTTTACATCCAGTCCGGTAGTTTCCACATCTAGAATCGCAATGATGACAGGTGAGTGGAAGCCTGAAGTAGCATCCATCTTTTAAGAACTAAACTTTTGTACCTTTGCAAATCTCACGTGTTATCATGTTTATGTTCCCTTCTCTCCGTCCAGTAGGTCTGTGGTAATTAGGGTGATAAAAGTTGATTACTTTCCGTTTCCAAGGAAAAGTCTCGCTTCCGCAGAGGACAACACGGGAACGTGACCGGATGTTTGGGGGATGTCTCCACTGAGTGGATGTCTCCCACTGACAGAGCCTCTTTGCCGAATCCTTCAGCAGTGTCAACTTTATGTGCACAGAGAAGAAGGTCAAACCTGATGGTCAGTTGCAAGGTTGGTATTGAATTCTGTTTAATATTTTGATGACTGGTGTATTGCTCCAGAAAGTACAAAAACAAGTGATGATATTTCTACAGTCTCCTTGTAAGTTTTCACTATTGTTTAGATTGATCTGGTCATAGTCAATAAAGGAGGACCTCCTTTCTATTGACTATGATCTGGTTCACGTAAGCTAGGGGTGTGATCTTGCTTTGGGTGAAATCATTAATCTACTTCTTATAAGTTGAAGGTAATGTGTCCATATAAAAGGACTGCGTATACCCAACTTGTCAAGCCACCCATCAAAATAACAGTTTGCATTGGTTAGTATTCTTGCGATGCAAAACTGCTCACATGAAAAGCTAACTTAGCAGCAGGATAGATAAACAGAACGATTGTAATGGCTGGGACGATGACATGAAAATTACATGTTTCTAAAAGCCCCCGCAGAGTCGTCTGCTTAAGCTGGACACATTACCTTTGAGCCTGGTTCCCACTTGGTCGTTTGGGTCGTTTGAGTCGTCAGAGTCGTTCCTGAAAGACACGAACGACCCAAAGAACACATTGGTTTCCACTTGGTCGTTTGAGTCTTTTGAGTCGTTTGTTGTTGATGCTGTTCATTGCTTGCACCATGCATCACTCATTTAATTTTGGCGGCATGCGTGGAAGGAACAATGGTAGCATTTGATAAACAACAACTGATTTTGCAAAGTCAACTATTTCTACCTCTGGTGACTTTGTACAGACGACGATGTTAGATCACTAAATTTCAGTGCAATAGCTTGCCATGATTTGATATTTTTGTATTTATTTTTAAACTTTTTCCAATAATTGTTATAATAGCACTCGTATTTTTGAATTTTTCCATAAAGCTTGCTGTGAAATATTCAGCTATCTTGTTCTTGTTCTAGTCAAACACGCAGTCACAAGAAAATCCCCTATTCTTGAGGAAAAAGTTACTAAAGCGTGGGTCGTTAGAGTCTTTTGAGTCGTTTGTCCGTTTCCACTTGCAAAAATCATTCATGCGTGGGTATTTTGGGTCGCGGAGATAGAATTTTTTTTATCTCTGCGACAACTGTTGTTTGAGTCTTTTGGGTCTTTTTGGTTGTTGGCAGGTATGTTTCCACTGAATCTTTTCAGTCGTTTGGGTATTTTCCAAGTGGGAACCAGGCTTTAAGAATCTTTCTGAACGTCGTTTTTAAAGACTGAACACTCCAAGAAAAGGGTGAACACAACAAAAAAATCCTAAGAACAATCCATCAAATCCCCATTAAGCGGCTGAAAACCCTTTAAGACATTAATTTTGGGGCGGGAAAAGGCCTGATAAGTCTATTACATGCACATAAATCCAAATGAAACTACTGCTAGCAGCATAATTTATAACAGACTTCCAATTTTGTTTTTGTTAAAACCATGCTTGTTTTAAATTCATGTTAAAAACTCTGCATAATTTTTTTTACAAGCAAGTGAAAGCAAACAGAAACTTGGTTGGAATAGCACTTAATTAAATTGCTTAAAAGTTTTAGTTGGTGTGTAATTTTTCTGCCTTAATATGGTTGGGAATACTTTTCAAAATGTAATTTTTACCAATGCCATGCCTTGTTAAAAAATTCAAATGATTTATCACTCTTTGTGCTGAAATATCATGGCCAGACCTACTTGTCTTGCTACCTATTATAATGAAGCAGTACCACATAGTTCTTGCCGTGCAAACCAATCATTCCAGTGCAAGCTTCAGTTGTAATTGGATCTGTTTAAATATACCCAATCTATCAAGCCAAAGACAGTATTTTTAATTAGCTCACCATTCCCCACAGATACAATTTAATAGTCCAATGACTTCTTTACTTTTAGATGATTTCACTTAAAGGTGCCTTGATATCAACAATAATCTTCTATGGTGTTGGTCTCATTTCAATCAAACTATACTTGAAACTTGTACAACATGGTTTTGGTGTTCCCAATTTCAACCATTTCCCAGGAAAATGCCGTGTGATGCCTCAAATGGAATGTGGTTCAGAAGATGTTGCAGTTACTAAAGATGGTTTGGCATTTATATCAAATGGATTGCGAATTATACCAAAATGTGATCATAAACTTCACAAGGGTGGAATTTATTTGTTTGATTACAAAAACCCAACAAAAAATGTTACAAGGCTGGAAATAGTATCAAAAACCATTAATTGGGATGTTTTTGATCCCCATGGACTTAGTTTGTGGGAAAATCAACAGTTTGGCAATGTGATATTGTTTCTCATAGATCATGGCAGTGGTGAAAAGGTACATTTATTTGAATACAAACGGGAGAATAAATGGCAGTTAGTCCACAAAGAAACAATCATTGATGCCTTGTTTGTTTGTATTAATGACTTAGTTGCAACTGGCCCACGCAGCTTCTACATCACAAACTTCATTGCCTTTTGTCATGTTTCACAAGCAGCAGTTGCTGCAGAGTTTTTCTTAAGTTTGCCCACAGGCAACGTTGCTTATTATGATGGTAAAAAGGCAACAGTAGTTGCTAAAGGTCTTTACATGTCAAATGGAATAAATTTGTCCCCAGATGGGCACCATCTTTTTGTAGCAGCTGGTTCAGCTCATCAAGCTCTCATCTTCAAGCGAGACATTGATGACAACACTATTCGACTTACAAGTGAAGTGGATTTAATGACTTCTCCAGACAACATAGAGGTTGACTTTGAGACAGGAGATCTTTACATTGGCTGCCATTCAAACTACCGTCTGCCATTTTCTGAATATAATGGAACATTTGCAGCCCCATCCCAAGTCATTCAGGTCAAGGCACACAATAAAGATTGGGGCAATGTAAGCATAACTGAGGTACTGCGTAGTGATGGGATCAATTTTGTGCGTGGCTCCTCTGTTGCCAGCTTCTATAAAGGCGGACTCCTGATTGGGACAGTATTCCATCGTTTGGCATATTGTGAAAATGTGAAGGTGCACAGTGTATGAAATTCAGCATAAATGACATACACAATTTCCAGTCCATTGTAAATTTTAAATAAATGAAGTTTTTTGACAATAGTTTTAGACTGAAAAGTTGGATGTGTGCAAATTTGCAGTCAAAACAAATATCTTTTCTTATCTCTTCTTTGTACTCTTATTTAAGGCACTATGTCCTGTCAGTAAACCATTCAGAATCAAAAATAGGCTTTGCAGGGTGTTTATGATTGAGAAAAGGTAGAGAATTAGCTGACTGGATATGTAACAATAGATGTATTGTGTATTCTAACAAATGGGAATTTAAATGGCCAGCAAAATGCGTCAGATATAGTGCCTTTAGTTTACCCCATGTGTAAACTGCATGCAGGAAATCTTTTTGTATTAGCTTTAATTTTTTCAGCAATAGGCAACAGGTCTTGTTGGGCGCAAAAAGCAGACACATGATAAACTGAGTACCTTCAATTTTCTAGGTGCTCAATTGATCATCAAAAAATATTATCAAAAACAAAATTTGGTTTTTCACATAAAATTTTTAGAGATCATAAACACACTAGGTGCTTTACCGGTCAAGCTCCTAAAACTTTCTAGGTATGTGGGTAGGTGTTTGATTGAGCTCACGTGCCTCTCCTTGCAAGGCCTGATAGGCAATTACTTTTTCGCACTTTCTCTGTTACAGAGGGAGGTAAGTTACCAAATGCGATAATAAGGTCAAAGTATCTGTCAAAAACTTAAAGTAAATTTTTAAAAGTAAAACAGTATTACTGATTGTTGTGTAGATGACAATGTTAAGGGGAAACAAGTGAAATAGGCCATATTGGAATTGGTAGGTATTGTCAATCTGCTCTATATAATCAACATCTCCCTTTCTCTGATCCACGAAGAAGCCTCTTATTAAGCTCATATTGAAGAGGACAAGTTACACTAAAATGTCTCCAACACTTTTGGTGGAAATCCTCATTTTTTAAACTTTGAAGGCATAAAAGTGTCTCAGTTATGGCAAAACTGATGAAATATGAACTGATCAGCTAGAACTGATGGTGTATTTCAGCCTTAAAAAGCCATTTTTTCAATTCAAGTTAAAAAAATTGTCTAAAATGAAGGGAAATTGGTTGCTTATACCAGAGACTGCTTCCATGAATCTTAGTTAAAAGAAAACTAGAGCCATCTGAGTTGACTTTTTTCATGAAGGCTACAGATATTAGAAAATGAAACACTTGCAAGTACAAAGGTGCCTTTATTTAAAACTAAAAACATGCTAAGCATCAGTGAACTTTAGATAAAGCATTTTTGCAAAACCCTAAGCAAAGGATCCATACAAGATTGCCTGATTTAGCCGATGGAATTTCAATCCTGTTGCTAAAAAACTATGTATTCCAAAGAGCCTCAAACTTTCAAACTGCTACTTGCATAACTCTTAAATATTGCCGAGCATAGAAAATTTTAAAGATTCAAAAACGTTAGAGAGAAATTCTGGCCAGCTGCTACTGCCAATAGTCAAGTTTAAACTAAATGTTTTTACTACCAATAAAATTTGTACCTGATCAGCTGCAGTGACCAAGTTGATTAAAGTAAATGAAAACTCTAACTAAGTATACCATATATCTTATTTTTGTTGTTGTTTTGAGCTGTCTGTTTGTTTTAAACCTTGACTTTGCAGGAATCTTTGAAATGAATTGTATTCTTTTTCTTCATCTAAGTCAATTTCTTCAGTTTCAATCTCATCATTTTCTGAAATATTATCATCATCTAAATGAAGGTGATCAAACACAGTCTGTTCCCTGACAGCAGGTGTTGAAAACAAGTCTACACTTTTTCCTTTCCCAACATCTTTCCTTAATTGTTCTATCTGTTGTTTCCTAATATCTTCTTTCATCTTTAATTTCTCTTCCTTCAGTTTTGCATATTCTGTGGAAAATATCAAACAATTCAACATACTCATACAATCAAGAAGATTTGTATTGGTTCTTATAAACCATAAACTTACAAAAGCTTTTCACTTGGAAACAAGATATATGTTATTTAAGAGTGGACCTATACCTATATTTACCAATATAAACATCAGTTGAACCTTAAACTGGATTTTACTAGGCACACATTTATTAAACAAAGCAATTTAAATCTAAATGTTACGAGGATAACTGTAAATATGAAAATAGTATTGAATATTTGTCTATAAACAAAAATATCTAGGAGCAACCTGCTAAATATAATTTAGTATTTATACTGTGTTTCAAGCAGGCACCGCGCACCAGTCTAAAAGTGGGAGGGCTGAAAAGGGTGTGACCCAAAATTTTTTGAGGACACCAGAAAAAATATTAACAAACAGTCTCATTCAGGTAGGATAACAATTACAATAATTTCGATAACAATCAGGTACGATAATTACCATTAAACAAGACAAAACACCAAGAAAATGAACAAAAAAGAGTTCCCAGTTGAGAAGAACTGATTCTACTTAAGATCGGTGAAAATAAAATTTCCAAAATTGTGTTAGACTGAAATTTCCAAAACAATTTTAACTAATTATTGCAAAAAGGTGGAGGAGGGCTATAGCCCCTGCTAGCCTAATGACTGCATGGTGCCTGGTTTCAAGGTATGCCCAGTTAGGTTTGTTTAAATACATTTGGATCTTTACCAGTTCTAAAAGCATTTGAGATTCATACAAAAAGCAACTTACCGACTTTGAAAACTGTTTCATACTCAACCACAGCCTCATCTACAGCTTTGAAAAAGTCATCAATTCCAGCACCTGTAATAGCTGATAATCCAACAGCTTTTAGGTTTTGATAAAATTCATCAAGAACCAAGCTCATTGACCTTGTCAGATTTGAGGCATAGGATGTTTCATTTGATAAGGCTTCTTGGAAGACTTCAAAGTCTTGCATCCACTCAATAGCAAATCCATGATCAATAATATCAGTCTAGAGCCAAAAGAAAATTGTTTTAATTTATGGTCAATCTATTGTATTCAAGTTCTTGATACTAAAACTAAACTGAATTCACAGATCTTCGCAGAATTGCATTAAGTAGGTAGCATGGAAAGACAACTTAAACAAGTTTTCAATGCAAAATATTTGTAACTGTTAACACTAAAGGAATAGAGCGACACAAAGTTAAATGTTGTTTCATTTGTATGGTGATCTGTCAGCTGGTAATACCTTGATCTGATGCAAAAGTATTTTTCTGTTCAGCCGTACCTTTTGTAGGTGAAACATATTTTTATATAGATTAGTTTTCTAGGCCCCCAAAAAAATTTTGGTGGCTCTAAACTTTTGCAGATGAGGGGGCTTGTGAGGATGATTGCCAGCATAAAATTAAAATATAAGATTTTTTTCTGTGTGCAGTTCCCTTTCTACAAATCTTTATTGTTTAAGAATATCAATGATGTATTTCAACATCAGATAGCTCCCCTCAACTAATGACAACATTTCAATGAAAAACTGACCTTGTTGAGAACAACAATAAATGGTAGTTTTGTTTTATATAATATGCTGCAAGCATACAACATGTTTGACATAAAAGTCACAGGATTGGTGCTCCTTGCTGTGTCCATTACATAAACAACCATTGTTGGAAATGTTGATGCCAGTGCCTCAGTAATGATAGAACCAGAGGCTGACCAGGTGAAGACCTCAATTTGTCCAGGGGTGTCAATAACCACATACCTACAAAATAAAAACATCTGGTTTTTGACAAGTTTAAAACAAAGTACTGACTGAGTTTAATAAAATTACAACAGGATAATAAAATACATTTCTTAGGCAAAATAATGATAACCATTAGCTGGAAGAAATTTGTCACATACTTGCACTCAGAAGACCTTTTTTCTAGATGTTCAAGAACTTGATCAAATTTTGTTGCAAAAAGATTCAATGATGTCATTATTCCTCCATTTGGGCCCAAATTGTATTGTTTCATGACTTCTTTGTATTTGATAGTATCCCTGATGTCAATATTCGCTGGATATGACAATTCATGTACTGCAGGATCCAAGTTTATAACATATGGTGTTTCCTTTTTTGTGTAGAGATGTGACGTCAATCTCTATAAGTACAAAAACTTTATACTCAAAGACATTGTTAAAAGCATTTTCTTTTTTTGATCTCAAAAGACATGTACAAAATGGCAGAAAAAGAAGTAAAGTAAAGCCTTTTAGAAGGGCCTAATTTTTTTATATCAATTCATAACATACTTGCACAAAAGTGGTCTTCCCAGACCCTGCCATCCCGATAACAATGATGCAAGGAGGCATCTTTTTGGAGCCACTATCGCCTGGAGTCATTTTGTCCTCATCTCTGTTCAGTGTCGTCGACTCCGATTTTTGGTTACTTGCTGCGATGCTAGCTTCCGCCATTTTTAAAACAATATGCAACTTGGCGGCAAAATCAAATCGAGGCAAAGCAATCTGGAGCTCACAAAATGGAAGATCCTAGGACGATTTTGGAAGAGAAGCTGCCTGTTGTTTTGGATATTATTCTTACAAGACCAAACCAAATTGTTGATGATACATACATCGAGAAACTCTTAACATGGCTGAATACTATTGCATCAGAGAAGGACAATGGAGACTTTCTTTTGAATCCAAAAACAAACATTTTGCAGTTTCTTTTGTCTGAACCGGTTAGACTATTAGAGTCACCAATTTGCGCGAATTTTGCCCTGAGGCTTGTTGGGCTAGTAGGTGGCTCTTCTTCTGATGCTTGCGAAATGCTTATTGATGACGGAATCCTGGAAAATTTGTTTGGAAGATATCAACTTAATGAGAATCTGTTTGTGAAGAGTGCAGTCACAAGGTTTGCATTTTTCGAAGGCCTCTCATCCATGCTTGGGAATTCATTTGCTTATTCTTGGGTTCTGAAGAAAAATGGTATGTCACATAAAACTTAATGCAATCTGAATTGAATAGAAGATCTAAACCAATTTAACACCCCCAGTTTCTGCCATGTTTTCACACAGACCGTAGACACTTTGCTTTTTGGTATTATTATTATAAAAAGCAGAATAGGAAACCCTATAGCTATTTACTGTAAAAGCTCTATCAAGTCCTCATCTCTATTAAGCACCCCCTTACCAAGCTAAAATTTAAAATAAACCCCCCTCTCTATGAATCCCCCATTTAGCCCCTATTTTCAAACAAAGAAATCATGCACATTGAGTGGGTCTCTTGAGAGAAGGCCCCTGTAAAGGTTTCCTTGTGTGCCTTGGAAGACAATAGGACACTGATGTTCATTCTTTCAAATTAATCCCAAAGCCTTGTGGTATCTTTGTAACATGTTTTATTTTTAATAATAAATAAGACTCTGAAAAGCCCCCTCTCTTATAAGCCACCTCTCTTTTAAGCACCCCCTTCTAGGACTGAAAAAAAAAGTTTTTTTAACATGTCAAATGCTGACCCTCCTTTGTTTGTCTGTTTGAATGTATTTTAAAAAACCTTTCTAATTTCTGCATCTCACAATGAGTGGTGCTTTGAATCTTTTTCAGCTCTCTCTGCAGAGTATGGCAGTTCTTGATATGTGTGAACACATGTATGCACAATCATTTCAGCCACATTTTTCATTCGAGCCATCTTCTTTACCAATGCTTTATTGCACTGTATTATGTTTGTTTCTACCTAGCTTTCAATTGAAACAATATTGTTTTTTCCTGATAGGGTTTGTTTGCCATGCTACAAAAGCATTCACAGACTCCAGTTTCTACGTCTCTGCATCTGCAAAGAGGTTTTTAGCAACTTTTCTGCTAGCTGCAAAAACATTTGATAGCAAATTAGATGATGGAGGTAAAGACACTATCTTGAAAGCCATTTCAATAGAATATAAAAAAGCTTCTTTGAAGGACAAGCAACAGTATCTAGATTTGGTTTCTCAGATTTTTGACAGTGATATGGCAACAGCCATCCAACTTTTGGAAAGTTTTGGTGGATTGCAGTCATTTATGCATCATTTGCATTTAAAACGGAAAGGATCAAAACTTCTTCAAACAGTCACAGAAATCTGCTACAAGCTTTTATCTAGAGGATGGTTAGTATTTGTATTGAAAATTGCCTCTCAACTTATATATATATAAATATAAAATTGATCAACTGAAAGTCTAAGTAGATTTGCATATGTTTGTCATTAACCTCGAATAACTATAATATAGTTAGCAAGTAAATTGAGTACCAGAATGAAAATGAAATCTCAATTTATTTGCTAACTATATTCTTGTTATTTTGGATAAAGTACCACACAGAACGTACATATTTAATTGCCATTGACCTTGGTTAGTTTTTTTTCTCCTCTGGTGGTTTAATCAATTAGATCAGATAGCAGTAATAAAACCACACACACATTCAGGTTTTTAACAGGGACACTTGCACAAAATTAGGGCAGGAGGGGCGGTGTTGGTGCTGAGGGCAAATCATTTAATTTTTCTATTAACATAATCAAGCATTCCTAAGTGGGAGGGGGTTGAGGGTGGGGTAACATAATAAGATATTAACTTGAATATGTGCCACCCATACAGCTGGGTTTTTTACCACCAAAGATTCTAAACATAAAGAAAATGATGACAAAATTATCCATAAATGAAAATGGTTATTAAATGGCCTGTCACTCACTATTTACAATATTTGGTTTTATAAACATCATTGGCTGTTATAAATGGGCTGGTTGTAAAATTTTGATTGCCCGCCAAGTTTTTATACCGATTTATCCTCCTTAGGTTCCTGGAGTACTTCTGAGGGTACACATCTTTTGTTTATCATTTATCATCTTTGATGCTTTCCCTCTTGTGGCTGACCTTGTCACAAACAAACTTTTCATTCTCTGCATTTTCATGCTGGTGTTATCATCTTTCTAGTATTTTCTTTTAGATATCAACATAAGGAGAGTAGTCAAAGTGGTCATCATATTTCAGGGCACTTCTTGCCCCCTCTGCACCTCTTCAAAGAGGGCAGCTGCCCCTCCAGACCCCTCAGTGTAGGCACCCCTGGTTTTTAAACAGTTGATAATTCAACTTCTACTATAAAACTCAAAAGGATAAATCTAGCCATGTTGTTAATCCCAAGCTTCCAAATAAGGCCTTTGCAATTATTAATAAAATCCATTCAATGAATTTTAAATGTGAATTGATTCATCAAAATTGGACAATTTTTGTCATATTCATTTGCAATGATAGATTTTTAGATCTGATTTTTATTTCCTTACAGTAAATCGCACCCTGGACATGTCTTTTCCAAATCTTTGGTAGATGCAGATGAAGATCTGGAAATCATAGAAATTTTGCTAAGTGTTGCAGTTAGTATGGCCAAGGAAGATGTTGGCAATCTGTTTTATTTCCTAACAAAGACAATATGCATTGAATTGTAAGTTTATATCTGTTATGTATTTAGGCATACAAGATAATGTTGTCTTGATTTAAATGCATGTTAGATTATTGAGATAAAGCTGTCTCACATTCACAGAGGATTGAAATAATTAGTGACCCTGTCTTCTGTTGTTTGCCTCAAGTCAAGGGTGGTTGATGATTATAATATTTCATCATTTTAGAAATACACTACATCATTGGAATGAGTTGGCTCTTTGTCTTGTTCTGTCTGGCATTCTTCATTGGAAAGTTGACACCCTAACAATAACTTCTAATTGGTTTTGTGAGGGTAAATGGGAGTATGCAGGGTTTCAATATGTAAGTACAGTTTTAAAATATACGAGTTCAATCAGAACACTAGTCAAATAAAAATCTTCAGAAAATAACTCGTTATCCTCTATAGAATTAAATGGTTGATAAAGGAATTCATAAAAATCTGCAGACTGGCTTGTATCCAAAGCACTATTGGCTTGTACCCCTATTGGCTTGTATCCAAAGCAGGAGTCTTTTAACTGTTTCTGAGACAGCACACCACCACACTAAAGGGATGAAGCTATCTGATATCTGCTATCCGGCCATACAAAAACCCCAACTGTCTTCCTGAACTATTTTAAGTGCAATTCATTCAAAACTTCACTAACAGTTACTAACAGGCAGGCAGATAGACAAAGCCAAATGCTGACTAAGAAAATTTCAGTCATGTTTGAAATTACTTGAGTTGACATTATTGAATCATATTTCGAGCTGAAACAGTAAGCTGGGGGTAAATCTTTACTATTTTAGGTTTTAGGTCAAACCTTTTTCAGTGAGTTGATATACCTGCTCCTTCATGAGATTTCTGAAATTATCAAATTTAATAGCAGCTTTTCTTTTTCTAGTCAGAGCTTTCTATTCGACTAACGAAGGACCTTAAATCAATCATGGAAAAACATTTGATAGAGAAAAAGGTGTGGAAAGAGTGTCTTATTTTAACAATGGGTGCATACAATGAACTATTTTCTAAGGTGAGAGTTGTATCTTTTAACTTTTTAGTAACATCTAGTCTGCTAACGTGCCCAGTTTATCTTAAACTGCCATAGATCGGTAAAAATTCCTTGCAATTTTCAAGTTAGATAAGACAGGCCATTACAAAATGTTTCTTTACTCAAATTGTTCACAGTACATGGAGAGCCTTTTTATCAGTTCAAAAAGATTGCGTTCTTACGACCAAATAGAGCTCCGTTATCTATAAGTTTTTGTGCCAGTGTGATTCTAGCTACGAATGACGCAAAACCGAAAGATTGGGGGATATAAAACAACAGCATATCCCTTGCAACATTAGGAATAAAACTCTCCTCCTTAGAAAATCGCCTCCTCTGTCTCTAAGATAAAAGCAAAGACTGCATCATGCGATTCTGTTATCGGGCTACATTTACTGGAAAACTATGCTCCGATGCTTTATACTCTGAAGAGTGTCAGTTTTCAGCAAGTGCACTTGTCAAGTAGAAAATTGTCATACGTATGCAAAACTTGTCCGTGTAGATGACTTGACAAGTAAACTTGAAAAATTTGACTCAATTTCAGACCCTTCTTTTCTCGCAATTTCTTGTAGGGGATTTCCCACACACGAATAAACGTTTTCGCTAAAGGAGCCAATTCTTTGCAAAAAATTGACACGAAAAACGTGCTGCATCAGAAATCCGAGGCTAAACTATAAACTCGGCTGGCCAAAACGATTGTCAGATCAGATTGTTTGTCAACGAGACTTGTTGTCTTTCTAAACGAGCATTGTAAGGAAAAAATGTCAAACAAAGCTTTTTGCTAATCTACACTGGCAAGGAAACATGTCACAGAAAATTATTTGCCAAGGAAAAATTGCTCGTGTAAATTCGGGTGTAAGGTAAGCATAGATTGTGGATCGAATGCAATGTGGCAGGAAGAATGGTGCGTTTGATTGGTTTCTTGATTTTAGCCAATCAGCAGCCGCTAATCTCTCACCTAGTTGATCCCCTGTTTTAATAACCTTATCTACGCAAAGGGCTATACACGAAACCTTTATGTATAATGAACATATTTAGGTAGCAGTTGCAAAGATGGGCTGGCAACAATCATCTGCATAACAAGTTAAAGCCTTCACGATATAAGTAGAATGCCACGTTTACTCGGGCACGGTTGCGTACCGTTGCGTTAGCATTCCAGATTTTGGAACAAGAAATCAGATAACTGTACACAGGGGTAAAAAAACGATTAAGTACTATTTTTTTACTGTTTACGCCACAGCGAAATCATTCCATTGTTCATTACAAAAAGTTAAACAAAGAGTTCACCAATGAGCATGTCCCTATTTTCATATGGACAATTTCAGCATTTAGCCAAATTGTCTCGGAATCGTTCCGTTCCCTTTCACCTTTTCTTGTCACTTTTGAAAGCGTTCCAATATTCGAAGTGGAACGGAACAATGTAGTGCGTTCCCGTGTGAACCCCTTGGCGTTCCACTTTTTGGAACGGAACGATATTCAACGGTACGCAATCATTCACATCGAAATTTACTCAAAGAACGCTTTTAATACTTTTCGTAGGTGGTGAGCATTCAGATTTATACTTTTTATAATATATCTTTTTCTGAGGAGTGTAAAGCTCTGAATATCTTTGGAAATTAATTTGCATATTTTCAAAATAACATTTTATATTTCAACAGGCTCAATTTTACTAATTCCCAATCAATTTTTTATTTTGTTTCATTAGAGCATCAAAGAGTCCTGTAGCAAGGAAGGGATGTCGTTGGTAGAAATGTGGACACAGTTTCTCTCTGACCTGATGGTGATAACCCCAGCTAAAGCAAAGGGAGACCTCCGGCTAGAGCTGGATGCAGAACTCGTTGCAGCTTGTACTGGGTGCAGAAACTTGGCGTATAAATGTGCAACAGCTATTGAGCAGATCTTAATCAATGACTGGTTTTCAGGTAGACAAGATATTTTGATAAAAACTTTCTACTTTGATGTTATCTTATTGATACCTCTGTTCTCTACCGTTTCGTTGTAGGGCAGTACCTTATTAGGCATTTAGGAATCTGGTCTGAACCGAATATACTGGATCATTTATGCAGTCAAGCCGGAAAACCGGGACATTGCTTGGTTTTACTGTACTAAAAATTTTCAAAATTAATTGGAGAAATTATTAAAAGGGAAAAATGAGAGGGAAATGTTATAGATCTTAAAATCTTCCTGCTGTCTTATGATGCTAAAAAAATATAATCTATATTATAAGTAATTTTTCATTAAGAAATTTAATAATATGAAAAGAAATATTTTTTGTTAAAGAATGTATTGTTACCTAATTTTTTACTAGATACTTGTTACCAACAAACAGTTAAGAAGCTCTGTTTACTACCCGAAAAAGGATTTGCTACGAAACCTCTCCAACATCTTATTATCTGTCTACTTCAGTGGCTTTTTTAAAAGGCAGGACCGTCTTTTGAAATTGATGAACTCTTCTTGCAAAGAACGACGGGAAGAAGCTGCTTTCTTTTTATCGTAACCAAGAACGATGTTAACTTTCACACTTCTTGATTGGTGTTGAAGTTTCACTGCTGTTTGCAGCATTATTAACTATCAGAATAATGTATTTTTGGTCCACTGTTTGATCTATTCCTCTTTATATCTAAACTTATATTGCTATCTACAATTCCCTTTGTACTTTCAAATAAAACACTTAAAAATCCAGTACATTAAAGGCAAAAAATTTCGGACGTTAATATTTTCGGACATTTGAGGCGTCCGGAAATTTTAGCGTCCGAAATTTTTTGTCATCCGAAATTTTTTGCCTTTAATGTAGTTGACCAAATCTCAGAATTAAGACTGGCCAGAACCAGTTTTTCAAAAGGTCAGTGATTTTATCCAGCCTCCAGGATAAACGGTACACCCCTAGTATGTTGAAATAAACTTCTATCTACCCTATTTTTCTAACGAGTTTTGCTTCCTGTTTGTAATGATTGATGAGGGTATCTTGTCAATGGATCAAGATATTTGTATTGGTTTTCTCTTGTTGCATTTGTCATGTTATAGTGCTTTTTTAAAGTTAACTTTAATTTTCATTATGTTCCATCCCAAGGCTTTACTGCTCAAACAAAGTTCAAAGTCATCAACGCAGTAGTCAAAACTATAAATGATCAAACTTTGGATACCCAGGTAATCCTTTTATGTGAGACGCACAACTTAGTAATGTAGAGAGAATGCATTAGTTTCTATTGTATTTTGCTATTAATGCTAAATAGGACCCGATGAAATTTTGTTAAAGATTTTATGTTCTTTGTACCTACAAAGCCCAACCCCATTATCAGTCTTACCTTGCCAAGATATTGGTGTTTGAAATGAATGATCTGCACTTATACGAATGAGCAGATGCGTGATACTGATTCAAATACAAAAGAGATACTCTTTAAGACTACTTTTTGTTCACTTAACTTCAAGATATATTTTCTCTTGTTATCTTAAGAAACAATTGGGGCTTTATAATATGACCCTTTCAGTCTTCGTTTTTGACTCAGTTGAAAAAAATCCATCCATAGAAAATTAGGACTCTGACACTTGGAACAGAACCTTGGATTGTAACACTACCTTCCGTTGTTTTCTTATTTTCCGTTTATTTCTGATTATTCTCGAAATTTTAAACACCACGTAATATCAAGTTGAAAAATTAGATAATGCCCTTGAAGGCAAGGGCCTGAATTGCAACAGTTGAATATGCCCTTGAAGGTAAGGGTCTTAATTAACCAGATTTTTTTACATATATTTGATTACCATGTCACATTAGCATAGCAAGAATGGTGACTTCCTTCTTGTTTGCTAGAACCCTTTCACATGGCTTTCTAATGATCTGCATAAAGAATTCTTCATTCAAAGTCATTACTTTTTAGACACTTTCTGCTGGCATCAAGTTATTTTCATGCCTAGTTGATAAAATTGATGATAAAATAACAAGTGAAGCGATACAGGGCCACATGGAGGCAGATTCATCTATAAGCTCAACATGCGAAGAAGATCATTGGTTTGCGTTGTGTCCAGATTTACCAACAGTTTTACGAAAGTTGATTATTGATAACCGATGGGAGGTCAGAGACTCCACACTTGACATGATTTCTGTCTTAGTCACAAAAGCCAAAGGTTAGTTACTTTATTTTTACTGGAATTTCGTCTCTTGCTGTGATCAGTGTTAGGATTTTTTATTTTTTTCCAATATTGATGTTTCCAGTTGCTTCAAAAGTTTTATTATTCAATGTTATTTTATTTTGTCCCATTCAATTGGTGCCAGCCTGAAAATAAATACTATTTTCTAGAATGTAGGAAAAAATTATTTTATAAACCTGGTTTCTAGGAATATTTCTCTGTGTCAAACAATTTTTCCAAAGATGCTAACTTTCAGTTGCAAATTAGCAGTAGATATTTAATGCTTCACTCAAAGTTTGAAACAGAATTGAAAACAAGTTTTGCGTTTTGGATGTTTAATTATTTTGAGAACATATGCTATACCAATAGCAACTAAAATCGTTTACTAATCTGAGACGAGCAAATAGTCAATGAAAGTATATGCATCAGCATTTAAAGAAATAACGAAGAGGGGAACAATAATAGAATGTACATTACAAGCAAAATAAATATGGTGAGAATTAGAATCTGAAGTACTATGATTAGAATTAGAATATGGGGTCTAAAGTACTTCCCCAGGAAATTAAATTTTTTTTTGAATCCATGCAAAATAGAGAGAAGCCAACTCGTTTCTAGGTATGTTGAACCAGGGCCACATTGCCCTTATTAGGTAGAACAATCGTAGATCTCAAGCAGTTAGAAAATAGACTTCACAGGTATGCTATTCTGGTATCCAGTTTCCGGTTGTCTGCCTCTTATGCATGCACGTTTCTGTGATTTCGATGCTGATGTGTTTACTTTAGTATGATTACGTTTTTTGCGCATTTGATCAGCTTGATTACAACCAAAACAATTGTACATTTACATGCTAACTGTTACTTATTTCTAGGTAATATAATTAGGTTTTTACTGACTTTGTTTAATGCATTTTGCCATTGCAGAAACAGGGGGAAGTGCTCTTTTTTCTTTGTAACAGAATGGGAATTTTGTTTTGATTATAATGCTTTTTGGTGATTATGATTATGATGCGAATCTAATCTCATTTTAGGGGACGAGTGTTTGTGTGAATTTTTGTTGAACCACCAGTTCTGGTTAGAATCATTGCCGTCACTTGATGCCGATGAAAGCTATTTACGGGCCACTACTGTCCGCTTCATTGGAATTATTCTAGAGAATCAAAGAACAAGATTAGCTCTGTTTAGTCATACTGAATTGGTGAGCAATTATACGTAGGATAAATTTTTATGATGAATCTTAGATATATCTAGTTTTACTTTGTGTAATCCTCTTTCACTTTCCTAGGTTTAGCACAGGTAGGAGCTATAATCGAAATAGGGGCTATATCGAAGATTGTTTTGGCTCATTCTGATCATTTTCAATAAACTTTTCATTGATTTTAAGAGAATAAACTTCCAAAGAAATTATTTGATACTTATTATGGTGTTTTCTCTGTAACTGAAGTGGGAAATCCGATTTGCATTTATTGTTCTACAAAGTTAAATTACAGATATTTCGGAGTTTCTCCAACGCTACAGAGAAGCGGTAATGTTGCCTCCACCTTTTTTGAGCAACGTTGGTAACGTTTTCCCCAGTATAGGGCGCCCAGTATACGGTCGAGCCCTAGTATAGGGATGGTCAATCAAGATTGTGTTCTAAATATTTCAAGACACGGCGGCTTCTCGGCCAGTTGATATTCAGCCATACATTGTCAGCAAGCGTCCATGTTTAAAAACCGTATATGAAGGACTTTCGCGAAGCTCACCGCTATTAAACAGTAACAAAACTAAGCCAGCTTTATTCCTTCAACTTACAATAAAACAAAATGCGGACCTCTGTACCTTTTCGTGTAAATTATGCCCTTTATATGATCAATAATACCATTAAAATTTATACAAAATATAAATTTTTTAAAAGTTGTGTTAAATGTTGCATTGTTTCTGACGATTGACTTGATTGACTGGTGATTTTTATGAACTAGAAGTTAGAAGAAAAAAGGTATCGCTATGACCTCAAGGTCGCAAGGGGCCCTATACTAGGGGAAACATTACCAATATGGTTGCCTGATTCAGCGTCACATGGTATCATATTTTTCTCTTTTTTCAGAACATGATTTTTGAGAAATTGTTGGTCATTTTTAAAGAGGATGATGAAGCCTTCCCGAAAAGAAGCTTGATGGAAGCCATGTACAGATGGCTAGATTTGGCTGAAGTGGAAAAGATCTTGCTCTATTATGGAAGTGAGTTGACAGGGAAAAGTGAAACACAATTTGCAGCCAAGTTATGTGACTTGATTTTTAATCTGCTGGATATTTCCTACAAGAGCTTTGATTGGGAGGTTAAATTAAAAGCTGTTCAATGTTGGTTGAAGATTTTAAAGATGCCCTACAAAATATCGAGTGACTTTAGCGATAATTCGCCCACAGATACACATATTGGCGTTTTACCACTTAGTTTACTTTGCTCAAAGAATGGTGCAACAAATTTGGTCATATTTCTTAATGATTGTGATCAGCTTGTGAGAGAAGCTGCTCTAAAAACTCTACAATATATAAGAGAAAAGGAATTGCATGCTTCAAATGCACCAATCACAAATAAAAAGGTGATTGAATCGTGTTATGATATCGAGACCATTGGAAACATAAGTTTTTCTTCAAGGGAAGAATTTATAGCATTCCTTGGAAAAATTGACTTTCAGCTTTTGGCTCAATCAATAAAACTTGCAGATGAAAGCGTTACGAATAACCCATTGTCATTATTAGATGACATAATTTCTGCTGCAAAGAACAGTGATGATAACCTTTTAGATTGCTATTAATGAAATTGCTGTTGCATTGAAAGCGCGTTTCCTGTAGCAGGTTGCAGTCATTATGATGAAATTCTAGATAAACATTGTCTTTAAATTGAGACAAACAGTTTATTATATATAAAATTTGCCCTGTTTACTTTAAAAGGTGGAGAAACAGTTTCTATTGTATTCTTGGTCGTTTCTAAATTGGCTGCTTTTACGTAGGCAATCTTTTGTCATCAAGTCTTTCTATTTATACATGCGGTTCCCTCACATCATTTGGCCAGGCTAATGATTGCCCTTATAAGAGTAATTTTGCCCTGGACAAAACTACTGTTTCGTCTAACTTGTTTAACCTCTAACTTGATTGAGAACAATCTTAGCTCATTAAGAATTCCTAATATTGGCATAGACCCCCCTTATTGGCCCCATTCACACTACTCCTTTTTTGTATAGTAGCAGACCGAAGTGTATCTCTCTTCACCTTCATTCACATCACACTGCTATAGATATAGAGTCAAATTAGAACACAACAAAATGAAACCACTTTAAAGGAAAAATCCAAGTGGATGTGAACACTACAGATCCATTATCCAAAATACAGATCAAAAGTATGACAATCCATTATTTTTCATGCGTTTTGTTTTCATTGACTACTAAAAACTGCTAAAAGCTTTTTGAACAACTGATGGCAATATTTTTTGGCCTATATAAGGTAGGGAATAAGATCTCAAATCTATTTAGCAAAAAGTCTGAGTTCCCAGGGGACTGTCTTAACGGGATTCAACTGCATATGGTTGATACTTAGAAGAGTGATCACCATTGTAAGCTTGTTGACCTGGACAGTCTGCAACCATTGAGTACTTTTTTCATGCATTGTCCTTGTAATAATCAAATGCTTGCAGTAGTGTTTCTAAAAATACCTCTAGCACTAACAGAAAGCAAACCAGTGTAGTTGTTGCAAAATGATAAAATGGTAGACAACAGATATTGGTTCTTTTGCAGTCATATAACAAAAAACTACTTCATAATAATACCCTTGATGCATATGGTACACGTACCAGTGAAAATCTACAATAAAAAGATTTTTAAATCAATAGTTTTTCAATGGCCAATTGTATGGACTGAATTTGTGACTTCAGCTGTGAGCCTTCATTAACAGTAACAGCACAGCTAATTACAGGTCTTGAAACTCCAGTTGCTCTTCCAAGTGCTTGTTTTGAACGAACAAAGACATACGGTACATTCTACAAAAAGACAAGAATTCCATCATAGCGTACAATTTTGGCTGGCTCATTATGAGTATGGGTTCTGCAAAACTAAACAATGACCAAAAAGCAAAATGTTCGAAGAATAAAAAACTCATGGCAGCAACACAGCTTAATGGGATACAAATGAGTCTTTAGGAGAAGTAGGTAAGGTAAGAGGAGCACTAATATAAAAGCAGCAAAAAATTATTGAAAAGTTGTCTATATTTTTAAATACAACCTATTTAAATACAACAGTCTAAATAATAAAGACTTTATTATATTCTTAAGTATAAAGTTTGTACTTTATTACCTTATCTTCACAAAGCAAAGGCAATTGAAGCAAGATTTCAAGTGGTTCTGTATCAGCAGCCATGACAATAAACTCTGCAACTCCTCTGTTCAAAGCCTTGATTGCTACAAAAAACCAGACACATTTTATGACAAACTCATTACTTTGTAAACTTTATTAACAGTTTAATAAAATTGAAACTGATACACAGCTTTTATATCTTCAGAACCACCATTGCTTCCCAAGCCAACAATAAATTAGGTGTCTATTCTTTCTTTAGTAACAGATATCCATTCAATTCCATCTGAATGAGTCAGCATGAGTTTCAAATCTCTAATTGGTAAATACAGCGGATATACCCCCAAGATGAAAGGAAACTGTAAACAAACACCAACGAAGGCCACTTTTATTCATTTTAGCGCTAACCACTAAAATTACCCGGTGTAAAGATGACAATTGCCTAAAGATGTTGATTGCCGAAAGATGATGATTGCATTTCTACGCTATTCACTGCAAACATTTATCTTAAAATACCCTAAGGTGAAAGAAAAAGTTGAGAAGCGAAATGAAATACTGGAAAACATTTATCCAAGAAATCTACTTGAACAGCTTCATTCGAAAGTTCCTTTTTGTTGGTTGATCAGCTTTGTACTAGACTTGAGTTGATTGGATACAGTGACACCAGCTTTGAGGAGATCTGGTCACATTGGCACATAATATCCTTCTCTATTAAATCTCTGAAAAGTTATTTATTAGTGCCAATGGTGCTAGGGGCACAGGGGTGCATGTAATATTACCAAACCTAATGAGTGCCCCTATAATTGTGTTGAAGTAGTGACAATTTTTTCTAGGGGGCATTCCCCAGATGCATCTAGTATGTTTTACAACCTGTTAAATTAGTCTGCTTTTTGCATCTTGAAAATAGGCTGATGCTTCACCCCTTCCCTTAAAAAATAACATCTGATCCTTATGTCCATCTTCCCTTGCTAACAAACAGTTAACAACTTCTTCCGAACATACTCACTTTCGTTGGCACCTTTTTTCAATTGTTTGTAGTTAGATGCCTGTTGCACTAGATCCAATATTGTTACTGTTAATTGTGGATCAGCCAATGGATATGCCTTTGGATTAACTTCTTCTTTGGCCTAAAATGAATCAAGTATTAAATGAAAGCATGACTGTCACAGCTGGTGGAAAGAAAACGAGACCTATATAGTTGGGACATGTTTGTTTTTCAGCCAAAAATGTTAAAAATACAATGACATTATCCTTATCATGCTGGGACTTCTAGCAAAGTGCAAGAGTAAAGAATGAACGAGCCCAATCTGGAACAATCACTGTCATTATCTTGTTCACTGGCTACAATAGATCGTTCATTTATCCCTTGTACAGGCATTTATTTATGGATTTTCATTTGTATTTTCATTACAAAAAACATAGGTTTTAGGACAGCTACACCTATTTTCATGTAATTTAAAGCATCTATTTCACAAAGATGGCCCTTACCTTAGAACATGAAGAAACTACTAACAGTGAAAGCAATGTGTTATAAAAGAGATTCTAAAAAAAACGAGCACATTTAAAATTAACCTAATTATGAACAAACAATAAAAAGCTGCAACCCAAAATCAATCAGATGTGTTGCAAGAGGTGTTCTCACGTTCCCAATGACAAACGTTCCCAAAGATAGCTTTCTTTCGAATGAAAAGACATTTTATTTACTTTACATTGAAAATTCATGCTTGACTAATGAATAGGTACAACGGCGCTTACAACATTAAACTACAAAGTATGTATGTAGTATGAGGATCATCTTGTTCAGTATGAAAAAGTTGGCTAGGCCAATTTCCAAACATCGATTCATTGCATTACTATTTTGTAAAAGGCTTGAAAATTTACAGTCTAGTTCCCTTGGTAAACTATAGAGTAACTTACCATTTTGATCACTTTATATTTGTCTATGTGGATACTTTTATCACCTCTCCGCTTTCGTAGCTTCACTGAGGAACAGATTCTTCAATGTAAAGAAGGAGCACATGTGTATGGCTGTGCATCATGGGAAAATGGTTTCTATACACAGGGGTACAACCATACTGCATAACAACAAATATGGCGTCTGGTGAAGGGTCAACACTACATCGTTCTGTATTTCTCGTCATGGTTTCTGGGCAAATCGAAACAGCATGGGTAAATTTTTCTTTTGAATTAAAGTTTATTGCATCCGAAAATCTTTTCCGCTTTTTTGTCCAATTTAGAGCAATGTATACTTTAGTCCGCCTATGCAAATTAAATTAATCATCCTTCCTTACTTAAGTAATACTTATCAATCTATTCTAGGAAATGCTCCCAGTTTTTTGACAATAAAACAGTCATGTCTATCTATTTTGTATATTAATGTAGTTTTTTATAACTCTAAATGTTTACATGTCGTTTTCTTTTACTTTTCAAACGTTTTCAGACTTGATTTGTTTAGCTAAATGAACAGGCTCATTTTTTTCATTTACACAGTTTCCAGAGTTTGATGAGCTTTACTGCAAATATAGTTTTGTTTATGGTCAAGACTGGGTTATTACAACTGTAAGTAATTAAAATTTTATTGATTTTGCTGTTTTTTTTTCTTTGTCTGCTTCTTTTTTCAATGTTGACACGTAATGTCTAAATTACTAACTAGATGTGCACAGATATTTGTTAACCCTAAACACGTGGTTTAAGTTAAAAATAAATATCGAAGTTTGAAAGTTTCTAATCCTGTATGTCAATTTTAGCCCTGTAGAGTCTGTGTCACTTTTTATGTATTCCCAGAAAACTGCTGATTCCTGGAAGTAAAGTCATTCTTAATGGGGATTTTCTTTCTTACTTCTCTTGATGTTATCTTTTACCAGATAATTACGTGAATTTAAAAAAGAATTGACTTTATTCATTTGTAAGTGAGCACATTGATAAAATATCATCACAAAGTACTATTCTGACCGCCTCCTCCAGTTACTTAATACTCTCTTTATATACCATACTGAATAACTTAAATTGATTGTTTTCAATCAAACAACTCTATTGTCATTAAACTATTATAAGTGAATTAGCACAGCTTACACTCTGCATTTTTTTATTATCTTCCAACTCTTTTAGGGACATGAAGGTGGCCTTTCACAAATTGCAACCAAAAGTCCTGATGAGAGACAGCTATTCGTTTGGAATTTTCCTCTAGATGTTACTTTTAAGAGCACCAGCCCATTTGGATGTATGAAGTTGATCATTTGTTTTCATTTTGCTGTTTCCATTATTCCGACAGTGTAGCCAAGAGCAGTGACTTTTATAGTTAGAAATCCTTGTAATGAAGGGTGGTAACTCATTGGAGATTCTCTAAAACCCACCTTGAATATCTAGAATTTGTACAGCAGAGCTAAAGATATAAAATCTAAAAAATTGTATCTGGTTATATGAAGTATTTTGTAAAAGATCCCATGACCCTTAAAAGCAACCAGACAATACCACTATAATGAGAAACTTTCATCCTAAGAAAGTTTAATTGTATTATTCATTTCACAGTTTGGTTGAAATCAACCTACTAGTTTTTAGTTATCTTTCTTAACTTTTTCCAGGGCCACAGCTGGTTGTTAGTTGTTATGGTCAAGATTCAGTCAGAGGTTATGATGTAGTAAGAGGCTATGGTGCTGTTCATGTGCCAATATCACCTGGGAGGTTTGTGTGACCTATTAGTTAATTTTGTAAACTATTTTCGTTTGCTTTGCTGTTTTCCTCCTGGCTTGTTGCAGGTCTTGTCTTATTTTAATCCTCAATTTTTGTACATTTCAGTCATACAAGAGAAATTTCCATGTTTGTCCCAGAATCATCATCAGCTTTTCAAAAATTTACAGGGTAAGATTTAACAAAATTTGATATGTTTAATTTTTGCAGCTGTTGTATAGTTATATATGTCATTAGTAGGGGAGGCCAATATCTTGCCATTTGAGAGACCCATCAGACCAGATGATGATCTATATGAGCACTGAATGATTTTCAAAATTTTTGCTAAATTGCCGAATCATCAATCTAATTTGAAAAAGTTTGAAAAGTAGCTTTTGTCTTCAATAATTTATACCAAGTTTGTCTTCAATAATTTATACCAAGTTGTTTTTTGTAGGTTTTACTCAACTTCAGAATAAAGATTTGTACTAATATACTAACACAATCACCTCATGCCAAATGGGCCTCATATTTTTTCTTAGAAACAATTTATCAATGATAGACAATCTCAAAAGTTATGATAAAAGTTTAAATTAATTCACAACAACAGAGGACCAGAGCTAACTGCCACCCAGCATTTTCAAGTAACAATTGCTTCTGAGGTTTAGCCTATATGCAAAAAATTCAGTCTGCCATGTGTTTAGTGAATTTTTACTTGATATGTCTTTAAGACTGTGACCAATTCCTTTTTTTAAAACTTTTTTCTGATCAACAACATATCAATATATTTTCAATATTCTTATCGTTTTAACTAAAACAATTCCTTACACTTAGCCAATTCCACTGATACATCTTCATTCAGCTTCTGCAGAGATTGTTCTTCGGTATATTATTCAATAAATGTAAAAGTGAATCAAAAAAACAATAAGTTACATTAGTTTTTTTTTTTGATTTCCCTGGTTTTACCTGTACCATGCAACCGTGTCTCTCAATCTATAAATTTCTTTTCATATCAGTAAGAGAATATTTTAAAATTGTATCACATTATAAAAAGGGATACATGATCAAACATTATTGAAATCAATTTTACGTATGATAATTGTGTGTGCCTAAACTATGAAATATCCAATGAAAGTATTCGTCCTTTTGTATTTAGTTGGATCTCTGGGAGACGACCAGAATTCATAGACCCACAAGTAGTTGCACAAGGAGAAGGAAGAGAAGGTTTGAAACATGTTTCTTCAAATGTGATACTCTGTTTAGTTTTAAATGCTTTACATATCTCAATCCATCTTTTATCTCTGCTTTGATTCTTGGTAGAAATATGAGACCTAATGTCATTTTTAAGCTGCTATCCGGAAGTGTTTTTGCTATTTAGTGACAAGAGTTCGCTCGCAAGGAAAGGTTCGTGTCAAGTTCAATATCATCACTCGAGATTTGAAAAAACTTGGCTATGATACAGAACCATCAACAGTGGCTCATCCATTTATCCCTCCTGCATCAAGCGACAAAGTGCTTCGAGGCGAACCTGGTGATTAATACAAGGCTTTTAGGGTAAATTCATTGGGTTATCTCTAAATGATCAAAGTCTGAGAGCTGTAGGATCACCACTTTTGGCATCCGTGATGTTGCATATTAAAAGCCTGGCTCATAGGGAATGGATTCAGCGATTTGAGTATCATGCTAATGGGCAATATGGAATTATGCTTGGGACATCTATCGAAGCATAAGAACAATAAAACGAACATATTAGCTTTCTTGTAAATATCTTATTCTAAATATTTGAAAACTTAAATTTCTAACTGTTCTCGATAATAGAGATATTTTGACGACTCTCAAAGTCTTTCTTTAGTTTGTTGTGATACTTCTATTAAATGTCTATGTGACTATAGAAAATATGCTTTGATGTATAGGACAGGACAGTTTTAAGTAATAACCCTGAGTTTCACGCTAAATCCGATCAAAAGGCAATCGTATACACCTATATCGAGAACTTAATGACAGACCGGTAACCAGGAATTCGTATAACTATAAAATGACATGGAACAATATACGAATATGATTGAAAAATTTTATGAGAAAGCCAACCATTTTTGAGTTGCCTTTTTCTTTGAAGCAGCCAAGGCTATAGGCTCACCTACACCAAAATTTCCTTTTTCGAGTTAAAATTTTTCATCTCAAAATGTGCTGAATTCGTTATATTTTGAGCTTTTACGTCGTATGCACCAACTACTACTTTTCTTACCAAAATTGCCTTTTTCCAATAAAAATATTTTTAGTTCAAATATTATTTTTAGTTCAATTTTTAGTACGTGATTATTTCTTTGTTATATAAATCCTTAAGTCATCTTCATCAACCTTTTTTGTAAGGAATTGCTCTAAGAAAGATTTACAACACCACAAATTCTAATACTGGTACAATTTTTAACGTGTTAGAATTCTACTGTTGACAAAAAACCGAAACAACGGTAGTATGATCTAAAAAACTGATGTAAAAAAGTCTTACTTTTGACTTCAGTGTTGGCAGTGGCATAGAAGACCGTAAATATTTATGGAATGTAGGTGGTGGTGTGTTTTTCCATAAGAATATAAACACTCAAAAAGCAATAAAAATTGCCAAAAAGCAGCCCAGCTCGGTAGCTTCTGTACCTACGAGTGGTGTGAACTTCATAACCCTTAAAAACCCTGCTGTACAAATAGGTAGCTCGTGATACAGATGCTTTGAAAGATAAAATTGCAAGGTAATTTTGTGAATTTCTTACCTGACAGTTTGATTTACGCAGACGTAGCAAAAGTGCATGATATGATCGGATCTGGACATTACAAAACTGGCATAAGAACATCAAGATGTTGTCACTTTTACGAATGCCGTATTGAAAAAATGAAACAGAAAGATTTGGTTATGCATCTCAATATCAAAGAAAGGGTGTATCCGAATTCTGTGCAAGCATTTGCTAGTATTCTAGCTACAAAACTATACTCCTGGAATGTTGAAATGATAGTTAGTGCTTCCAATTTTTTTGAGGAAAACTTTGCAAAAGTAGTATCATGATTGGCACGCATAATGTGTACCTATAGGTGCATTTCAATTATTATCAAATACAAAGTCCAGTTTTTCAATCCAAACCTTTTCATTTCAAAGCGTTGTTATTTTCAAAGTTGCTTCTGTATGATCAGAAAAAGGTAGATTTGCATCTAATTTGGGTCAAAAGAACGTTTTTTTTGAAAAAAAAATCAATTTAAAGAGGGGTCACTTTTTGCAAAATAGGTAAGGGTATAGCCTTAGTAAAATCATCAATTTTTTTGAAAATTTTTTGTTCTTGAAACTAGCTAATTTGCTTCTGTATGATCAGAAAAAGAAAGATTTGCATCTGGTTCGGGTCAAAAATACGTTTTTTTGAAAAAAAATCAATGTAAAAACGGGTCAATTTTTGAAAAATAAGTAAGGGTATAGCCTTAGTAAAATCATCAATTTTTTTGAAAATTTTTTTTTCTTGAAACTAGCTAATTTGCTTCTGTGTGGTCAGAAAAAGGTAGATTTGCATCTACTTCGGGTCGAAAATACGTTTTTTTGAAAAAAGAGCAATGTCAAAAAGGGGTCACTTTTTGTAAAATAAGTAAAGGTATAGCCTTAGTAAAATCATCAATTTTTTTGAAAATTTTTTGTTCTTGAAACTAGCTAATTTGCTTCTGTATGATCAGAAAAAGAAAGATTTGCATCTGGTTCGGGTCAAAAATACGTTTTTTTGAAAAAAAAATCAATGTAAAAAGTGGTCAATTTTTGAAAAATAAATAAGGGTATAGCCTTAGTAAAATCATCAATTTTTTTGAAAATTTTTTTGTTCTTGAAACTAGCTAATTTGCTTCTGTATGATCAGAAAAAGATAGATTTGCATCTAGTTTGGGTCAAAAATACGTTTTTTTGAAAAAAAATTAATATAAAAAAGTGGTCAATTTTTGGAAAATAAGTAAGGGTATAGCCTTAGTAAAATCATCAATTTTTTTGAAAATTTTTTGTTCTTGAAACTAGCTATTTTTTTCTGTGTTATCAGAAAAAGGTAGATTTGCATCTGGTTCGGGTCAAAAATACGTTTTTTTGAAAAAAAATTAATATAAAAAAGTGGTCAATTTTTGGAAATAAAGTAAGGGTATAGCCTTAGTAAAATCATCAATTTTTTTGAAAATTTTTTGTTCTTGAAACTAGCTAATTTGCTTCTGTATGATCAGAAAAAGAAAGATTTGCATCTGGTTCGGGTCAAAAATACGTTTTTTTGAAAAAAAAATCAATGTAAAAAGGGGTCAATTTTTGAAAAATAAGTAAGGGTATAGCCTTAGTAAAATCATCAATTTTTTGAAAATTTTTTTTTCTTGAAACTAGCTAAGTTGCTTCTGTATGATCAGAAAAAGGTAGATTTGCATCTAGTTTGGGTCAAAAGAACGTTTTTTTGAAAAAAAATTAACATAAAAAGTGGTAAATTTTTGGAAAATAAAATTGGGTATAGCCTTAGTAAAATCATCAATTTTTTTGAAAATTTTTTGTTCTTGAAACTAGCTAATTTGCTTCTATATGATCAGAAAAAGAAAGATTTGCATCTGGTTTGGGTCAAAAATACGTTTTTTTGAAAAAAAAATCAATGTAAAAAGGGGTCAATTTTTGAAAAATAAATAAGGGTATAGCCTTAGTAAAATCATCAAATTTTTTGAAAATTTTTTGTTCTTGAAACTAGCTAATTTGCTTCTGTATGATCAGAAAAAGGTAGATTTGCATCTAGTTTGGGTCAAAAATACGTTTTTTTGAAAAAAAATCAATGTAAAAAGGGGTCAATTTTTGGAAAATAAGTAAGGGTATAGCCTTAGTAAAATCATCAATTTTTTTGAAAATTTTTTTGTTCTTGAAACTAGCTTATTTTTTCTTGTGTGATCAGAAAAAGGTAGATTTGCATCTAGTTTGGGTCGAAAGTACGTTTATTTGAAAAAAAATCAATGTAAAAAGTGGTCAATTTTTGAAAAATAAATAAGGGTATAGCCTTAGTAAAATCATCAATTTTTTTGAAAATTTTTTTGTTCTTGAAACTAGCTTATTTTTTTTTGTGTGATCAGAAAAAGGTAGATTTGCATCTAGTTTGGGTCGAAAGTACGTTTATTTGAAAAAAAATCAATGTAAAAAGTGGTCAATTTTTGAAAAATAAATAAGGGTATAGCCTTAGTAAAATCATCAATTTTTTTGAAAATTTTTTTGTTCTTGAAACTAGCTTATTTTTTTTTGTGTGATCAGAAAAAGGTAGATTTGCATCTAGTTTGGGTCGAAAGTACGTTTATTTGAAAAAAAATCAATGTAAAAAGTGGTCAATTTTTGGAAAATAAGTAAGGGTATAGCCTTAGTAAAATCATCAATTTTTTGAAAATTTTTTTTTCTTGAAACTAGCTAATTTGCTTCTGTATGATCAGAAAAAGGTAGATTTGCATCTAGTTTGGGTCAAAAATACGTTTTTTTGAAAAAAAATTAATATAAAAAGTGGTCAATTTTTGGAAAATAAGTAAGGGTATAGCCTTAGTAAAATCATCAATTTTTTGAAAATTTTTTTTTCTTGAAACTAGCTAAGTTGCTTCTGTATGATCAGAAAAAGGTAGATTTGCATCTAGTTTGGGTCAAAAGAACGTTTTTTTGAAAAAAAATTAACATAAAAAGTGGTAAATTTTTGGAAAATAAAATTGGGTATAGCCTTAGTAAAATCATCAATTTTTTTGAAAATTTTTTGTTCTTGAAACTAGCTATTTTTTTCTGTGTTATCAGAAAAAGGTAGATTTGCATCTGGTTCGGGTCAAAAATACGTTTTTTTGAAAAAAAATTAATATAAAAAAGTGGTCAATTTTTGGAAATAAAGTAAGGGTATAGCCTTAGTAAAATCATCAATTTTTTTGAAAATTTTTTGTTCTTGAAACTAGCTAATTTGCTTCTGTATGATCAGAAAAAGAAAGATTTGCATCTGGTTCGGGTCAAAAATACGTTTTTTTGAGAAAAAAATCAATGTAAAAAGGGGTCAATTTTTGAAAAATAAGTAAGGGTATAGCCTTAGTAAAATCATCAATTTTTTGAAAATTTTTTTTTCTTGAAACTAGCTAAGTTGCTTTTGTATGATCAGAAAAAGATAGATTTGCATCTAGTTTGGGTCAAAAATACGTTTTTTTGAAAAAAAATTAATATAAAAAAGTGGTCAATTTTTGGAAAATAAGTAAGGGTATAGCCTTAGTAAAATCATCAATTTTTTTGAAAATTTTTTGTTCTTGAAACTAGCTAATTTGCTTCTGTATGATCAGAAAAAGGAAGATTTGCATCTAGTTTGGGTCAAAAATACGTTTTTTTGAAAAAAAATCAATGTAAAAAGGGGTCAATTTTTGGAAAATAAGTAAGGGTATAGCCTTAGTAAAATCATCAATTATTTTGAAAATTTTTTATTCTTGAAACTAGCTAATTTGCTTCTGTATGATCAGAAAAAGGTAAATTTGCATCTAGTTTGGGTCAAAAATACGTTTTTTTGAAAAAAAATTAATACAAAAAAGTGGTCAATTTTTGGAAAATAAGTAAGGGTATAGCCTTAGTAAAATCATCAATTTTTTGAAAATTTTTTTTTCTTGAAACTAGCTAATTTGCTTCTGTATGATCAGAAAAAGGTAGATTTGCATCTAGTTTGGGTCAAAAATACGTTTTTTTGAAAAAAAATTAATATAAAAAAGTGGTCAATTTTTGGAAATAAAGTAAGGGTATAGCCTTAGTAAAATCATCAATTTTTTTGAAAATTTTTTGTTCTTGAAACTAGCTAATTTGCTTCTGTATGATCAGAAAAAGAAAGATTTGCATCTGGTTCGGGTCAAAAATACGTTTTTTTGAAAAAAAAATCAATGTAAAAAGGGGTCAATTTTTGAAAAATAAGTAAGGGTATAGCCTTAGTAAAATCATCAATTTTTTGAAAATTTTTTTTTCTTGAAACTAGCTAAGTTGCTTTTGTATGATCAGAAAAAGATAGATTTGCATCTAGTTTGGGTCAAAAATACGTTTTTTTGAAAAAAAATTAATATAAAAAAGTGGTCAATTTTTGGAAAATAAGTAAGGGTATAGCCTTAGTAAAAT